TATACTTCACCTGGGCAAGTAAGAAGCATTAGAAGAGTTAAAGGACACATTCTAGCTGGGGGGAAAAACCCTCAAGGGCATGGATAGCTCAATTGTTTAGTGTGGTGCTGATAACACCACGGTTGCAGGTTCGATCCCCTGTATGGGACCATCTGTAGTCTAAACCACTGAGCCTCTTGGGCTTGCTGATCAGAAGGTCAGCAGTTCGAATCCCCACGACGGGGTGAGCTCCTGTTGCTTGGTCCCAGCCAGCGGCGTAGTGTGGGTTGTCAGCACCCGGGGCAAGGTGAGTAATTTGCGCCCCCTAACCCGGGGCAAGGCAAGTAATTTGCACCCCCTAACCCGGGGCAAGGCAAGTAATTTGCGCCCCCTAACCCGGGGCAAGGCAAGTAATTTGCGCCCCCTAGCCCCTAACCTGCCGCCGCTGCCAGCTTCTTCTTGCTGCTGCCTGGGCTGGTCTGGTGTGGTTCTCTCCCACGCTCAGCGCTGCGCTGGGCGGCCGCTGCACTGTCCCTCCCCCAGATAGTCCCTCGCTCTCTCTCCGCACTGCACGCCTGGCACCCACCCCCTCCACAGTGGGTGGCGACCCAGCGGCTCGGATCGGATTCGCACAGCCAGCACTGCAGTGAGAGAGAGTGAGTGAGCCAGGTAGGGGCAGAGAGCTGCGAGTGCGAGCGCCCCCCCCAGATGTTGCGCCCGGTGCGGCCGGCCCCCCCTGCACCCCCCACGCTACGCCACTGGTCCCAGCTCCTGCCAACCTAACAGTTTGAAAGCACACTGGCACAAGTAGATAAATAGGTACCGCTGTAGTGGGAAGGTAAACGCCGTTTCTGTGTGCTCTGGTTTCTGTCACGCTGTTCCGTTGCGCCAGAAGCGGTTTAGTCATGCTGGCCACATGACCCGGAAGCTGTCTGCGGACAAACGCCGCCTCCCTCAGCCTGAAAGCGAGATGAGCACTGCAACCCCATAGTCCCCTTTGACTGGACTTGACCATCCAGGGGTCCTTTACCTTTACCTTATATTCCTGCATTGCAGGGGGTTGGACAAGGCCCCTTCCAACTCTACAATTCTATGGGTGGGTGTGTCCCAAGGGTCAGACAGGCAGGTTTGGAGAGCTGAAATTGGCCACCAGAGTTGAGGATTCCCACCCCTGGCCTCCGCTCTTTAAGAGATGTAGCTCTGCAGTTGCGATTTCAGCCTAGAGAAAACTCTCCTGACGTAGAATGGCTTGGGAATGTGAAAACCACGATTCCCCACCCTCTGTCTTTATAGAGTGTAGGATGTGGTGCCCCATTTATTGCCCAGCTTAATGTATAGTGTTGGGCGGCAAGCCAGGAACAGGGAGGCCTTTTAATGAAACGTACCATGGGGGAGGAGGGGGAAAGAACATTGTAGGAATGAGCTAATTATGAGGTAGATCTCTGGAGGCAACTGCACGAGCAAAGAAAACATGGTTAAAAAAAAAAAAATCAAAATATTTTTAGGCTTGTCAAAGACCCTTCCAGAATATTCTTCCAGGAGAAAACAAGGGGGAAGAGAAACACCTGCCATCAAAAAATGCAGAGAAGCCTGTCAAGGAATGAGCAACACCCAGGGTGGGAGGAGAAACAGGAGGCTATGGTAGGAGCTGACCAAGCAAATACATGGGTTACTGGAGCGGCACCCAATCTCCCCTCACCCAGGTGAAATTAGGTTTGAAAGAAGCCTTGTATTGTAACCAACAGAATAGCACTGTGTACAGAGATTTACCATATTTTTCGCTCTATAAGACGCACCAGACCATAAGACGCACCTAGTTTTTGGAGGAGGAGAACAAGAAGAAAAAAATACTGAATCTCAGAAGCCAGAACAACAAGAGGGATCACTGCGCAGCGAAAGCAGCAATCCCTCTTGCTGTTCTGGCTTCTGGGATAGCTGCGCAGCCTGCATTCGCTCCATAAGACGCACACACATTTCCCCTTACTTTTTAGGAGGGAAAAAGTGAGTCTTATAGAGCAAAAAATATGGTAAATCATGTGTAGGCAAACTAAGGCCCGGGGGCTGGATCCGGCCCAATCGCCTGCTAAATCCGGCCCACGGACGGTCTGGGAATTAGCATGTTTTTACATGAGTAGAATGTGTCCTTTTATTTAAAATGAATCTCTGGGTTATTTGTGGGGCATAGGAATTTGTTCATTTATTTCCCCTTCAAAATATAGTCCGGCCCCCCCACAAGGTCTGAGGGACAGTGGACCGGCCCCCTGCTGAAAAAGTTTGCTGACCCCTGATTTAAATCATATCCCCTCTCCACTCCTCCCCCCGCTCCAAGAATTATTGGGAGCTGTGGCTTGTTAATGTTGCCGGAATTGTAGCTCAGTGCGGGGTAATCTACAAGTCCGGTGCAGAAAACCAGGATTTCCTCAGATTTATGTGCTGATAAAAGGTTTATTCGAGAAGTATCAACATGAAACAGGAATCTCCCGCTAGAGAGTTAAGAGGTGCAGTGGATTGCTCTCTACATTAATGCACAAGAGGCTTTGGTCAGCACAAAGCATTCCTGGGGGCTTTGCACTTGCTAGTAATTGGTTCTTTTGAGTTTTTGGCAAGCTCACATATGGAATTTTAATTTGCAACGTGGAAACTGACTTGTGCAGTATCAGCTAGGATGAAAGCTGTTGCAAGGACCTGGGAAAGTCTGTTCCTTTTCTGGACACGTCAAAGGTAAGAAAAATGCAGTAAAAGGCCTGAACCGCACCCATGAAAATTTCACTGAAACTTTCTCTCTCCTTTAGGCTTTTAAATGCAGGATTTGAAGCACCCACATATCCCTGGAGGACGGTCCCCATGTGCTCCTGGAAACTGACAAATACCGTATTTTTTGCTCTATAAGACGCACCAGACCACAAGACGCACCTAGTTTTTGGAGGAGGAAAACAAGAAAAAAAATATTCTGAATCTCAGAAGCCAGAACAGCAAGAGGGATCGCTGCGCAGTGAAAGCATCAATCCCTCTTGCTGTTCTCGCTTCTGGGATAGCTGCGCAGCCTGCATTCACTCCATAAGACGCACACACATTTCCCCTTACTTTTTAGGAGGGAAAAAGTGAGTCTTATAGAGCAAAAAATATAGTAGTTGGTGGTAACAAGTGAAAGGACTTTTTTTAAAGGAGTAGTCCCTTATTTATAGCGTATAGTCCCAACACTCACCCGATGCTTTCAAAAAAGGTCTTCAGCTGCAGGCAAATATCTTCATACTCTTATAGGCTTTTAAAAATCAGATTCTTTTACCTATCTCACTCTCTGCAAGGTGGGCATTTTTGCTCTTTGGTGCCTTTTATAATTGTAAAAGCAGCATTAAAACAACACAAGACAGAAAGCGACGTAACTCTCTGTCTTATGTTGTTTTAATGCTGCTTTTACAATTGTATGCTTGTCTTGTATAGTTCTGTTATATGCTGAGCAACGTTCAGGGAAAGTTAAGTTATTGATTGGTTAATACGATAAGCAAAGATGTAGATGGCTTCAAATCCTTTTGTTATTCTGCCTGTCTACTTGAAGGCTGGGAGACACACATGTCTGTAACAGCCAGGAGCCTCCCAGACAGAGGGAGCTTACAGACTATCATTATTTTTGAGTAGGATCCAACAAAATATTGGCAAATTTAGGTTGCACAATTGTAGCTGACGGGAAGGTCTGGCACCACAAACCTGCCTCCCCAAAATATCAGACTTTCTGTGTAAGCCAAGTGGCCAGAAAACGTACTGCAAAGTGTGGTAGAACAGTTGCTTTGACGCAACATCGTCGAACCTGCCCACAAACAAATCAGAATGAATGCTCAATAAAAACAGGTTGCTTTGGAAGCACATAGAAACTACTGGAGGCAAGGAGAATTGGCAGGCTTTTACAGCGTGCATAAATACAGGTTGCATCAGGTGAACGTCAAATAAGGGGAGGAATAGTTTTGTGTTAGGAGCAGCTTGCCTGGTAGAGTGGAGCAGCAGAAATAGCCTCCAGGCCAATAAAGAAATAAAACTCACTTCTCCACTTCCCATCTTCCCTTCTAATGTGTAGATATCAGGGAATACAGAGTTTGTGATCACGTTTTTATTTCATTTGGGGCAATGGTAAGGCCTCACAGGCTGGGCCAGTGCCCCAGGTGAACTGTGCATATGCCTGAAGATGCTTCAAAATCCTTTGCAACAGAAAAGGGCAGCTTGACAGACAAGCCATTGTGTGTTCCCTGAAGGTAGAGAGTTTGGAAATCATTGTTTTGAAAGCTGACACGCACAAGGTGTTCGAAAGATGCCCATCATTCCAACTGACTAACAGACATGGGAACTTTGCTGTCTGATCTATCAAAACCAACCTTAGTACCATTTCGATGAGGTTCCTCCGGCACTGATCTGACCTCTGTTATAGAAGGAATCAGCGTGGGAAGGGGGCATCGATATATATATGTGCATAACTTCATGGCAATGGGTTTAAATAAATAGCCATGCGGCCTAACAAAAGCAAAGGCATTAAACTATTAAGCAAGCTAAAAATTAATTAAGCTAAATTCCACTTACACTGCGGAAGCCTTAAGGAGGAGGAATAATAACTCAGCGCACACAGAAAATAGAATCTGAAACATTTTAATTGCTTGTTGATGCAGAGGAATGTGGGGGGGAAATTGCTTTCTGAGGTCAGCCTTACACACAAACTCCCCTCTTTGCTGTATTTAAAAGCCACTTTCAGAGCAGCAGGTAACATGCATTTAAAATGGGGTATATGACGTGGCGCAATTCAATACACTTATCTGCAGATAAGGGTAATAAAAGATGGAGAGGAAGAAAAAGCACCAGGACTTGCTGGCCCTTCTAAAACGAAGCTCATCTGCGGCAAGGGTGGGGTGGGGAGGGAGAAGAGAAAATGACTTCGCCGTGACCAGCTTTCTATATCGCATCATGCTCTAAGGGCCGGGGTCCATCTCGCAGCACGCCACTTTGAAAGCAGGGGGCTTCTGCTCTGCAAAAAGCCCACTTCACACGGCCAGCTTGTTGGCCTGGGTGAGGACCACTTTGAGCACCGGCATGAAGGCAGACGTCTCGCTGAAGTTGCTTGTGCTGACTATGTGGGTGTGGATGTTCAGGCCCTCCGTGTAGTTCCGTGTTTCGATGCTTCTGGCGATGTTGTGCAAACCGTTGATGATCGTCGGGGAGAGCTGGAGGGAGGGGGAGAGAAAACAACATGGAGAAGGTACGCTTTTCACAGAGATATCTGGGAACCCCAACCTGACGCCACTCCAGCATTCTCGGCCCCAAGCACGCCACTCATCGAGTGGAGTGGCTAAATGGCCACTGGAGAAATTTGTCCTCGTCAATGGTTGCGGTATCATTATTTTACACGACTTCTCAAAGGCAGATGCAACTGGGGCAAGCAAACAACTTCTTCCAAGAACAGCTGCGAGCGCCAACGGCAACAGGTTGGTGCAAGGCAGTAGTAGCCCCTTCTCCCGTTCCTCTAGCAGGAAATTCCCAAACTTGGGTCTCTAGCTGTTGGTGGACTACAATTCCCATCATCCTTGACCACTGCTAGCCAGGGATGATGGGAGTTGTAGTCCAACAACAGCTGGAGACCCAAGTTTGGGAAACCCTGCTCCAGGGCATGTGGAACAGTGTGTCTGCCTCTCCTGCCCTGCCCAGCCAAGACCTCAGAATGTTGCCTCCTGCGCCACTACAGGACTTCCCCAACCCACATGGTGGAACCCATATGGAGAGCATTTCTGGTACAGAATAAAATGCCTTTCTGGATGATGCGTTAGCTGGAGATTGGAAGCAAATACTTTTTACAAGAGTTGGCTTTTTTGTGCTATGACACCACCAGCATCTGCACAAGTGGGGCAGCAGCTATGTGCAATCTGTCTATTCAGAGTCAGAATGACTCCCAATAATGACCGATGCCGTAGGCCAGGGATGGGGAAGCTGTGGCTGGACTCCAACTGGACCATGTTGGCTGGGGCTGGTGGAAGTTGGTGGCCCAGGTTCCCCAATACACACAAGTCATCCCCTGTGCTCTGTCTTATTCTGCTTGGCCACTGTAGGGACAGAATGCTGAAATAGATATATGGACTTCTTACAACTGGTCTGGCTTGGGGATTTCTAATGCTGTTTAAAGGGGGCTGACAGTTTTAAGCATTTTCTTGGGATTCCCAGGAGCCCAACACAACGTTCAGCCTGATCTTACCACATGCTCCATTTGTCAGATTGTTTAAACAGCCAGCTGCCACATACAAAGCTACCTTCTGGTGACATCGCTTCAAAAACGATTCCCAAATCCCACCCAGGAAGTGCATTTACTTATTCTGCAAAACACTGCAGACCCATCTTATAGCACAGGAATTATTTCTAGCTAACAAATAGTTTTTAAAAGCGGGAAAACAATGCAAGAATAAATAAGGAAGGCTGGAGAACGATCTGAGAGTTCAGCTGCTGAAGTTTAGAATGGCTGGCTTGGAGGTGAAATGCGAGGAAGATAATCTGGGCATGGCAAAGCATAATGCACAATGATAAATAAAGCTTACTGTCTGATCTCTAAGTTTATCATACAGAAACTCCAGGCGTTTGTTGGCATCGTCAAGTTTCCTCTTGGTTTGCTACAGAAGAGACCAGAACATAGGAAGTCGTTAAACAAGCTCATCAAATTTTATCAATGCTCAACCAGCACACACACATAAACTGTTAGGATATAGGTCCGTTCCACCTTAAAAGGAACAGGCATGACTGTTGTGTGTCACATGCCTGTTTACTTCCAGCACAGGCTCGCTGGGAACTTCCGCTTTGTATACTGCTTTTGCTGTTTTGCTGGACACGAAGGGGAAGCAGACATGTTTTTTCCTTTGTTCATGCTGCTGAATAAAATGCTGTAAATTATGCTTACACATGGCTCTGTCCGCCACTTCTGTTGTGCGAAGATTTATTCACTCTGATAGAGCGTGCACGAGTCTCTAAACATATCTGAGGTTCGTGTCGCTGTTTGATGCTGTTCCAAGGGAGACCGGTGTTCGCAAGGCTGCTGGCTTGTGGCTGGAGCCAGCTGAGGGCCTGCCTGATGCCCCTGTCTCCCCGGCAGTATCCCAACATAAACATACATACGAATTAGTATGTACTTTGATGTGCCTCCTAAGCATGGGGGAAGTTGCTCCCCAAGTAGGATTCAACTCCCCACACATCAGCTGATGCACATGTGGGGGGTGTCAATCCTACTTTAGGACCCTCGTACCTACGGGACCGCCTCTCCTGGTATGCCCCACGGAGAGCCTCAAGGTCCATAAATAACAACACCCTAGTGGTCCCAGGCCCTAAGGAAGTTAGACTGGCTTCAACCAGAGCCAGGGCCTTTTCAACTCTGGCTCCGGCCTGGTGGAACGCTCTGCCTCACGAGACCAGGGCCCTGCAGGATCTGATTTCTTTCCGCAGGGGCTGTAAGACAGAGTTGTTCCACCTGGCCTTTGGCTTGGAGCCAATTTGATTCCCTCCCTCCCTCTCTTTCTTTTTTCTTTTCCTTCTCCTCCTGCAATGAGGCTACTTTTTAATATTTTAATGTTCCATTATTTTAATGTTGTATTTTATTTTTGTTTTTAAGTTGTAATCATTCATCTTGCTTTTATTATTGCTTGTAAGCTGCTCTTGGCTGGGGAGGGCGGGGTATAAATAAAAAAATATTATTATTATTATTATTACTATTATTATTATTATTACTTTAGGCAAGGCTTTGGCGCACCAGCTGGTTCCAGCAGTTGGCTGGCACACCTGAACAAAGCAGGATTGAACCTCCCCAGGTAGGAGTGCAACTATCCAGAGTGTGGGGTCAGGTGGGATTACTATGAGGAATTATAAAATATGCATCAAGCCATTGTATCCATGATGAATGCATTGTGTTGACTGGGTCTGTTACATTGACAATAATTTCTGATCAAATCCCACAACCCTCTGCATCTCTGGCCATTTCCTCTACTGCCCATTTCTCTTTCTTGACAAGACTCGTATGCAGCCCAGTTGCTTCCAGTTGCTTGCAAGGAAGGCACCCTGGGCCATAAAGATAGTGGGCAAGTTTCTTTGATGTAGCTTTTCTGATATGTTAATCCCAGGATGTTAATCTTAGGGCCAGGAAACAGATCTCACATAAAGGTGATAATGATTGCTGTCCTCCTGGCCATCCTTCTTATCATGTATATTGCTTGTTTATCACCTCCGGGGTTGCCAAATGTACTCCTTTGTAGTTCTTTTCTTTGTTTACCCCAGAAATATGTGTGCTTAATTAGTTTTGGTAGTTTAACTTTGTTCCCACGTGGGGTTTGTTGAAATGCTCAGAAGAAATCTGATTGGTTCTTACGAATACTCTGTAAAAAGTTCTTTTGTGAATAAAACGACCTGGGCCGAGGGGTGGAGAGACACAGAGAGAGATTATTATACGCACCCTTCACAGAGTCTTGCTGGTTCAAGCCTCTGTGTGTATTCTTATTAATCCTTTACTTTGAGAACGCCTCACAGGCATCAACTGATAATGGGTTCAGTCCTTCTTTCTGTGGCCAAGCATCTACCTGCCCCATATCCCAAGTCACATATGACATAAGGTGTGGGGCAGGTGGGCGTCGTTTCATGAAAATGACCAGGCAGGCCAATTTTGGCAGAGAGGCTGAAGGTTCCCAACCTTTGGTCCAGGAGGTTCAGAGCAGCAGGTTGCACAAGCAAAGTTGTTTATGTGGGACTGCACAGAGGGCACACAGAACTGCTGGCTTTGAGGTAGAAAGGAAGGTGCTCCTCAGTCGAGTCTGAATCACAATTATCTTCCTGAGAGAACTGTGTCCTTGAAGATGAAAGTAAGAACCCAGCACTCAGCTTATGGAAGGTGGTTCTGCTACTGTCAACCAACAGGACACACTCCTGCGTCTTCCCTACCTCCCTGTGTTGAATCAAAGGTGAGCTGTTCCAGAAGACATTATCTTGGTAATCAAGATAACTACCACAATTAATTGGTGGTTGCAGCAATGAGCTCATATACGTTTATATTCACTTGCTGTGATATAAGCAAACTGGTTTGCTTTGATGTCATCATCTGTGGGCTTCGGGTGCTGGGCTCTGGACCCAGTAAAGGGGAACTATCTGTAAGATTTGGGAATTTGCCACCGATACCCTCATCTGGTCAGGTGAAGTGATGGGAAGTCCTGGCAAAGTGGTGTATGTCGCTTTGTCTATAAAAAACATATGCACATTTGCTTGGGTGCAAACAAGCCATCTCCTTGCTGCAGAGTCCATCCCGTGTCTGTAAAGGCTGGGAGACCTGGCAGGCTGGTCTGCTGTAAGTCTACACCTTTCCTTTTAATAAAACGCTAGAACTAGTTACAGGTAGGTAGCCGTGTTGGTCTGCCGTAGTCGAAACAAAATAAAAAAATTCCTTCCAGTAGAACCTTAGAGACCAACTAAGTTTGTTATTGGTATGAACTTTCGTGTGCATGCACACTTCTTCAGATATCTCTTTGACATCCTTCTTTGGTATCCCTGAACCCAACCACTCCAAGCCCCCAGACCAAAATGACTACAAACTTGCATTCCACAGAGTCAGGCCACAAAAGCCCATCTGCAGCTCCCACCACTGTTCACTTGCAGCTCTCCAAGGTGCTGAATCCTATTTCGGCCGTGTCTGCAAAACATTCACTTTTTGCCGCCGTCCTCTGCGTTTGCAAGGTCTTCTTGAACCATTTGGATTGGGGAAGAAGCACTTATCTTAATTCGAGTCGCCCGCAAGGGAAGACAGCCTAAGATTATGCTCTCCCATTGTGTAAATCACACAGGAGCTGCAATTTTTCTGATAGGCTGAATATCTGAAGCACTTGGCAAGAGCCTAGCTGCTGGTGATAAATCGTTTCTGATGACTCACCACACAGTGATGGATGCCACCAGCTCTGAATGTGTGATTACACTACATAAAATGCATTTTTTTATATAAAACACCACCACCAAAACACAGAAACACATGAAGGACATACCGGATCGGTAGCTGAAGAGAGACACCTCTGGATCAGAGCTTCAAATGTATTCTTTAGGATAAGGTGTTCCTCAGGTATGGGCTTTTTCATGATCTTCTCTGTTGGCAAGGATTGCACATGCTAGAGGGGAAGGAAGAGTAATTTGGAATATCGCTTTGTCATCATTTGCTCCCACTCTTTTTACTCCAGGGGAACCGTATGTTAGTAAAGTCACTTAAATAACACAATGGAATGCAGAGGGAAGGTCTTGATACTGAGGAAGCGAAATAAAAAGAGTGTATGATTTGAGGAGAAAGGGACACAGAGGATTTCACTTCCAGTTCAGGCCTTGTTTGGGGCATGGAGACATTCAATCAAAAACATACAAAGGGAAAACTCCCGCAGAACTACACAGCCTATCAGAGCATGTGCTACTCCACTAGAAATCATGCTGTTCTGCCTGATTGCTAGGCAACACTTCCACTCTTCTTACTGGTAACACAATTAACCCTTAAGTTACAAACTGAATGATCCTTTCTGTTGCACTTCCAAGACCACAATCAACATTTTCCTGGCAACTCACTTCCCATATATTATTTTCTATCCCCTCTCCCTTTATATTTTTACATTCATATTCCATCATGGAACCCAAGTCAATGGACATGCAGGTCCCAGGTGGTCTCCGATTCAGGCACTGAGCAGACTCAGACCTGCTTAGCTTCAGCAAGGTGGTGGCACTGTGTTCCTACAGTCAATAACCTCTCTTTAATATCCACCCTGGGCCAACTGTCCAGTGACAAAGAAAGTCCAAGGCCAAGAGACTCTTCTTTCTATACACCTACCAATGTGCTGCCCTTTAATGGTACCTGCCAAATTTGCCGCTTAATGCTGAAGCAGCCCTGCTAATCGTGCCTTAGCATAAAACCCATTCACGCTGGATTCCCTCTTACCACAGGATAATCAGGTGTTTAGAGTCCATATTTCTGCACCCTTGAAAGATTTTGGGACAGGGAAAGCAAATGCTAACCTGTGCCTAAACATCAGTAAGATCTAAATCAAACGAAACAGGCAAATCCTGCCTGCCTCAACAATGCGGCTCCAAATGAGCCAACGTCTTTCACCCCATAGCAACCCACTCACAAGGCTCTCACGATCATTTGCCAGTCATTTGCTTTCAAAGACAATCCCCCAAGTCAAAAGGGTGATTGTTTCTTCAGGCAGGACCCCGCAGACCTCCCACTGAGCAAGTGGGAGGGAGAAGAAACAATCAGCCGTTCATAAATTCAACAGCTGCCTGTCCAGGCTACATGGCTGCTACCACATCAGGCATAGAGGGGATCCAACCAGAATTCAGGGGTCGGCAAAGTTTTTGTGGCTTGGGCCGGTTCACGGTCCTGCAGACGCCACGGTGGGCTGGAGTGTGTGTGTGTGTGCACGCACAAACACTATTTCCTGCGCTCCTTCCGGCGCGGAGGAGGCGTGCACAGCTTTCCATTGGCTGCAGGAGCTTCCTGCAGCCAATGGGAAGGCGGCCAGCATCGTGGAAGGTGGCCCCCTCTCTGCTCCATGCCGATTTAGCGCAGAACACGGGAGCCGACTGAGCGGGTGGCAGGGGTCCATGGGCTGGTTAAATAACCCCCATAGGCTGCTTGTGGCCCATGGGCCTTAGGTTGTCGACCCCTGAACCAGAAAATGGCCTCCCCGTCTGTGAAGTGAGGTGGTGGTGAGATAACTGCTGAGACAGACCCCTCCTCTTGTAGCAAGGGATGGCACAACCTAACAGGACGTGTGTAAAGAACCTCTGGCCTGCCAGATGTGGCTGAACTATGACTCCCATCAACCCCTGCAAGCGTGGCCAATGGTCAGGCAGGACAGGAGCTGTAGTTTAGCAACACCTGGAGGGCCAAAGGTTCCCCACATCTGTGCCAGGTGGCAAAATGTAAGGGATGCTGTCCTGGTGAGGGAATCTTCTCAGGAGTGAACACGTTCCCTCTCATTCCACCTCAGACAAGTGTTTCAGGGCCAAAGGTAACCCCCTACTCCCCAGGCTGCACTCTTTCCCTCTCACTCCACTGTCAATCTCAATGAAGACATAAGAACAGATGCTCAATTAGATAAAAGGTCTGACTTCTAATTCTTCTGGTCATTTTAGTCATTTCGGGATAATCCATCAACTTGATCTCTGCCATTCTTCTCTGGTAGGAAGAATCAGGAAGACCAAATTTTTATTAAGGAATGGGGAATTTTTTTTATAACTTATATTAAAAACCACTGTGAAGAGTTTAAATCGTTAGTAAGATTGGAATAACACTTGTAGTTTAATGGTGAATTTTGGACACATTGGAGATGTAAAAGACTTGGATTCTTATAAAAGATGCGGGAGGAGGTGATTAACAACAGGACCTACAAAGGGGAGAAGGAAAGTCCATGAGATTCTCTGGAATCTTGTGTCTATGTTGTATGTTGGCTATGTGACTGTAAAACTTTAATCTGAAAACCAAATAAATTTACACAACTAGATCAAAGGTCTCTCTACAGCCCAGCATCCTGGTTTCACAATGACCAACCAGAACGCTCATGGGAAGCCTCCGAGCAGGACATGAGTGCAAATGCACTCTCACGTTGCCTAGCAACCACCTCTGATACTGGAGGGAATGTGATTATCGCAAGTAGTGACCATCAATAACCTTCCCATCTACAAATTGGTCTAATCCCCCTTTAAAGCATCTATCTCTAAATGTTGTGGCAAATGCCATCGTTCAACTCTGCCTCTTGGCCGCCCTCCCCTGCAGCCTCCGCTTCAGCCTCAAAGTCTGAACTGCTCTCTGCCCTAGCCTCTTCCTGCTCACTAAAGCCTGTCACCTCTTCAGCTTCTGACACCTCCTCCTCCCAGTCTTGTCCCTCTTCTCCCTCTGACCGCTCACTGTCATCCCAACACCAATTGCCTGGCCCTGAGCATCCTTCCTGTCAGATGGTGGTGTGTCTTTTCCAGGCTTTATTCTTAGTGCAAAACTATTTACAGTGAAGAGCGTCGCAAGTTCATGTCTGGCTCAGTCGCTAGCAGAATCTGGGAGTGGTTGGTCCTTGTACCTCCCCCAGCATAACAGTCGCTTGACCCCCAACCTTCTCCTCCCCTCCCTGCGCTGAAACCTCCTGCGCAGAGTGGCCGCTGGCAAAGGGGTACTTCCCTCCTCTCCGCCTTGCTCAGGGTTGGTGTTGAGGCTCTCTCTAGCATCCCCTGGTCCCACCACCTCCTCTCCACTGGAGGTGGGGCTTTCCTCCTCGCCAGAGGAGGAACTGCTTCGCAAGACTTTCGGAGGTTCCCTATAACACAACTGCCCTTCCACCTCTTGCCTCTGAGCTGATGGCAGTTCCCTTACACTTCCCCTGGGGGTTCCTATGGCAGTGATGGCCAAACTTGGCCCTCCAGCTGTTTTGGAACTATAATTCCCATCATCCCTGACCACTGGTCCTGTTAGCTAGGGATGATGGGAGTTGTAGTCCCAAAACAACTGGAGGGCCAAGTTTGGCCATCCCTGCCCTAGGGGGTTCCACGGCTGGTGTCTCCCTCCACTCCTTGGCATCCAGCTGGCCAAAGACACCAGGCCACTAGCTCTTACCTGCATGGTGTTGCCAATCGGCGCTCCAGGCGCCCCTTCCATGCTGGGCATGGACACGGAAGGAGTCATGATGGTCTGGCCCCCAGGTTGTGGGACGTTCTGGTAAGGGCTTGGCATGCTAGGTTGGCCTGGAGGAAGATGCGAGGGCTGGAACGGAACCTGGGCAGGAGGCATTGCTGGTTGCTGCTGCTGCAGCTGGGCTTGAGGGTCCGACATGGGGTTCATTATCGGGGCTGTGATGGGAACCGGAGGCAGGAAGTTCTCAGGCATCTAAGGCAAAGGAAGGAAAAGAAGAGCTCACTCGAGTTCTTATGGCAACAGGTGTGTGATTAAATTATGCAAGAGTAGGAAATGATATTTGCTACCACTGTTTTGAGGGCTGTTCACCTATCAGAGGATATTTCAGTTCCTTGTTCGTTGGGCATTCAATCATTAAATCAGCCTCTGCTAGCCTGACGTTTTGGACTACAATTCCTATCAGCCCTAGCCAGCAATTTAGCTAAGTTTAAAGGAGTTCTTTTTGAAGCTGTTGATGGAACAGGCAAGATTCATTCATGTATAACTTGCTGTTGATTTTTCCATGCTCCAGTCTTTCATAAACTGAAATGCGTTCGCAAGCCCTCTGATGATAGATTTAAAACAAATCCAAGAGAATTAAAAAACAAACAAACAATTATGCTTTTCAGGTTTATACATTTCACTAATTTTACAGTCATTTTAACATTTCAAAACTTGACTTCCTTCCCCCTTTCTGCAGTGCCTTAAATTTATTTTAAATATCTTCTGCATATCCTAATTTAATTAATTTGCTCATTCATTCATTGACTTTAAATATAAAATTATAAAACTGCATGTTGTTACAATAATCCTGCCAATGTTCTTATCTGTTTACAATTTATCTGTAAATATTCAATAAATCATTTCCATTCTTTTATAAGTTTGCTTTCTTGCTTTCTTATTCCTCCGGTAAGTTTCGCCATTTCTGCATATTCCATAAGCTTCTTAATAGATTCTTGTAGTTATCCCATACTCTATACAATTTTTTCCTAATTATATGATTTCTAAATCCTTTATGAACTTTCACCTTTTCATACCATATATAAGCGTGCCAACCAAAAATATTGTCATGACCTTCTAAGTCTAGAATATGTGAATTCTCTAATGTTATCCGTTCTTTCAACCAGCAAAGACAGGATGCCTCATAATATAGTCTCATATCCGGCAGGGAAAAACCTCCTCTTTCTAAATCCAAGAGCTCTTACCCTCTTGAGTCCTGGTCTTGCCTACTGGGGCAATTAAAAACCTCATTTTGGGGATCAACACACACACAGGCTAAGATAACCCTCTCTCTGGTTGCCACCTTTGGTGGCACCTGGGGAAGGGCCTTCAAAGTCACTCTTGGCACGTCCGAAGTTTCTTTTAACCTACCTTCTTTTTCTTTGCAATTCTGCTCAAAGCTGGAGGATCGTTCCAGCCATTCTGAGGTCCTGCAACAAAGACCAAACAATATCAGTGGAATGTAAAGCATCCCAGAAAATCAGGAGGAGCAAATTTTGCCACATTCTAACTAGAGGCTAGCATTTCATCGGAATCTAGAAATTTCAGAGAGGGGGTGAGCATGTTCTGTATTTGAAATAGGAATGCAGATAACGCAAAAACCCATGTCTGCCTTCATAGCCTTTGGCCCAATTCCCTTGCTCCTCCTGCCCAACGGGAACTAAATTCAACTAGTTGCTCCTATATTTGTGCACGTTCTGCCTCCACTACCAGAATGCAGATTGCAAGCCCCACGAGGGAAGGACCTACCCTGTGGGTTTATACTACCTGCAAAGCTTTATGTAAATCGACAGCACAATATTCCAGTTACGATTAACATTCATTACAGTGCTCTTTGTCAATCTGGCATGGATTTGCAAGTACAATTAGCATAATCACATATATTTGTTATTTATCGGTACATATTTAATACGGTCATTGACATTTCTATCATTGGGCTAACAAAGAAATTTCAGAGATTTGTTTCGGACGTTGTTAGCAACAGACACCACTTTGGAATACCATGTTGCTGCTCTGGAGAACGCAGCATTTTGGCACTTCTGGGGTTTTAAATGCTGATTGATGCCCCAAAACGTTTCCAACTGAGCGATGTGCTGGCCACCGTTTGTCAAAATACATGCCTCTACTGGTTTGCCCTGGAAGTCTGGGCTGCAGAGCCTTCGTGGTGATTAAACAAAGAAACTGCTTTGTATCGATTTGGACAATAGGCCCATCTAAGCACAGTTGCTTAGGCTTAAAAGCTTCCCCTACACCAGGTGTGGGGACACTTCCCTGCCTGAGGGCCACAATCCTTTCTGGGGAAGCTTCCAGGGGCCACATAACAGTGGTGGTCAAGGCCAGAGGCAAACGTGGGCAAAGCAATAGATGTCAATTTACCTTTGGACAGGAGGCCAGTTCCTACAAGCGCTCACTCACACAACTCTCTACCCTCCATCAATGGAAGCAAGAGGCATGATCAGAGTTGAAGGACACATTCCAACCATGCAAAAACACTGGAGGAGGATGTGAAGCAAGGCCGGTGAGGGTTGTGGTCTGGGTGGAGTGCCAAGGGCCAGACAAAGCCCTGAAGGGCCACATTTGTTTGGCCCACGGGCTGGAAGTTGCCTGCCTCTGATCTACCACTGACTGGCAGGAGTCCTTGACCACCTAGAGGTGAAGAGGACTGACCTTCTGCATAGGAACTTTACCACTGGGCACTGCCCTTCCCAAAGGGCAATGGATTTTGCACTGGGGGAAGGAGGATTAAATCTGGGGACAGGCCTGTGCTATTTGCATTAATAAAAAGTCTAAGGACACGTATTCAGATATGCAATGGGCAAAACCATTCGTTGATTACAATGGAACTAGGCCTGAAGACAGCAGTGAATCTTTTCGAGCCTAGGTTCCCGCATAGCTGTAGTTTTGCTAACGTTAGGATTAAATCAGCAACTGGTAGCAGAGAGACGCAGGTTTAGATCTTGACCGCCTATCCTTTCCAGAGCAGATCACTGAAAAAGACAACCAGCTTTTGCAGCACGGATAACCCATAAATCCACAGCAGAGTCAACATTTTAAAAAAATAAAATGATTTGGATCAAACTGGTAAAAATTGGAAAGAACAAAGCTGCTGTGAACATGCTCGTTTGAGTCACTTAATTAAGTTTTGCTGCTGCTTGGCAGGAAGCCTGTCTCGCAGAGCGAGAGTGTGCTGCCATTGGTCTTGCTGCTTGAATTCATAATCACTAACTGGGGAGTAGAGTAACAACGGCTGCCTGCTACTGAGCCTCATGGGCTTGGGAGCTAAAATGCAGGGAGCCCCCTGCATTTGCAGTGCCAATTACTGTGCTTCCCTGGAAAAAAGCAGCTTCGCTCATGAAAGCGCTCCGTCCAGGAAACTGATAGCTCAGTTGGTTAGAGGATGGTGCCCATAACGCCAAGGTTGCAGGTTTGATCCCTGTATGGGAAACTTCATATTTCTGCACTGCAGGCTAGATGATCCTCAGGGATGAAGTTCATTACAATATGTTTGCTGTATCCTGATCACTAACTGCAATATTTTAATCGCACTTACTGCATTTTTATTTTAAATTCTATGGCAGGCATAGGCAAACTCGGCCCTCCAGATGTTTCTTCCTTTATTATTATTAATTTTATACAGTATTACAGAAGGTTTTACAATCATAATAACCCAAATACAGTCAAGAGCATATCTCATATATGTTCAATTGTACCAAATTCTTCACAAAAACCCCTTGTTTTGCTCTTCATTAATATTATTCTCCTTTAGACTCCATCATTTTAACCTCTTAAGTCACGTATATATCCTGGCCCTCCAGATGTTTTGGGACTACAATTCCCATCATCCCTGCCCACTGGTCCTGTTAGCAAGGGATCATGGGAGTTGTAGGCCAAAAACATTTGGAGGGCTGAGTTTGCCTATGCCTGTATCAGTGAACCGCTCAGAGATTTTACTTTTGCAAAGAAGAAGAGAAGGCTAAGCGGCAAATAAATCATCTAAATAAATGAAAAAGCTATGAACCTGTCCAGACAAAAGTGGCCAGCTGGGCCTCTGGCCTGAACACACATTGATGTTATCGTCTATTGGCAAGGGCTTCCGAATAAGCCTTATTGAAAATGAATGAAAGCAATACTGAGTGTGAATCCGGAATCAGTAGCTGCAGATGTTCCTGGTGGAATTTGCTCTGGCTCAGGAGTATGCAGGGACCCCCCAACAAACATGCTTAGGGGGCAGCTTAAATTGGGATCTTCTGAACTCAAGGGCCACTCAAGTAAAATAAAAAGTAATGCAGGTTTGTTACACAACACCGATAGTTAATCAAAAATAATCACAGCTGGAGTTTTTAACCACAGTGCTATCATTTTCTTTTTAGAAAACTGCAGCTCCCATTCTCTAAAAATCTAGGATTAACTCAGTTTCCTTGAGAAATTTGGATTCCCATGGTTCTGCAGCTCATTTGCAACTAAGGGCAAGAAGGTAAGTGTGTACTGGGCACAGGATTTCACTTTCTGTGAATCCTGGCATTGTTTCTTTTCCAAAGGAAGATTCCAGTCCTCATGACTATAGAAAATATAGGTTGAGAGTGTGGGGATAACGATCGCTCAAATCTTGGAAGCTAGCAGGGTTTCTGATGAAGATTTCTAGCAATCAAGGCTAAGCAGGGAGGGCTTCAGTGTTCTTCACAGCTCTTTCTCCCTTCCCAGGACTAACTAAATCATATTTTTTTAAAGGCTGAAAGTTGAAGGATAAATTAGGTGAAATAAGAAAAACCAAGGAGAAGAGAAGTATTTGCTGTTAGCATTTCAACTTTTTCTCTTCCCTCCCTCCATGAACAAGTCTCTGACCTGGGAAACTGAGAGACCCTGGTGAAGACCAACACCTAACCCCTAGAGGTCTTGGGATGTGGTGCCAGGGCAACTTAGAGGCCCCCTGCCTATGTCCCTGATGCTATGTTTGAGGCCGAATTTGCTCTTCCTTCTATTAACCGAAACGTATTTCCTGTGCCGAAAGGAAGAACTGCAGGTAGACATCTTCACAACCCCTGCAATTCCTCTTCTTTTCCATCAGTGCAAGCAGGTAAAGGTAAAGGGACCCCTAACCATTAGGTCCAGTCGCAGACGACTCTGGGGTTGCGGCACTCGTCTCGCTTTATTGGCCGAGGGAGCCGGCATACAGCTTCCGGGTCATGTGGCCAGCATGACTAAGCTGCTTCTGGTGAACCAGAGCAGCGCACGGAAACGCCGTTTACCTTCCCGCTGGAGCGGTACCTATTTATCTACTTGCACTTTGACGTGCTTTCGAACTGCTAGGTTGGCAGGAGCAGGGACCGAGCAACGGGAGCTCACTCCGTCACGGAGATTCGAACCGCCGACCTTCTGATCGGCAAGTCCTAGGCGCTGTGGCTTAAACCACAGGCAGGAGGCAGCTTACAAACAGCTTATGCAAATCTGCTCGATCTGCACAAGTTAAGCAAATTTTTCTGGATTTATTTGGACACAGAACTTGGATTGATTAGGTGCAATTTCTTTTAATGTTCCATTGGAAAGTGCAGAATACACACGCCCTGATTTTAAGGATAGTTGCAACTATTTGGAAGATTGTGTAACTGTCTTCTCAGCTTTTCTGAACACGAAAGGCAGCTGTCCTGTTTGTGTAAAAGACTGCTTCAAAAATTATAGTGCAGACCATGGAAATTAACATTTCAGAGCGTTACTCCTCTCCCAATGAATGCAACAAACATCTGTTTTGGAAGTTGATCACATCTGTGGTTATAAATCCCAGCTCTGCTATTTGAGTCAAACCATTTGTCTCCATTAAAATGTTACCGAGTGTTAAATTTCATTGGATTTAACAAGTATTATTAGCACAAAGTATTGAATTTGCGGTCACATGCACTGCTAGAGTCCAATTTGTTAGATGTGCGTGCTGTGCCTTAATGATTTCCATTTTATAAAAGGTAGCTAAGTCACCTTGCAGGATACTGGCTTGGTCTTGTATGGATTGATAGTCTGCAGACAAAACGCAAAAAAACCTCAGGAGCAGTTTAAAAGGGGAAAAAAAGATACACTACCTTCCCATTACCAGCTTTTTCCAAGCTTTGCATGTGCTGGAAAATACCTTCTAAGGTTTCAAGAACAGATTTCAAGCGTCCGCTCTTACCAATCCTCACTCCCAGTTTAGCCATGCAGCCCCAGAGTTTGCCTAAGCAACAAAGAACAAGCTACCTTCTTCAAGGAAATGCACTCAGTATCCACAACCTCCTCACTAAGAAAACCTAGAGGAGTTTCCCAGGAACCGTGGGATTCTTAAAGAACTCCATTTGAATAGCTGCTGGTGTTGTGCTGGGCTTAAGGCCTGCAAGGCCTGATTCCAAATTCTTGGTTCCAAAGTCCTTTTTAGTGATGTGAGGTGAGAATATTCTCTGCTAGAAAATTCTCCGGAGAATATTCTCCACAAACTGTAAGTTCTAATGTAAGAACCAGTTTTACAACCCACATTTAAAAAATCTAGTAAATAATAAATCAAGCTGTGATATTGCCAGTGTAAGTAATGAATAATTATTTTTTTGATCCAGTTACATTACGGGGCATTGTGTCATTCACCATTGGCAGTTCTGAAATGTGAGCTACAGAAACCATTTTTTTTTTTAAGTTTTAAAAATGCTATTCATTTAATTTGATGAACATTTGAATTCCTATGTTTTTCAACTGTATGTAATAGGCTTGGTGAGTAACATGAGTCATTCACGCTGAATTTTCAATTTCAAGTTTGGTGCAAAAAATATATATCAAAGAATGTGAATTCACTGCATTGCCCCATTGAATAAAAGTATCTTTACAGTTTTTGGTTGCCATCTGAACAAGTTTACCCATGAATAAACATGTATATTAACTAATTATATCATTTTCAATGCATTAAAATGAATATTCTCCTATTTTAAATGAAAATTCTCTAATATTCTCATTAATCGAGAATATTCTTGAGAATATTCTCCAAAAGATTATTCTCGAGAATTTAACATCACTAGTCCTGTTCATCAAAGTGAAAATGGGATAACCCTGCAAAAACAGGGATGGGGTAGGCATGGTCCTCTAGTTGTCTGGACTCCAACAGTCAGGGATGATGGGAGCTGAAGCTCAACATCTAGAGGACCACACCTGTTTTGAGAGTTCGGCTGTGAACTGAACATGGAAGCTACCCCCATTAGAAAACTTTAGTCCACAGCACTCTTTGCAAGGCACCCTGGAACACGTATTCCTTGAAGTGAACTCAAAAGCACTCTAACCCATTTTTCTACCAGGAAAGAGGAACAGCTGCTGTGTATCTAACGTAATTTCATCCTAAACTGTAACCTGTAATAGCCTTGCTCCCGTCATACCCTGGCCAAAATAAAATAATAATAATAATAATAATACAAAGTTTTGGTCCCTGACAAAAGCTTTGTGTCTTCCTGTTATGCTTATTTGCATTTTATTTTCAAGGAAAGGAAAGCTAAAGAGTTGAATGACACCGATAAAGAAACAGGTCTGTTATCATGCACCGATAGCATGCTCAAGACAAAAAACATTAACAAAAGCAAGTTCACACTTCTCTCATTTTGGGCCAAACATTCTTGTGTCATGCAGAAGCAAATGTTCCAGACATGCTTCTTTAGTTCATGCGAGAAGAAAAACATACCTTTAAAGGGTTTCTAAATTGCTTCGTCGATATCGAGTCTCACCTTTAGTGAACAACTGTCGCTCGCCCCTCCCCCTTACTGGTGCCAATCCCAATGGGAAAACTTCAGCTAACAATGAATATAAAGGGCTGGAGTATTGATATAATAGGTCAGAGGCCAATGCGTTTTGTTCTGGTTGGAATTTCAGCATCATGTTTATAAGGTATGCTCTGATTAAGTTTCCAGAATTACTACCATTATTATTTTAAAGGGACAGGTCAGATCGCGCACACCCCCCCAAAAAAATGTCGCCAACCTTGGGTTTAAAACAAGAACCCTGGTCCATGCTCTCTTGAAACCATCTCAAAGCTTGCTAATGGAATAATCTTTGTTAAGAAGTGAGAAATAGAGCATCACAAGGATTCTTCACATATCATGGCTATATGCCTGTTTTGGATCCTGGCTCCCAATGGGCAACAGCAGTTGCTCCCATGCCACTTCAGAGAAGTATAAGGCTTCCTGTACTTACACACTTCCATAAATACAAATGTTTGGTCTGTGTAGCACAGCTGTAGCTTTGCAGGTTTTCCAGAGTGGCACAGGTGCAACTGCAGTGGTAAGCAGGTGAAGTGACCGTACTTTAGGAGAGTCAGTGTGGTGTAGGGGTTTAAGTGCTGGACTCTTGGGCTGCAAAGACCTGGGTTCAAATCCCCACTCCGTTCTGAAGTTCACTGGGTGAATGTGCGCCAGCCACTATCTCTCAGCCTAGAGCACTGGTTCTCAACCTATGGGTCCCCAGATGTTGTCAGACTACAATTCCCATAATCCCTTGCTAGCTAGGGGTGATGGGAGTTGTAGTCCAACAACATCTGGGGACCCACAGGCTGATAAAGGCTGCCCTAGAGCATTTCATGGGGCTCTTGCAAGGGTAAAGGAAGTAGGGGGTGGCCCTGATCTCCCTGGCAGGCTAAAAAAATCTAGCAAACTGATAGCGGGTAACACAATTTTCTGCGGGAGGCTTGAGAATGTTAAACAATTGGCTAGGCAATTTTGGGGCATGGCAAACAAACAAGAGCCAGGTCCCATTCCAAAGCCTTGTTCTTATAAGTCGCTGGCTGAAAGCTGCCAGCACTGATGTCTTGACTTCCTTTTGGTCTTGTTTTTGGTTAAAGCAGGGCAGGTGTCAAGGCCCTTCTACAGTTTTAGAGCCTCTATGCAGCAAATGACTCATGGGACTATCTCTGGATTCTCTTTTGACTCACGGCAGCGGCGTTTGGTCACTCACGCTGCTCTGGACAGAGCAAGCTGCTGGTCCTATACGGAAGGCAAAAGATGACGATGCTTTTCAGAAGCACACAACCAGAGTTTTGCGCAAGCCACCAGTTTTGCGCAAAACCATGTCAGCGTACACATGCAAAACGACGAGGATAAATGAAACGTGCGCCCCATTCCGCCCCACCCCCAAAATGCATAACAAAGGCCCCTTTGCAAGCGCAGACCTGTTCTTTGGGATGCAGCGAGCTCACTGGTTGCCGGCTCTGTACCTGAGGGTCCAGGAGGCAGCGCATATGGCAGAGAAGATGCTGGGGCTCCCGGCCGGCCATGCTGGAAGGAGGCACCAGAAGGAGGGGGAGGAGGAAGAGAAGAGCTGGGGTTCAAGCTGGTTGGGGAGGGCTGGGGCTGGGCTGGGTACAGCTGGGAGGGCATGGAGGTGGGAGGGTTAGAGGGCATGTACGGAGGGTTGGGGTTAGCGTAAGAGGCTGAGGTGGGAGGGGGCGGAGGAGGTTGTTGCTGGTGGGGCTGATAGAGCGACGGTCCCCCCGTTCCGTAAGAATACTGCTGCGCTGTCTGGCAAGCTACATCGGAGAGGGTGGGGGGAAAGGAGAAGGTTATGTTAGTAAAGTGAGGCCGAGCTGAAACGGGAGAAAACACAGCCCTAAGAGGGGCTGCAGGTTAAGCATTCCAGATAAAGGTTCCTGCTTTAATACGGAAGATAAAAACGGAAAATTATTATTAATTAAATCTGCATACAACATCCGAAGATCACGGGGCGGTGCACTACATAAAAATACAAAACGAGAACACAGAATGCGTAATAAAACGAGAACGAAAGCAAAACAAAGCAATAACCCTCCCCCTCCCCACAGACACATTTAGAATCGTGGGGTAGGAGAGCTGGGGGGGTGGGAATCACATCTGGCAACCTATGTGCCCCTTTGGTCTCAGATAGTACATGGGTAGAGGAGCCCAGGACACAAATTTTCACAGCCGTCTAGTTGCTATGGTGGCACGTTTACCAAAAGTAATGTATTTAGCGTTCACTCTGGAAGTGCATACCCTGTTTGACCAAACTAAGCCTCCTAGACATGGGTAAATAAGGCAAATGAGCCTCCGTAGCCATTAGAGCAGGCATAGGCAAACTTGGCCCTCCAGGTGTTTTGAGACTACAATTCCCATCATTCCTGACCACTGGTCCTGTTAGCTAGGGATGATGGGAGTTGTAGTCCCAAAACATCTGGAGGGCCGAGTTTGCCTATGCCTGCACTAGAGGGCCAGGAACATTTGTGTCCCAGATTTTTTTAGACTTGTCTACCCATGTACTATCTGAACCCAAAAGGGCACATTGGCCGCCAGATGTGAAATGTATTGGCATTGTTTTCAGCTCTCCTACCCCACTAGAAAGCCATACAGTGGTGCCTCGCAAGACGAAATTAATCCATTCCGCGAGTCTCGTCTTGCGGTTTTTTCGTCTTGCGAAGAACGGCTATTAGCGGCTTAGCGGCTATTAGCGGCTTGGCGGCTATTAACGGCTTAGCGGCTTTAAGAAAAAGGAAACAAACTCGCAAGAACTCGCAAGACGTTTCGTCTTGCGAAGCAAGCCCATAGGGAAATTCGTCTTGCGGAACGACTCAAAAAACGGAAAACTCTTTCGTCTAGCGAGTTTTTCGTCTTGCGAGGCATTCGTCTTGCGGGGCACCACTGTATAATGTTAATTGGCCAAAAAGCCTGGTTGAAGAGGAACGTTTTTGCCTGGCGCCTAATCTCTAATAATCGATCTCTAGGTCAAGGATGGGGGAATCTGTTGCCTGTGAGATGCTGCTGCCGAATGCGACCCAGAGGGCCACAGGATCTCCCCTTCCCTGCTCTAGGGGGCTAAAAAGAGACAAGGGGGGTGGGTGCGTGGGGAGACCAACGACACGTATGCAGCTCGCCCTGAATAATTTAGAAGACACATTGTTCAGCCAAGTGCCATTTCTTCCTTAGAAGGAGAATGTTCAAAAATTCTTTGACACGTCTGTTCAAAAGCTCTCCCTGCTCCCCACCATGCTGCCTGGCAGAAATTGCTTGGATGTTAAGTGCTGTTACCAGATGAGTTATTAAGGGGCGATGGGGAGAGAAGAAATCAAATGAATATCACAAGGTTGCAGCTATTTCACTGCAAAATCCATAGCTCATTTATTTAATGCCTCTATGATGCCTGAAGAGAAATTTGTCAATCCCAAAGGGAACCTGAGCAGCATGGTGGGCTGAGAACAGAGTTACAGGGAGAGGGGGAGGGAGGGAGGGAGAGAAAGAAGGAAAGAAGGAAAGGAGGAAAGGAGGAAAGAAAGAAAGAAAGAAAGAAAGAAAGAAAGAAAGAAAGAAAGAAGAGAGAGCAGGTTTAAGTTCCTTCACAGTCATAAAAGATACAAGCCATCCCACGCTCTTGGGATACAATGGGGAAAATAATCCAAGTTGCCATGTTATTCACAACATTGGTCCAGATTCAGCTAACTGGATGCTCTAGCAGAAGCCAGTGCAAGGTCTCCCAGTAGCACAACAGGCCCCTTACCATCCAATCTGCCTTGCCAGGGTGTGTGTATGTAGTAGTAGTAGTAGTAGTAGTAGTATACCACCCTTCATCTGCAGATCTCAGGGTGCTGACAGAATGAACGTATTCTCACAAATTCCTCCTTCAGGTCGAGGTACTTTTCAAGGGAGAAAGATGTGACCACTTTTACCCCCTTGTGACCATGGCAGCGGTGATGGGGAGGGAGTGGTTCAAAGGCTTCATGGGCACCAGGGTTGCCACAACAACAAACCTAGGTTTATAGCACACCAAGCTCAACGTAATAAGAATAAAGGGGGCGGGATACTAGGAAGACTGTGCTACTCACGTTGTGGATACGCTTGTTGTGCTGCGACCTGAGAGTACATATTGTAAGCAGGAGGCGCCGGCTGATGTGGTGGTGCGCTGGGATTAACAGTCCCTGGCATAAACCCTGGAGGAGGAGGGTTTTCGCCCTGGGGAACAAATTGGGAAGAGAAAAAAGGTTAGGTTTGGTTAGGTGCATATGAAGCGAAGGCTTGGCCCAGAATGACAGTTTGCAAAGTTAAAAGTCCTGCTCTCAAAGCACTCATTAGCTCACACACAATTCTTTTCCACTTCCCACCTTACTTTGAATGTAAAGACAGAACATGCAACAGGGTGCCCAAGAAACTGGCAATAGCCACCTGCAATGCCGAAAAATGGAGAAAACCTAACGTGCGCTGAATTCATCATGGGGAATGGGACGGTCAACTCAAGGTGCTTTTAAGGGCTAAATCATTTATTCAATTTGTTAGGGAGGGAGAAATGTGGCAGCGGGGAGGAATTAAGCCCACCTGTTCCCCCAGTGGAAACTATGGGGGCCTCGTTGATTGAACTCAAAATCTGATTCACAGGCCAGAAGACATCCTGAAATACAGCAAGGCCGGCTGGGAAATCTGATTGATCTGAAACCTGTGCCTACTTCCCAGATGGCCAGGAACGCGCTGAGAATTGCAAAGTGTGTATAAAAAAGGTGATGGGAGCGGGGAGGGAGCATAGGAATGGCATAGAAAGGGATATGTGTGCAAGGGTCCAATTTTTATTTAAAAAATAATAATAACAAGGAGAGCAGATCCTGCTCAAAGAGGAATAATTAATGTTATACCTGTGTCTCAGAGGGAGAGGCTGCAGGAGGATGGCTGGGAAGGGCAGTGGGGTTTTTGTTACTCCAGGTAGTGACAGTAGGGGCAACTCTAACCTGAATTGAACAGAGAGATACCAATCATGGAAAAATAAAACGAAATGAAAAAAGAAGAAGAAAAAGTCCGAAAGGGTGTCAAAACAGCCAGAATGCTCAAAAAATGCCCCCCCAAAAAACACCAAACAATGCCAACCCCCTATTTGCCATGCTGCTTAAGAGTTATGATTGTTTAAGACCTCGATCACTGTATTCTTAGGAGCCAGGCAGCCAAGACAAGGCAGCATGGGGAAAGAGAAGAAGCTCAGGGGAAGAAGGCAGCGAACGCTCAGCGGTGATTTAGATTTCACCTGGTTAGTGCTGTTGGATTGACTAGGATGCTTTTATTTGGCATGTTTTGCATCCCTAACAAGCTGCAGTCTCGGTGCCTAGTGCTGCTTGTCTAATACTCGATTGCCTGGATTGTTTTAGAACGCAGGAACCGACAGAGCCCTGTGGAAGACAGGAACTCCCAGAGCATACAAGTGGAGAACGTGGACTGAGGGTGGGGAAGACACAAACATACACAGCACACCTGGCCATATAAAACTCAGCGTGGGCACCAGACTGCTCTGTGACTATTGCAGCTGCTGGGTTGGGATAATGCCATGCAGTGCTTTTATGTTTTTGTAAAAAACAACACGAGGTGCCCATGCTTATATTGATGAGTGCCATGGGTGCCAGCACAAAATGGCTGCTATGGGCAGCAAAAAAAGAGGTGCTGGAACTCTGTACCTATTAGTGCTGTCGCACAAACAAAAGGCCTGATGATATTACAAAATCAAGACGAGAGTAAGACACATTATGTTCTTTGCAGAATCAACACATGGTATTATGTAATTAAGATACACAAAGGAAAGGAGCAAGACCCAAAGAGCACAGCAGCTTCTGCCTGCATTTAAGACTCAGCCACATACAGAGATTGATTTGTGCTTTGCCTTTCACATCAGAAAACGGGGTGAAATCAGCACTTACTCTTGAGCCTGTCCAGCACTTGTCTTCATAGACAAAGTGAGCCATTCCCATTTACAATATACCATTCCGCTTTCCTTTGGACCACATCAGCGAGGCTGAGAGGAGGGTCTTGTCGTCTGGGCAGCCCAGGACCTCTTTACCCACTGCCCAGGCAGTGTGTCCGGGGAAGTCACTCTGGTGCTGCTATTACAGTGATTCCAACTTCACCCCCGGGGGCACACTCCATTCTGAGACAGATGTGTGCCAACAACATGTGTGCTTAAAAGAGAAAAATGTGCACATCCCAAAGACAACAGCCAGGGGGGACACAGCCTCTGGTGCTGGTCTCTCCTGGTGTGTTAGAGGCAAGAGAACAACGATGCACAAGTTTCATGCTCTCTATCCATAAGAACAGCCTTGCAAATAGGCTGCTTCTAAGCTATAAAATCGTTCAGGAGCCACCTCTCCACAAACATTTATACTTGTCATTTGTTGCGTCAAATAAAACATTTTCTTTTCTTTTAGCTTATAAACACTTCTAGGCTTGGTCACCTGGAGAAGATGCTTGCTCACTACAGATCACCCAGACAACACTGTATTTACAAGCCTGCCCTAACTGTGTTTTAAGTCTGCTATCATAGCTGTCTGGCAAATATATCAAAAGGATGAGGAGCCATAAGCCTTGGAGCAAATTATCCAGCTTATTTCAAGCTGAAAGGGTAGTGGCAAAACACGCCCCAAATTCATAATCTGCACAGGGAATTAAAGCAACACAAAGGGTGGTGGAAGGCGGGGAGAAAAGAAAGCAGGCGAAAATATCTCAAGCAGGACTTAAGGCTACAACACTCGGCATTTAAAAGAGCATTTCACATCAGCAAAAGCTTGCGTGGCATCAAAACGAACACTCAGGCAGGCTGGCTCGCAAGATTCCCATGATCGCTTTTCAGAAAAGCACATGTACAAACTGCAAAAAGCACAAGCAGAAGCTGCTGCTGGAAAGACTTGCAAGAAGCACTTCGTATAGACGCTGCGGGCGCTGAATGCTCAGAACATGAGGCAGAATGATGCTGCAGCAAAGCTGGGTGTCCACAGAAGCCGAAGTGTGGCTGCTGAAGGTGTCCGTTACCTGGTGATAGTATTGCTGGGCTGGGACTTGTGGCATCTGTGCCTGGCCAGCCGCAGGTCCAACTCTCCCCCTGGGTGCTGCAGGCTGTCTTTCGTAAGGTACCTTTGGTGCTTCTGGGGCCCGGGAAAGCTCTCCTTGAGCTCTACAAATCCTTTCCCGCAACAAGATGATGTTTGGCTGCAAAGAGGAAAGAAACCACAAGGAATTGCACACATACACCCCACAAGCAAGCGGGATTCAATCAAGAGAACTGGTGCATTCGTTATTCAACACAGAAGGTGGCAGGAGAATAGAGTCGTGAGAAGGCACGAGGACTCGAGTTACTGCAGCAGCAGAATAATTTTTCGCCTATGCTGAAGCAGGGACCCAAGGAGATACACAAATATATCTAATCTTTGCAAGATGAGGGGTGTTCCGCATCTTGCAGGCAGGCAGGAGATGTTGGGGAGCTTCAACACAGCTCTTCTTCATAGCTCCTGCTCCAAAGCCAGAAGAACTGAACCAACAAGGAATTTCCACTCAGTCATTCCTGTCCTGGCCTAACTGGGCCCTACAATGTTCAACCACTCATTTATCCATTCTCCATCACCATCATTATATTTCTTATGCCCCTGGGTGGGTCACAGCTATTTAAAAATACAAGATTGAAAACAGATGGCAATCAAGAGAATAGGGCAGGTCCCAATGTATATACAAATCTCTCTTGGGCATCAAATGCCATCATCCCTGACCACTGGTCCTGTTAGCTAGGGATGATGGGAGTTGTAGTCCCAAAACATCTGGAGGGCCGAGTTTGGGGCTGCCTGGGTTAGAGTGTTGGACTGAGACCTATGAGACCAGGGTTCAAATCCCCACTCAGCCATGACGCTCACTGGGTGACCTCGGGCCAGACGCACACTGACCCACCTCGCAGGGTTGTTGTGTAGGTAAAACAGGAAGGCGAACCATGTATGCCTCCTTAAGCTCATTGGAGGAAAGGTGGGATATAGATGAAAAAAATTAAGAATCAGACGGAAACTACAACACTTTGGAGGTCCCAAGTTGAAAGGTGGTTAGATTGATCTCAACTAGGGCCAGGGCCTTTTCAGTACTGGCCCCAACTTGGTGGAACGCTCTGTCACAAGAGACTAGGGCCCTGCGGGACTTGACATCTTTCCGCAGGGCCTGCAAGACAGAGCTGTTCCGCCTGGCCTTTGGTTTGGACTCAGTCTGACCCTTATGTTTTCCGTCCCCTTACCGTTTTGATCCATGGGCTACTTTTAAAATGAGGCTGCATTTTAAATTGCATTTTAACCTGTATTTTAAATTGGGGCACCCCCCCCCATTATGTTTTTATTGTAATTTTACTGGTGTTAGCCGCCCTGAGCCCGGCTCTGGCCGGGGAAGGCGGGGTATAAATACAAATTACTATTATTACATAATGAAAGTGCCAAATGAACCTCTGCGAGGAGGGAATTCCACAGCTTGGGGGCTGCCACAGAGAGCACCCTCTCCCAGAAGACCCTCAAACTTCTGAGGGTAGTGGAACTACCAAGAAGCTCCCCCCATCCTATAGGAAGTAGTCTTTCAGATATTTGGGGTGCAAGCAGTCTAGGGCTTTAACCTAATGTGAGCATCTTGAATCGGACCTGGAAACAAACTGGAAACCAACGCAGCTGTTTAAAAACAGGGTTACCTAGATGGTAAGTGAAAACCCAGCTGCATTTTGGACCAGCTGAAGTTCCTCAGTTGCCTTCAAGGTCTGGGGCTGATGCGTTGCTGCACTCCACAATTATCTGGAGGGCACTAGGTTAGCTAAGGCCAATCTAACGTAAGGCAAGGGAGGGAAACAAAATCCAGACTGGATTATTGTACCTCGCTCTACGTGGGGCTGCCCTTGAGACTGACCCAGAAACTCCAGCGGGTGCAGAATGCCGCAGCGAGACTCCTTACGGGGTCTTCGGTGCGAGATCACATTCACCCAGTGCTATACCAGCTGCACTGGCTCCCGGTGGAGTACAGGATCAGGTTTAAGGTGCTGGTTTTAACCTTTAAAGCCCTATACGGCCTAGGACCCTCGTACCTATGGGACTGCCTCTCCTGGTATGCCCCACAGAGGAACTTACGGTCTTCAAATAAAAACACCTTGAAGGTCCCAGGCCACAGAGAGGTTAGGCTGGCCTCAACTAGAGCCAGGGCTTTTTCGGCTGCGGCTCCAACCTGGTGGAACACTCTGTCACAAGAGACAAGGGCCCTGCAGGACTTGACATCTTTCCGCAGGGCCTGCAAGACAGAGCTGTTCCACCAGGCCTTTGGTTAGGGCACAGCCTGACTCCCTCCTTTGGCAATCTTTACAAAGCTTTAGTTTATGGTTGCCATCAATTTTGATTTTAATTAATTTTTATAATGTTTTTATAATGTTGCACTATTTTAGTGTTGTTAGCCGCCCTGAGCCTGGCTTCGGCTGGGGAGGGCGGGATATAAATAAAATTTATTATTTATTATTATTATTAAAATCCGAGCCTGTTTACCTGGTTGGTGTTCTCGGGAAGGAAAGCTAAAGCTGCAGCGGTGCTGCCCTGCGAAGCCAGGAGGTTGGCATACTGGCTCATCTTGTCGGCCAAGAGAGCCCCGACTGTGCTGGCGTCGGCCACTTGCGTCTGCTGCACCGCCTTGCGCAGGATAACCACTTTCTCAATGAGGTCCTACAGGGAGAAAGAAAAAGAAAATAGTTAAGCGGGGAGCAGGCCAGTTTGGATTAAAGAGTTTCTATCTGCATGTGGGTCCCTTTTTTTTACCAGTAGAATTTCAAATAAAGTTTAAAGGTGTCGTGTTATTTCACAGGGGACCAGACCCAAAAGGGAACCAGTTAACGAAGAGCTACCTGAAGGGAAAGCGGGGTGCTTCCATCTTGAGCTTTAGTCCAGCAGGCAACCAGCTTTTCTACATTTCCAGCACAAATGTAACATAGGCAAGCCTGAGTCTGCAGATGGCTGTCACCTTCGCTTTCAAGTCTAGAGCCCAACAAATCTAGGAATTAGAAGGAAAAGAGTGCATATTTGAATCCATGCAATTAAAACCAGCGCTGTTAAAAATGCACCAATGTCAAGTTCAATGTCAAGTTCAGAAGTTGCCTTCCAAATGACCAGAATGTGCCAAGGGCTCAAGTGTTCCCTCTTCCATTTGCTGGCTATCGCTAGCCACCATTTGCTACGACATTCAAGTCTGGCAAAGTTATGGTTGGTGCTAATCTTAGCTGCCCATTCTAGACATCATGAAAAACCTATGATTATAGGAACCAGGAAATGGAGGCTACTAAAGCCATGCTGTCATTTGATCCATTCCAGCTGGTGGTTATAATAACTTTTTCTGTAAGAATTAGTGCTTAGTGCTTGAGCTTGCTTCCCTGCCTCATCCCTCCAAATCCCCTTTTCCTTTTGTGCTGTGCCTTTTAAGAATGTAAGCCTGCAAGTTTGCTCAGTCTTTTCATTGATATTTTAGGAGCTGCTATGGAAACCTTTTTCTGATGAAAGGTAAGGTAAAAATGCTTTAAATAATAATAATAATAATAATCCTGTGTGCTTAATTGCTTACTAAATGAGATGTGTTCATATTTTATTTCAGTGAAGGAAAATGCAAGCTATAAAAAAGATACGTTGCATTTTAATTAAAGAGTAACCCAACACCTTCATCTGTGTCTAGTTTCCTCACCACAGAGAGCAGCAAATTCATCTGGCCTTGCGTAAGTCAACACGGCAGCTAAAGCTTCCCTCCAGTTTTGCAGGTCGCAAGACTGGACAATCTCCTTCCAGTTCTTGGTCACAACTGCAGTGATGAGCTGAGAAGAAAAGGCAGAGAACAAATAAGTGTATTATGACTGCCTTGTTCTAATGCTGTGCATTTACCGATTGAGCATCCTAGCCAAGGGAGTAAAGCGGTTCTGCAAAAGCTTGCTTTAAAAACAGGATCTAAAGACATGCACACTGTTCACTGGTTACTACTACGCTACAGTAATCTTGGGTCATGGTTTTGTACAAGCGAAATCTGTAGTTGCCTAATCTACACATGCAGCAGGATGTGGTGGTAAAATAGAAAATATTACTTCATGCTGCAGGTTGCGGGGGTGGGAATCACATTTCTGGAATGTCTCTCCTATTTTTTAAAAAGCCTTGCAAGTAGAAAACTAGCACATAAGGGAGAAAGGTCTTAGTCCAGCCACTTCAGTTGTGCTAGTTTCCCCCTGCCTACAGGAAATTGTTTTTGGTTTGATTCACATATAGGAACATTAAAATGTGATTATCCCAACTTGGGGTGTAAGATCATACACTCCAAATTCCTCCCTACCCAATAACTACATCCTCCCTAACCACTTCTTTCTCTACAGCATTTTGAAGGTTTCCTCTTTCTGAGGCCTAGTTCTCACAAACGACGGATGAGAAACCCGGAATGTACCACCACAGAATGAAGGTGGAGGCTTGCTTGACTGAATGTTTCTTCCACATAAAAAAATAGATTATCAGGTAAGGGAAGTCATAGACTAGTCAGATGACTCATCTACAACCCTCTGCCTGATAATCACATCTAACCTGCGTTCGAAACTCCCATTGTTCTAGGTGCGTTTTGTGACAAGGAATTTCATTAGCTCGAGCAGTTTCTGAGCTCTGGGTGCAGTACTGAGCTGAAGATTTCAGATTAAAACTGCAGAGCAGAAGGAAAGGAGGACCTTTTTCTGCCTCCCCACTTCTAGCTACTCTCTGAATACTGGAGAAGAGACCCTCTGAATAATATTAGCAGGGGAAGAAAGGCTTTGCTCTTTTTTGCAGTCTTCAGATGAGGACTGGACCATGTGAAAAACGAATGCAAGATTTTAGCTGAAGTTCATTCATTTTCAGCTTTATATTCTTGCTGTTAAAAAAGCGTGCTTAGATAGTCCGTTGTTGTGCCCATAAACAAGGTTTAAGGTGCCATTCAGCTCCTAGCCTTCCTGTCTCAGTTTGTAACACTACATCAAACACTTGAGAAACAGATAAATAAAAATGTTCTCCCCCATTTCCTGCCTGCGGTTCACGGATCTTAATCTCCCTACAGCTCTTCTCCCTTACTACATCCTCACTTACAATTTAGCATCATGAACTCTTGCTTCTGCTCCCAGCAGCTTCGGACACGGTGAAGGTGCAATGAGCGCAGGACACTGGTGCGTGTGCACTATACTACCTCCTCCTGTGTTGCTTCACCACATCCACAAACATTTAAGCCCCCGGGATTTTATAGCGCAGACCATGGGTCAGCAAACTAAGGCCCGGGATCTGGATCTGGCCTAATTGCCTTCTGGATCTGGCCCGCGGACGGTTCAAGAATCGCCACATGGAGATTCTGATCGTTCAGGCTGCGCCGTTCCCCCCTCCCCCACACACACACCATGGCAACACCTCCTCCCTCCCTCCTCCCGGCTTCTCCCCACCCTGCCTAGAGGAGGAAGGGGGCTGGGCTTTGTTGAGCTGCGGTTGGCTGAGTGCCATTTTAAGCAGCCCCTCTCCGGAGCCAGCCCTTTCGCGCCACTCATCGTCCCTCCGCTGTCTGCTGCCACCAGCCCCTGCCGCTCGCAAGGCACAGGTAAGCAGCCACTGGGGCTCATCTGGTGCTGTGCAGAAGGGGGGGGGGAGAGAGAGTCGTGGGGGGAATTCCCCCCCCCAAAAAAATAGTCCGGCCCCCCACAAGGTCTGAGGAACAGTGGATCGGCCCCCTGCAGAAAGTTTGCTGACCCCTGGCGTAGACATCAGACACACGCTAAACAAGACCCCAACAACAGAGGCATTTGACAGGTTGGAAGATGGCACATCTAACATTGGAGGGGGAGGACCAAGAGGAAGAACTAGATCTATGAAATAACAAGAGTATGAGAAGAAGTAGGGAGAACACCAGAAGTGCAGTATACCTTTGTGGCTTACAGGTAACTTTGCACCCGTTAATCTCTGCCTAGTCGGCACCATCAAATGTTTTATTCATCAACCTATCTGGTTCCAGAAACCAAGGGGTGTACAAAGACTGCCACAATTAACTGCAACATTTGTCTTATCACTAGAAGTTTCAGGATCTTGGTAATCTAATTCAGGAACTTGATTGCCTAAAGCTGTGCCTAAATTGCTTATCATCGTCTCCCGGAGGACAGATTTATTTTTGAGTTACAGCCAAAGAAACCTGGCTATAACTCCCTCGTTTGTGGAACAAGGGAGACTTCAATCATGAGGAGGCGTGAACAGCTGTCAAGTGGGACAGATTGATAGGACACTTGAGAAAGTAAACAAGGCAACTGAAAAAAGAAGCTGGTTTAGGAGGGGAGCTTGGCGCCATCTGAAAAAAACAAAAGCAGGTGTTTGGGGAAATCTCACTTTGCACAGCCGCAAGAAAGACTGACCCCAAGGTCTATTTCTAAAACGCACAGCCCACCCTCTGGGTCTGGCAGATCCACAAGCCTCTGCTACTGCAGAAGTGGATGGAGATTTAAGCCCTGGGCCACTAAAAACAAAGCAAAACAGTTTCTGCCAAGAGCTCTTGGTTACTGCTGTTGCCCTCTCAAAAATGTCCACAGCATAGGACAAACAACAGAAGCGTGGGCACACACACACCCCATATTCTTGCCAGAACATCAGCATGGGCAGTGTATGTTTTATTCTGTTTTAATAAAAAGTACAGCGAGAATGGGATGCGGGTGGTGCTGTGGGTTAAACCACAGAGCCTAGGAGTTGCCGATCAGAAGGTCGGCAGTTCGAATCCCTGCGATGGGGTGAGCTCCCGTTGCTCGGTCCCAGCTCCTGCCAACCTAGAAGTTCGAAAGCACAAAGTGCAAGTAGATAAATAGGTACCACTCCAGCAGGAAGGTAAACGGTGTTTCCGTGCGCTGCTCTGGTTTCGCCAGAAACAGCTTAGTCATGCTGGCCACATGACCCGGAAAAACTGTCTGCGGACAAACGCCGGCTCCCTCGGCCAGTAAAGCGAGATGAGCGCTGCAACCCCAGAGTCGTCTGCGACTGGACCTAATGGTCAGGGGTCCCTTTACCTTTTCCATGTTGGCCCAATTCTCGCTGTAAAGGTAAAGTCTGAAATCATCTTTCTGTGTGCACCAGGGGATTTTCTTGGCTGACTGCACCATTAGCTTGCTGGTCACTAATGTTCGCAGAATACTTTAATCCAGCAGCAGTCAATCTTATCAGCAAGGGTGCCACAAGTCAAGTGTTAAGTGCTTATACAGCCTTTTCATCACAGAAGATGTAGGAAAACTAAATGGAATGTTTTCCATTGCTTTTTAAGGCCCTGCCTCATTTGCTGCTCCAGTTGCCTGACAGCCTCAAGGAAAATGAAGGACGAGGCGAAGAAGGGAATGAGCTCTGCTGGCAATGGAGAATGTCAAGTACAAACCAGCAGAAGCCTATGGCAGAAATCGGGCCATTAGAAAAGAACAACTCCTGCTGAACTCAGGAAAGTAACCCATGAACATATGAACACAAATCCCCAGATATCTCTGCTCTGGCTGATGGCCAGAAAACTGAAGGAGGACACCGGGGATCAAAGCAAGAGAGAAAAATTGTTCTCACAAAATGCAAAACAGATAGCATATAGAAACACAAAGACTGCCAAAGTTGAGGCTGAACATTCCTTGGAACTGAGTGAAAAGCGTCACAATAGTCAAATCTAAGGGGCAGGCAAGAGATGGGAGGGGGGTTGTTGGTTGAGAGTGGCTTACCAAGGAGTAACACCATCTCGGAAGAAAAGGGGGGGGCGGTGTTCTCTTTTTCATCCAGCGATCAAGTCAATATAATTTAGTCTTATCCTGTTCTAGCTCAATATAAGAGAATGCAAGAAAAATGTCATGACAGGACCAGGACTTCAGCCTGATTAATCATACGCTTCTTAGTCAATTGCATGAAATCTAAGCCGGACTTCAGAAACGAGAAGCGCACTTTGTTTGTAGATGGTGGACTGCTATAAAACAGGTGTGCAAGAGAAAGGGGAAACGCCATTTGCCGTTTTTATAAGCCCTTGTGTTTCTTTGGCTTCTTAAAGAACTGCTGCCTGCTTAATCGAGGACACTTCTTAAAGGACTATCAGAAGTTTTCCCGTTCATTAATGCAATCAATTAAATGCTGCAGCTCTAGATAGAATTGGGCAATTCTACATGTTAGCTGTATCTGAGAATTTTCATTTATGATGTAGAACCTCCATTATCTAATACTGGGCTGGTAACCATGCAAGGCTGATCTATCAACCATTGTTAAATAGACTGGAAGCAGGAGGAAGGATTTTATGCCCCCTCCCTACCGTGAGCTCCCTGTCTCCTGACTTAATTACAATTAAAGGTTATACTGAAATCAATATTAATTGTGTTTAAGGGGAATGGCCACAGAGGGGACCTGCCAGCCAACAGTCCACTTGCGATCAGCCCTGTTATACAAGCAACGGCTTCAAATTCACTACTGATTCTTCCCCACAAACTGCTCTCATGTTACTATGCATCTATTATACCTGTTTACTTGATGCATGGATTATCTGATCCTTCCAGAAGCCTGCCTGGTCTTCTGAATAAAGGATGAGGTTGTGAGCCCATATTTTACCCACGTTTCCAGTTTAAAAGCCTGCATACCCTGGTAATTTTGCCTCGTGTCTTTGCAAAGTACTTCTCCTGGGTTCTGGACAGCAGCTCCTGGCCACCGGCTATAGCTAGTATAATGGCATCAGCCATGCGATTGTCGTGGAGGCAGAGGTCAACGGCGCTTTCAAAGTTCCCCGTCAGCAAAGCCTGAGTGATCAAGCCGTCTATATCTGCAACAAGGAAAACAAAGAAACTCACTTATCATCATCACAGCAGCCTAACAAAGAACTGAGGAAGGTTCATGTTTAGCCAAGTTAAAAAACCCCGGATCTTCTGTACAAAATGTGGGCATTTTTTCCTTACCTCCAGTGACGGAAATGTTAAATGTTTCATCTGCAGATGGCGGAGTGGCAGTCTCATCTTTTTTACTCTAATAGGCAGAAATGAATGTGATTTTAGAGTGGATTTGATACTGTATTTACATTAATCCATAACTGAGAAAACAAAGATATACTGATATGCTTTTGTACCGTCATTTTCCTAAAAGGCTGCTAACTTATTAAAGAAGAGCATTATTGTGGCTGCACATATATCACAAAGTGTTGTATCAACAAAATTTCTTTTATCCTGCCGCAACCTGAGGGGGGGGGAGAAGAATCCCAGCCTGGTGACAAAACTGTGTGTATTTAGGACTGCAACCCTATGCACCCTTTATTGGGAGTAAGATCCTCTGAACTCAATGGGTCTTACTTTCGAGTCAATAGGCACAGGATTGGGCGCTACGTCATTCGGACGAAATGCCCAAATAACAAACCACTGTGGTTGAGAGATCTATCGAGCTGTCCATTTCTAATGCAATTGGCAAAATGCCCGGTGACTTCAAAAAGGAGGCATCTTGAAGCACAGCACGTACAACTGAGTAATACAATTTGTATATTCCAGCTTTATAATGTGCATCAGAACACTCCAAAGCCCAGAGGGCAAAATGGAAAGGAAGTCTGTATTTGCTTTGTGGGAGGGGTAGCATCCTTGTAGAGGGGATGATGCTAATCTGAGTAAAATCTTTCAGCATATTTAATGTAGCCTATACATTCCTGGTTATGCTAATGGCAAAGTGAAACCCAAACCTATTGCTCTTCTACTCTGTTCACCATTAGCAGGGAAAGCCCATGTAATATGCATGGGGTTCGTATATCCAAAGCCACTGGCCTCCTTCCCAAGACTGAACAGCTTTGGAAATTTATGCTTCTTCCCCAGGCACCTCCATCCACCCCACAAGCAATGGGGAGTTAAGAAGTGGGTGTCCTAAAAAAAAGGTTTCCAGGCATTGCTGCCCCCTGGTGCATGTCAGTTTTCAATGCCCATCAAAACAAAGTTAAGAAGCTGTACAGTGGTACCTCGGGTTAAGTACTTAATTCGTTCCGGAGGTCCGTTCTTAACCTGAAACTGTTCTTAACCTGAAGCACCACTTTAGCTAATGGGGCCTCCTGCTGCCGCCGCGCCGCCAGAACATGATTTCTGTTCTTATCCTGAAGCAAAGTTCTTAACCCAAGGTACTATTTCTGGGTTAGCGGAGTCTGTAACCTGAAGTGTATGTAACCCGAGGTACCACTGTACTGTGCAACAGGGGGAAGAACAAGTGCCTAGCATTCCCAGGAAAAACACATAACCTGGGTTAATGGTTGCATTTACTCAAGCTGCAAATTTTGACTCTTTCTTTCCCCCTTCGTGCAAGAGACTCTGGGTAATTTTTAGTGCAGAAAATGCACAGCCTTGCACTCACATCCTTCTACAGCAGTGGTTCTCAACCTGTGGGCCCCCAGATGTTGTTGGACTACAACTCCCATCATCCCTGAGCTCTGGCCTTGCTAGCTAGGGGTGATGGGAGTTGTAGTTCAACAACATTTGGGGACCCACAGGTTGAGAAAGGCTGTTCTACAGGGATGGTGGACCTTTTTCAGCCTATGGTACCAACCCTTCCTAGGGGGCAGAGGCAAGAGTGTGTACAGCAAATGCTGGGCATGACCAGAGGCAAAAGTGGGCGGGGCAATTAATGTAAAGTTTACACATGTATACTGGTTTCTACACAGAGACATCTCTCTTCCACTTCTATCCTCCACTCTAATGCAAGCAAGAGGTGTTATCAGAGGTCAGGGACAAATTCCAGTATGGGGAAAAACACTCAAGGAGGATGTGACTGGGGAAGGGGTATAGCCTAGAGGGAATTCCAACAAGGTCTAGAGGGTCATATTCAGCCCTATGGGGCCTGAGACTCCCCATCCCTGCCCCACTCAGTCTCCTGTCTATGAGTGTACGGGGTATGAATATTTCAGAGCAAAGAGAATAGTTGGGAGTCAGCAACCAAGCACCCAATGTTTAGTACAGAAGAAAATGAATACCTCTCCCAAGAGCTGATCCTGAGCAGCCACACCTTCTTCGCCATCACTCTGCACTGGCTGGTCAGATTCCTCTAAAGTCTTTCCCACAGAAGAGGAAAGGATGTTTTCAAAGGTTTTAGGCAGAGAGAAAGACACCAAAGCAGTTAGAGCCAGCACCAAACAGTTCCCATTGTTAGTATAAACCTATACACCCAATTAAAGACAAAAAGGCGGCTTCTTTCTCGGCTTTCCAAATCATCTCACACCCTGTTAATAAACGTTTGTCAAAATATCCAACCGTATTGTATTTATTTCTGCATTTATACACCACCTTTACTCTAAGGACCTTTAAAACAGGGGGAAAGGTTCTTCCCTTCTCCATTTTATTTTCACAACAGCCCTGCATGGTAGGCTGGGCTGCAAGCAGTGACTGTCCCAAGGTGAGCTTTGTGGCTGAATCCTGGTCTCCCGGACCCTGTTCCAGCACTCTTAACCACTAGACCACACTGACTCTCAGATAGGAGGATATTTTCAACCCACACACAGACAAGAAATGGGTGGAAGGCAAGCTCACAGAAGCGACAGTCAGGGATAAAAAAAAATACTCGAGATAAGGAGGGTAGCTTAGTGGCAGAATGCATGTTATTTCCTTACGGGACACCCTGTGCTATGAACCAGAAAGTTCAGCAGAAACAGCATGACCATTAGTAGCTGGCAAGATACTACCCCTTGTTATCTGGAGAGAGAAATAAGTTGCAGGCTTGCTTGAGGAAGCCTGCCATCACAGACAAACATCAACTTTGCTGACACTTTCCCTCAACGTCAAAAGTGTCAATGTCATGAAAACCGTGATCAGAACAAAACTAGGTGGGTCTGCCTAAGATCCTAGATGCTGACTCTTAGTTCTTGATACAGGCTGGACTTGTGTTTCCTTAACCCAACATTATTCCGCCTGACTGTTAAGATCGTTAGCAGAGGCCCTGCTCCACATCCCTTACCGTCTAAAGTTCGGTGGGTGCGTACGCAATACAGGGCCTTCTCAGTGGTGGCCCCTTGGCAGGTCCAAAACTTCCCTGCTCCCCCCTCTTGGTGTTGATGGCTTGTAAAGACCATCTCATTCCCATGGGCTTTTTGCAACTGTTTTCTTCGCCTGAATTGGTTTGTGAGCGCTTCCTCCTATTACGGTTTTACAAGCCTTTATTGCTCACTTTCACTTATTTATCTTGCGGCGTTTTAGCTACATTTAGTTTTCAAAATAACTTTCTAATGAGCTGCCCCAGGTGCCTTTAGGCACAAAAGAGACACAGAAAGATGAATAAATAACGTACGGCTGCAGAAATGAGGTGCTACAGATGCTTTAAAAGGGAGGCGAATTAGAACATTGAACGGGAAGGGGAGAGAGTGGACTAGAGAGGGGAAAGAGAGAAGGAGGAAAGCGATGCAGGAAAACAGAGGACTGGGATTAAGATTGAGGAGCAAATGGACTCGAGGCATAAGGAAAAGAAACACCAGGAAGTCATTAGTAAGCAAAGCTCTTAGCGAAAGAACACACAGCTCCTTATTCAGGTTATGTTTGGGTCATGTGGAGGTGCTGCAGCAACAAAACACTTAGAGAAAGATTTTCAAGGGTTTGAGGCTGTTTATAAATGCTGGGAAAGCTGGTTATATTAGGCACTATGTATAGACCCTTGGCTTGCCCAAGTCTAAAGTGATTTCCTTACTCTGATCCACTGTCTACTTCTAACCCTGCTGGAGAAAGTAGTTCCTGAATTTACAAAGCTTCGCTATTCCCCCCGCCTTTCCTCAGTAGCACAAAACTGCAGCAGTACTGCAGTTCCTGTTCCTCTCAAGCCAGGATTTCGGAGAGATCTATGGCCTTCATTCTTCAAAGGTTTCCAGCAACCTTTTAAACATTATAGATTCAGAACTGGGGGGGGGGGGGGGAGCACTGGCTCTGTGGAGACAATGTGCAATAACTCTTTCCAGAGAAAGTAGGGAAGGTTAGCGAGATGTATTATTACACTGTCAAGACGCCCAACGACAGCATAAAATGCTGCCGCAGAGGCCACATCAGAATTGTAAAGAACATTAATGGGGAGAAGGAGGAAGGGAGGCAAACCATAAAGACTTGGGTCAAGGTGGATTTATCTCCTGTGAACTGGGTTAATTGTTGTAATGAAAAAAGCAAATAACTCCTGCACAGTCTTTTAAAAAAAGGCTGAAGTTTTATTCTGCAATTAATATGAACCTTTACTGCCCGAAGTGCAACTTGTAGAATGCAGGTTAACATGATGGCAAGCTTGGCTTATTCATGCCTTTTTGAGCAAATACTAGGCTGCCAAGGAAAGGACGTTGCAGGAAAAGTGAGTTAAGTTCCAAACTCCATCCCATTTGCATAATAAAACCTTGCATTTGTTTCCTTACCTCATCTGGTTCTCTACCATGAAGACTCTCTTTATGGAGAGCTAAAGAAATCTGAAGGGAAGGAAAAAGAATTATGGATTATCTTGGAATGGAACCCCTGAAACCTTCAATGCTCCCAACTGCCAACTCTTTTTTTCTGCAACACTTTCCTCTGCTTATTGAAGGACCTATTCTATCACATGTCAACCTTGTATTTAAAAGAGCTGTTTCAAAGATTGGCACACATATTTTTAAAGGCTATTTCTATTTAGTGTGTCAATCTGGCCTTTACTTGTCAAGAGAAAGCAAATGATATGAAGGAGCAGGGTATTAAGGTACATTCGAGACTCAATCAAGTCTGTATAATGAAAACCTTTTAGTTCATTTCTATTTAATTTTTTAAAAAGCAATACCCTACATTAAAAACCCCAAGGTTGTTTACAACACATAAATATCAACACAATAAACAAATTCCATTAAAAGCCAATGAGATGCCAGCCATTCAGTTCTATACACAGAATTACTGATGACTGACCATGCCAACAGCTTCATAAAAAAACATTGTGCCTGGGGTAGTGTACAAATATTATTATTATTATTATTAGCATTAGCATTTACCTTTTTCCGTAGGTCATCTTTCCTGAAGCCCAGGAGTTCCAAGCATTTGCCACGTGAATCCTCTTCGAAATGCACCTTTTAAAAAAAAATGTTAGGAAAAAGGAAGCGTTGTAGAAAACGGAGATTTCATTTTTATTCCCTTTCCCCCAATGTCTTCCATCCTGCACCTCCCATTCTGTACAATTAACAGTCGCAAAGCAAACCTGGTGAATTTGCAGCAAGATGCTAACGAAACCCTGACGCCCCTTGTATCTCTGCAAGGAGGAAGGACTGCAATGGAGCATTAAGCAGAGAGGTACCAAGAATTGTGCGTTTTGATGGCAGTCCAAGCTAAAAAGCAGGGAGAGCCAACATTGTGCCTTCCAGATGTGGGTGGACTACAACTCCCATCATCTCTCACCATGGACGGTGTTGCCAAGCAAAAACATGGCAGAAGAACAGCTCTGCCGGATCAGGCCAAAGGCCAGCATCTGATCCAGCATCCTCTTCTCACAGTGGCCAACCAGAAGCCCAGAAGCAGGACCTGAGTGCAACAGCACGCCCTCTACTTGAGATTCTTTTTTTATATATAATAATTTTTATTAATTTTAACATATAAATTATAATACATACCACAAAACCTCACCACTTATACAATCTTTTTTTTTTTGGACTTCCATCAGCACCTCTGATGATCCACCATTTTAACCACTTCTTACGCATTTCTTAAATTCATATTGCCTTTAATTATCTTAACTAACCATCCTCCCTTTTATCCATTTTTGCAATAGTTCCAATAATTCACCTCACAAAACTTCTTGCAAACCTACAAACGTAGTCTGATCATCACAATTACTTTTCAAATAATCTGTAAATTTACACCAGTCTTCTGCAAATTTCTGGTCCCGCAGTTTTCTAACCCTTCCTGTTGGTTTATCTAGTTCTGCATAGTCCATTAATTTCATCCTCCATTCTTCTTTCGTCGAGATCTACTTGAGATTCAGAGGCACACCACCTGTGACAGTAGAGGTGGAACATAGCCATTTTGGCTTGTAGCCACTGATAGCCTTATCGTGCACAAATTTGTCTAGTCCTCTTTTAAAGGCATCCAAGTTTGTGGTCATTTCTAGCAAATTGGTTTTTAAGGTGACCGGGAGCTACTAATGCACAGTCAAAATCTAAGATTACCTTTAAGAAAGACCACACGTTCCTCTCAAAGTCATTCTTGGCAGCATCGATTTTCTTCTGGCAATAGTTGACAAACGCTTCTGCCTGCACAGCCTCCTGCAGCTGATCGGAGCGGCTCAGGAATTCCTTTTCAGTGACAACTTGGCTGACGTAGACGTGGTAGTGATGCTGAGGATGCTCTGCTCCTTGCTGCTGGGGCTTGCTGTTCTCAAAGGTAACTAGCTTTCCGCCAAACTGGAATTCAAAGGCAGCGCAGATACGGTTTAGGGAAGAGTTTCAAATCCATTACCATCAAGATCCATGCTTAGTTTTAATATGCACGCTCAAAAGAAAAGAAGGTTCTGAAGATCTGAGGTTTGCTTTAAAGCAGAAGTTTGAGAGGGGTGGGTGAGTTGCAAACTAACGTTGCAGTGTAGATTTGTGAAGATGCTGTGCCAGGGATGGGGAGCCACTTTTGGCTCAAGGGAAAGAATCCAGGGGCCACATACCCTGTGGTAGACTGAGCCTAAGGTAATAATAATAATAATATATTATTTATCTTGTCTTCCCCACCACTCTGGGTGGCTTCCAAAAAAATATTAAAATACCGTAATACATCAAATATTAAAAGCTTCCCTAAACAGGGCTGCCTTCAGATGTCTTCTAAAAGTCTGGTAGTTGTTGTTCTCTTTGACATCTGGTGGGGGGGGGGGCGTTCCACAGGGCAGGTGCCACTACCGAGAAGGCCCTCTGCCTGGTTCCCTGTAACTTGGCTTCTCGCAGTGAGGGAACCGCCAGAAGGTCCTCGTAGGCAGAGCAACAGGTACAAGTTGTACCTGGTTTCTACATGTACCTCTCCTTGTCCTCAATCCAGACAAGAGGCATGACCAAAATTCAAGGACACATTCTACCTAGGTAAAAAGGAGGATGGAAAGCAGGATTGGTGAAAGGTGTTTCCTGGGAAGAATTTGGAGGAGCAGGCGGAGAAGCCTGAAGGGTCACATTTGGGCCCTGGACCTAAGATTCCCCACCCCTTATTTGTTGCTGAAATGGGCAGAGTTTGCATGGGAAAAAGGGCACACACCTATAAGGGGCTCCTAGTCTCTTAACTAGGGGAGGGAAAGCAGAGGACTGTCCATTGGAGCCATGTCACAATTTTGAGTACATAGCTTAAAAACACACACACACAAACTCTCCACCATGAGAAAGTATAGGAATTAAGTGACATATTTTGGGGCTTAGTTAATCAATATATTTACCCCATTCTCATAAAAGATGTAGAACTAATAATAAAAGAAGTAACAACACCTCACCAGTGGTGAGCTTTTTCTGAATCAAGAGACAGATGAAAGCAGACGCTCTACCTATAATTGTTTGTCCCTAGCAAATCTATCACACTCTGTCAGCTGAAGATCTAATTTCACGGCAGTATTTTGAATGGGGCTTAACACCACAGACACATTATACCGAGTGCCAGTTGTGTGATTACTTCATCACAAGGGGAACGTGATATACCGCATATCCTCGATTTTAAACTTCACAAAGGAGCAGAACAACACATTCATAGAACAGGCAACTCAGCAGAAGGGTTAAACAGCCCACCCCATTAGAGTGCAATTAGGATTCCACTTACTGAAAAAGATGCACCAACAGGTCGGCGAATCCACTTGGGTGGCTTCTTCAAGGGCAGGATTCTGCTCTGTGGAGTGGACTGCTGTGGGAGCTGCAATGGAGGAAGTGGCTGCCCTGTTCCAAATGGATCAAGATTACCAAAGGAGGACGACAGCTTTCGAAAAGGAGAGAGAGAAAGAGAAAGACAGATGGGTCTAAAACTCATGCGCATTATCACCACTCCTGTTTACCCAACCAGTTATCAATTCTTGGGTTTGCTTTTTGGAGTTTAATTTGTTTGTATGTTCCAGGGGTGGATTAGGAGCCCATCTGAGCTGCAAACAGTTCCTGTCAATATCTCATCTGTCCATACAAAAAAGAACATGATCGTTCTCTTTGGCAAGCAGGATGCACAGCTTCATAGCAACATACAACACCCCACCATTTTATAATAAAAACCTTCTAAAAAGTTAGCTCCAAGGTGCCACCAAACGATTTTCTCTCTCTCTTTAACCCTACAAATAGGACTCCTCTCAGGATAACAGTCACGGCTTGTGTACAGACATTCCAACAGTAACTTTTGACAGTCAAAGCAATTTTTAAGAAGTATTTCATCATGCATTGCAAACATCTGTCTTCCGTCAATTTGATACGCAGTGTTTTGTTTTAAATACCTTGTCTGCTTGCTTCTGTCGCAGGCTGTCAGTGCTTCCCCCCATGATCGAGTAAACGCTGATCCTCCCATCAAAAGAAGCAGCAGAGAGAAGAGCAGGGTTCCTGGGACACCACTGGACGTCGAAGCACCACTGGGTGCTGGTCGGAAGCTCATACAACACCTGTATCCAAAACCAAACATATTACAATAAAAATGGCAGAGACCTAAACGGCTTAAGAAGGACCACCCAGCCACATCCAGAAAGCTAGTTTGGAGACGAAAGCTAATCCTGCCTCGTTCTGCTGCTCCGAGTGCAAAGTTTGTGCACTCTTTTTGCAATACCCAAACAAGAAATGTCTCTCCATTTCAACAGCTTGCAAGCAAGTGTTCAATCAGTACCTCTCCTGTGTTTGGATTGGAGCAAAGAATTTTAGCATCCTTTCCACAGCTCAGCAACAGTTCGGGATCCGCCATACTCCAAGCTATTGTCAAAATGCCCCTGTGAAAGAAGTTGCAACCAATGAAGCCTTTGTAAAAGTTGAAAACAAACTCTGAAATACCTGCAGTTTTTTTTTTGTTTTTTAGAAAATATTTAAATACATTTATTGTACATCGGAATCTATAAACATGCAATACAATACATATATCAAACAATACAAAACATACATATCTACAAAACATACATTACATATATACATACCCAACATGAACACACCTACCATGAATTGACCTCCAACCATTCTCATCGTGCTAGTTTACATTTATTTAATCTGCACACATTTCATTTTGGATGTTCGATTCTTCCAAATATTTTCCAAGCTAAGTTCATTATATTCTCTTTATTTCTAGATTCATTCACTGTCTGTCAGGGGATCTACCTTCTCCACATAGTTTTTAAGAGATTCTTTAAAGATAGTCCATTCCTTATTATCTTTTTGTAAGGTGTTTCCTCTTACTCTCCCTGTTGATTTAGCAATGCGTAAGTATTCAATCGTTTTTGCTAAGTGGTCTGTTTTTGTGGGGACATTATTAATCCACATAGCAAACTGCTGCTAGCAATGAAGGAGGATGCTGTTAGCATTTTCAACGTCTGCCAACCACCCAGCCAGTCAGATCTGCAAGAGACCAAAGATATGAATATACCTTGCATGGCTTTCTAGAACACGAAGCGGAGAAGATGCAAATCGGAGGTCCCACATCTGGATTACAGGCAGCCTGTCGTCTTCCGAAGCCAGAACCATTTGTGTAGCGACATCAGGATGCCAGGCCAGCCCTGAGCAGTGCATCTGAAATTGTACAACCAGTGCTCTCAGTAGAAAGATCAAGCAGGCTTAAAAGAAACCAGACCGCTGCCTTCTATCCAAGACCTCCTTTGACAGCTCTCTGCCAGTGCTGCTTACCTCTGCCTCTGCACTGGGCTGGGCACATGTAAAAGCTTTTGCCCATGTGGTTGGTCGCTCCCAATCCAGATGCAGACATACCATACAAGCACGCTCATGTCCCTGTATTAGCACAGGATGCATTGCAACATTTTGCAGTGGGTCCTACTTCCCTTTACCCTAATTTTGCAAGTACAGCCAATGGCCCATCTAGTCCAGCATCCTGTTCTCACTGGAGCCAAGCAGATCCCTTTGGGAGACCTGCAAGCAGGACCTGCGACTCATCCATACTGTATTTATGAATGGGCCAGCTCACAACCTGAACAGGCCAAAGATGGAGAGAACAGGCATGCACACCCCCTCTCCATGCATGTAAGAAAACACAGACAATTCACACTCTCTGCCACATGTGTATAGGCACAATTTACAGGATTTTTCCCTGTACGAAAGGTGGGGGAGCAAAAAGATTGTGCAATGCTCACAACAAGTAGAGCACTTCATTAACTTTTATCGTTTTCAATCTTTTTGGGCTGGCCTTCAGGGTTACTCCTCCCAAGGGGAGCATACAACGATAAAACCATTTCCATTTTGTTACTCTATGTCAGGTGAGAGGAATCTTTTTTGCAGCTCATTATTTTCTGAGCAACCTGGGAAGGGGGAAGGGGGAAAGACATGCCAGTGGTGGGAGGTTCCAGAGGCAGAAGTGGGTGGGGGCAAGCAATCTGAAATTTAACAGGGCACTAAGCTAGTTTTGATATACTTAGGGACGCGGGTGGCGCTGTGAGTTAAACCACAGAGCCTAGGACTTGCCGATCAGAAGGTCGGCGGTTCGAATCCCCGCAACGGGGTGAGCTCCCGTTTCTCGGTCCCTGCTCCTGCCAGCCTAGCAGTTCGAAAGCACATCAAAGTGCAAGTAGATAAATAGGTACCACTCCAGCGGGAAGGTAAACGGCGTTTCCGTGCGCTGCTCTGGTTTGCCAGAAGCAGCTTAGACATGCTGGCCACATGACCTGGAAGCTGTACGCCGGCTCCCTTGGCCAATAAAGCGAGATGAGCGCCGCAACCCCAGAGTCGGTCACGACTGGACCTAATGGTCAGGGGTCTCTTTGCCTTTACCTTTAGCTAGTTTTGATACACTCTATCCTCCATTCAGACAAGCAAGAGGCACTGTAGGAGTTCCAGGACAAATTTAATCAAGGCAGAAACACTCAGAAGAAGCAGAGCCTGGGGCAGGGCAGCAGCTGTGGCCTGGAGAAACCCCCAAAGGCCAGGTAGAGAGGCTTGGGGGCCACATGTAGCCTCTGGGCCCAAGGCTCCCTACACTTCCTCTACGAACATGGGGAAGGAAGACAGATGCCCACACCTCAGAAGGAAATTTTCAACCAGCCTTAACAAATAATCGACTAGCGTGAGTGCCTACAACAAACTGGCTGAATGGTTACCCGGTTACTGTGGTCGCTGACTTTGATGATAGGTTCATTCTTCCTGAGATCCCACACTGTAGCACGGCCACTAGGGCTTGCAGAAGCCAAGATATGCTGGACTTGCCTGTTCCAAGCAATGCAGCTTATGTCTTCAGGAGGCTGTTGGAAACAGAACCCATCATCAGTTTCTCATTCTACATCACTAAAATACGCAATGTCTGGCAGACCTTTCTTATTATTAAGCTCTTCAAAAACTTGGCAGACCTCCATTGAAAATGATAATAAAAGCAGTTACCCAACCTTGGGTCTCCAGCTGTTTTTGGACTACAACTCCCATCATCCCTAGCTAGCAAGACCAGCGGTCAGGGATGATGGTAGTTGTAGTCCCAAAAACACCTGGAGACCCAAGGCTGGGAAACACTAGTTTAACCTATTATCCTTAGTTCTCACTTTAAATGAGTTGTACCTGAGGCTCAACTCAAGTTTACACACACATCAATCAGTAATAATTTTAGCCTGTCATTTACTCAATAAAGCAGTCAGCTACCCTAAGTTTCATGGTTAATCCGTTCATCTCTACAATCTCCAAGCACTTTTCAGAAGGATGTATCATCACACAATTACAGGTTTCTCAAAAAGCTTTACAGGATTCTAAATGCTCCCTTCCACCAAAAGTATCTTAAGTAGGGGATGAGAACCTGTAAATCTCCAAATGTAACTGGACATCCAATCTCCATCACTTGACCATTGGCCCCACTAGCAGGGGCTGATGGAAGTTTGAGTTTGAGGATGCCTGGGGGACCACAGGCTCCACATCCCATATGATAAACAGATTGTAAGATGACAATTGCCTCATTCTCTCACCAACCAATCAAATGGATTTAAGACCTGGACAAAATATGTGTCTTGTACCTGAGTCTTGGCTCCTGGAGTCATAGGCGTTGCAAAATTGTTCAAGTCCCATATGTAGATCTCAGACTCATTTGCACCAGAGGCAACTAGGTTTGTCTATAAAACGGAGAACACACAATCAGGTCCATGCAATAAGGACTGAATATCATCTCAAGTGCTGCTATATTAGGCACTATGATTAATGTGCAGAAAGAAAGATCTAACCTGGAAGAGGTTGACATCCAGAGCTCTAACAGGCCCCGTGTGCTTGTCTTTCTGCGCAATCACAACTTCCTCTTCACCTGCCAATATTTTAGCTGGGTCATACAAAATGATGTTTCCGTTTTCGCCGCCGGCAATGAGTACCCCCGAAAGATCCCCATCAGATGCCATTCTGTGAGGACCCCATATCAGTTTGTGATACCTGCAAAACGATGTAAGAACGTGAGAAGAGGTCTGCTGGATCAGGCCAAAGACCCCTCAAGCCCAGCACTTTGTATTCAGTGCAAAGTAATTCAATAAAACGGTCTTAAGTAACCAAGCCAGACACCTCCAACGACATTAAATCAGCCATGAAAGATTCATGGACTCTGTTCAAAATCAACAGGAGGAGGAGCATAGTCTTTTGCATCTATGGACACCACCCAAGCCACTTTGTCCTGAGAAGCAGCCATTATTAGCTCAGCACAAGTGCTGCTGAAGCAGTAAACAGGTAGAATTATTCCCATTAGCTGAACATACACTCAGGACAATTGTAGTTCTAGGAGAAGGAAATGCAATAGCAGCAAGGAAGGAATTCATGGCCACCTTTACAAATAAAGGCCACCATTCAGGGCTTTTCTGCGGGGCCAGGAGCCTTGGCACATCATAGGAACATAGGATCTACAGCCCAGGAATAAGGAAATTGGCCCTCCAGGTCTTGAAAGACTACAGCCAAAGGGGGTTTGAATCCAGAAATTGATATGAACCCTGTTGTGGCCTCTGTGCTTAGGAAGCCAGGGAGCTGAGAGAGAGGGCAGAGCCAGCCAGAGCAGTACAGTCAAGCTACTCCTGACCCAACTGTTAATACGCCTAAGCATGTTGCTTTCGCTAACATCTTCTTGCTCCCTCTCACCTCCAGGGACCAGCAAGTACAGGAGACACAGCAAGGACAGTAAGGCCCAGCTCTGTGTAGGGCTCTCTCTGCTGCAGCAGCATGGAGAGTCAGCCATTGCTGAGTTATGTCCAAATGCACAGTGGCATGACAATGAAGCTGTGTGCTTTCTAGTGGGCAAAGGACCTTGGGGCTGGATGTAAAGCCACTAACAAACTTGGACAGGAGAGACTGATGGGAACCGCAGTCCAAAACATTTAGAGGGCACCAGTTTGGCGAGAGCTGGTTTATCATGGCATAAACTATCAGGAGAAAAAAAACCTCCAGATCTTAAAAGCTGTGCCCCTTTGATTGCTAATGCTCACATCCTGAGCTTTTCATTTACATAAGCAGATAGACAGTTTTTAAAGTCTGCACATACCTATGAGTGGATGAGAAAGTAGCACAGGACTTCATATCCAGCGATGGGTCAGTCAGGTCAAGTTCAAATATTTCCAGGGAAGCACTGGTACTGAAGCTTGCATCTAACTGCTGAGCAGATGTACCTGCAGAGACATGTGGAATGCCTTACTACTGATGTACTGTAAACATAACACTTGGGAAGCCCAAAACAACCTTGGCACACTTAAGGGAAGAGATAAAACTGAATACTGTTTTTAAAAAACTATTTTTAAAACACGCAAACACATCCTCATCAGATTTTGAATCTTTTTGCTGTTTGTGACATTACAAAACCTCCCTTTTTATACACCAGTTGTGGAATTTCTCTTGCCCTTAATAACGCTGGGAATTGCCAGGGAAAAGAAAGGATTTTAGTGCACCACTGTATAGTGTGGTGCTGAAGCCCTGCACAAGCCCACTGACTCTATTAAGCCTGCAATCCTGGGCACACTTAACTGGGTTTGAGCCACATAGAACACGGTTCAATGAACTAAACAGGTTTACATATCTAGGAGTCTGATTCAATAGCTATGAAAGATAACTGGATTTGAAATGTACAGAGGCAATGTACCTCTAAATACCATCTGCTAGTGCTAAACTAGAGACTAAGGCTGTTGCCTTCATGATGAGCTTATGAATACACAGAGATACCAGCTGCTGTTGAGAAGATGAACACAGATGGATGTTGGTCTCATCCAGCAAAGCAAATCTCAAATTCACATTTAGCGCAAGTTCAAGCTAAGTGTTGTTATTTGGAGACCTTTGGTCTCCAATTAACAAGTCTAATAAGTAACAACTACAACAACTTTAAAAAGCCAGAACAAAAGCCCCAAACAAATACAGGCAAGGGCTTTGATTTACAGGTAAACCTTTTCTTCTTTGGGATGTGATTTTTATTTTTTTCTGCATGCTATTCTCACCATCTTTCAGCATTCAAAAGAGCAATATTTTAATGAGGGCTCAAAAAGCGCTCAAAATCCCTAAGTGGCTGGAATCAGAACTAAAGTGCCATGTCTGCAGACATCTGAATTAATATTTCAGATGTAAGCATGCTAGTATCAGATTTCTAAATGACCAGGTGACTGAGATTTTCCTCAGCTGGGAGCTTCAACTGAAGCCGAAAGGCTTACTCTAGAGTGCCCCTAGCCATAAAGGGCAGGAGTCCTACCACTTGCAGAGGAGAATTCTGCTCATGGGACCTCTGGATCCAACACATGATATTTTCACATTGCAATGAAATAATAACTCACCAGTAGCCAAGTAGATGGGGTGATGGTGAGATGGACTCCATGCCTGCATGGCAGTACGGTCTATCTCTTTTAGCTTCATCCTGCTGAGAGAGTACAATACACAGACAGCATCACTACAGGAGAAGGTGAGAAACTGGACAAAAATGAAGACTTCACACACTCCGCTCTTAACCCAAAACTGTTCAGAGGAGGCAATATTTAAATCCTTCTGATTGGAAGAATAAAAAATAAGGTCCACGTTTGCGTCAAAGTAGTCTTCAGAATATTTACCAATACAGTGGTACCTCTAGTTACGAACGTGATCTGTTTTGGGGTGCCGTTCGCACCCTGAAAAGTCTGTAAGTAGAGCGCTGCTACAGCGCATGCACAATAGATTGTTTCTGCGCATGCGCAAAGCACACAGATCGCTTCTGTGCATGCATGCAGATCACTTCTGCGCGTATGGTAGACCCGGAAGTAAACACTTCCGGGTTTGCCGTGTTCGTAACCTGAAAAGCCGCAACGTGAAGCAAACATAACACAAGGTATGACTGTGTTAAGAAAAGAAATCCTAGATGAGTTTAAATCAGTAGACCACAGCTGTGGCTCCTCGCTTGTGGAATGCTCTTCCCAGAGAGTTCATATTCTGTTTCAACTGCTCTGGCCCGAAGTCAAGTTGGGTCTGGAGTAAGCAAAGACTGAGAAAACTGTCTAAACTGAAGGCTATAACGCAGCTCATAAATAAACAAACACACCTAATCCTCACATGGCACTCTGGTATGAATGATATTTCTTTGCTGTCCTCCTCATAAACAGCTTCATTCAAAACCAGAAATTCTTGCATGGCTCAATACCAACAGGGCATGTGGCTCTGAAGCTCTATATATGAAACTGACAGTGACGTTTTCCTATTCGTTTTTGATTAGCAGCGAGCTGCCAAACAAATTGTGGTTGGTTATGGCTTCTTTGAAACCAGTTGAGTAGAAACCATGGTTTATGAAGCTAGCTTGTTTCAAAAACCATAGTTAACATTAACCACAGTTTAAGGTTCAGATAGAAGGCTGATCGCCGAAGAATTGATGCTTTTGAACTATGGTGCTGGAGGAGACTCTTGAGAGTCCTATGGACTGCAAGAAGATCAAACGTATCCATTCTGAAGGAAATCAGCCCTGAGTGCTCACTGGAAGGACAGATCCTGAAGCTGAGGCTCCAGTACTTTGGCCACCTCATGAGAAGAGAAGACTCCCTAGAAAATACCCTGATGTTGGGAAAGATGGAGGGCACAAGAAGAAGGGGACGACAGAGGACGAGATGGTTGGACAGTGTTCTCGAAGCTACAAACATGAGTCTGACCAAACTGCGGGAGGCAGTGGAAGACAGGAGTGCCTGGCGTGCTCTGGTCCATGGGGTCACGAAGAGTCGGACACGACTAAACGACTAAACAACAACAACAAGCTTCAGATAGAATGCTAAACTGTAGTTAAGCAAAGGCAGAGGCAAGAGCTTGCACATTCCTTCTGGTGGCCGTGCCAGGTGACACAATGCAACATCAAATGAGCACTAAAACACTGTAAATAAAGGTTTTTGTTAATGTAACCTGTTCTGTGAACGTAACCCCTGCATAAGCGGGGAGACACCTGTATGAGAAAGGGGATTTTGACTTAAACTTCAGGAAGAACCTTCTGAGAGTTAAGAGCTGTTTGATAGTGGAACAGACTCCCTTGGGAGGTTGTGAACTCTCCCTTAGCTGGAGGTTTTTAAGCAGAGGTTGGGTGACAACCAGAGATGGATGCTTTAGTTGAGATTTCTGCACCGAAGGGGGTTGGATTAAGATGACCCTCGTGGTCCCTTTCAACACTATGATTCTATAGAATGCTGGCATGCACTCATTTATAAGAAGAAACTGCAATCAAGTTCTGGAATACCGTTATCCAAAATTCTACCTCCAGACCTCCACCTAAGTGCCAGCGAAAAGGACAACGTGGCCCTCACTCCGATGGCCAACTGCCCAGAATTTTGTTCCAACCACAGCTTCCTCTTAAAACGCTTTAACTAAAACCTTAAACTGGAACTATGTGATCATGCCACAAAAGCTTTAATTAGAACTAGAAACAAGCTAAAAGAAGAAAGTGTAAAACAGAAAGTACCGCAAAACTTTCAGATAAGCATCTCTCAGAAAGTACTTTCGAGGATTATTTGCCAACTGCTCAAACTGATATCATCAATGCTGAGTCTCCCTACTCCTTTTTGCTGTCTCCTAACCAGAAACCCTATAATTCTTATAGGAGCACAGCATTGAAGGAAAGGATTAATATTTTAAAAACTATGTCTTGTGTAAATGTAGTCTCAGCAACAGCCTTTTTCCATAGCAAGGAAACTGAAGTGACTGTACCCCAACTGTGGAATGCTCTAACCACAGAATCTCATCTAGTACCCATGTTGTGGTCTTCTTGGTACCTAGTGAACAAACTGTTTATTTTCCCTTGCTTTTCACTACCAGTGCCTTTTCAATACTGTGTACCAACGCTGTTCTCTGTTATTGTTCTTTAAAAAACAACACAGGCTAATCTCTCGCTCAGTGTTAGATATTCCCTGGGTACAAAGTTGGCAACTGACATCTCCATCGAGCCAGTTTAAAAACCTCTGTCTCAGTCCATAGTTAATTCCATTTCCATTGTATGAATTTCTCCTTCTTGCACAAAGGGACAAGTGAACTGTTGTAAGAGCAAGCTAAAAGTCAAGCAATGTAGTTGAGATCATAGAATTGTAGAATTGTAGCACTGTCTTATATATCTGTGTTTCTGACATTGCTCTACTTCTGCTGGTTTCAACATCTTACATGTTGTGTGTAATCTATCAAAATCCTGTGCACTCTTACACTAAGAAAAGTTGAGGCAATACAATATGTTGCTATGTGTATATTGTATGTGTTCTCTGGTACCAATCCTGCAACAGCTAACCACACCACTTCTTCATTTTAAGTACCGTACAGCTTTTAAAGTCACACTTCCTGAAATGAATGTATAACTTGTTGTTGAAATGGAATACTCAGGATGAAACCGTGAAATCTGCTATGATTAAATGGGCACAAGATCTAGGATATAACATTATGATGGCTGACTGGGAACAGTTGTGGACCACAGGCATGAAATTTACGGCATGTAATGCCCTAAGAGAGAATATTATGAAAATGATATACAGGTGGTACATGACACCAGTCAAGCTTGCAAAAATTTACCATGCGCCCGATAATAAATGTTGGAAATGTAAAGAGAATGAAGGTACTTTCTTTCACCTTTGGTGGACGTGCCCAAAGATTAAGGCTTTCTGGGAGATGATATATAATGAATTGAAAAAGGTATTTAAATATACCTTCTTGAAGAAACCAGAGGCCTTTCTCTTGGGCATAGTCGGCCAATTGGTGCCAAAGAGGGACAGAACTTTCTTTATGTATGCCACAACAGCAGCAAGAATACTCATTGCAAAGTATTGGAAGACACAAGATCTACCCACCTTGGAAGAATGGCAGATGAAGGTGATGGACTATATGGAATTGGCGGAAATGACTGGCAGAATCCGAGACCAGGGAGAAGAGTCGATGGAGGAAGATTGGAAAAAGTTTAAAGACTATCTACAGAAATATTGTAAAATTAATGAATGCTAGAATAATGTCGGATAGAAACTAAGTGAACTCTAGCTGAAAGGTTACAAGGAATATGAAAAAATGGATTATTAATATGTAAAAATCCAAAATTACAATACTTTATGATTAATGATTAGGATATATAAAGAGGGGAGGGATTTGCTGAACGAAATAATTGAACTGGAATACAAAAAAGGGAGGTGTGAGGAGGTCCTGGAACTAAGCAAATGAAGGTTAAGTAATGGAAGGAATGAATTGTTTTTAAATATTTTTACTTTGTATTTTCTTTTTTGTGTGTGTGTTTTGTAATAGCTTGAAAACGTCAATAAATATCTTATAAAAATAAATAAATAAATAAAGTCACACTTCCTGAAATGGAGAATTTTCAACAAATCATGCAATAGGAATCTAGGTGTGAGCTGCAGCAGTAGTCTATACAATGAAAATGGAAGTTGATCTGGAGCCAATAAAGAAATATCATTTGGAAGCGACCATAGCATCTTAAATATTCACTTTTCTTTAATAGTGACTGTTCCTAATTCTGCACATGCCCACTTCTTCTTCAACTTGTGCATGGACAGCCAGTATGCTGCCTTTATTTGGGTGTTAGATTATGACAGGCCAGGGTTCAAATCTCCATTCAGTCATGAAGCTCACTGGGTGAGCAGCCTAAACTACCTCACAGGCTTGTTGTTAAAATACAGTGGGGAAGTCAAGAACCATGCCCACTACCTTGAGATTCTTGGAGGAAGGATTGTGTATAAAAACAATAAATAAATAAATAAAATATTACTTTTGTCCGCTTAGTGCTGGACAAATTGCAAGTCCTCCAAAGAATTCAGAAAAATAATACAGTACTGGAGAGATATTTCCATTACTGAACTTTCAAAGTATCACTGCAGCCTTGTCTCCTGCTAGTCCTAGAGATACAAAGGAGTTTACAACCTTCCACGGTGTCCAGCTACAAAGAAAGCTATTACTTGGCACTGTAACCTTTGATACTAGCACAGCACCAAAGGAAGTGCTGCCTCTCATTAAGAGAGATTAATAGGAAAAGGGGACCCAAGGTTACTGGTATCTCTTGAAATCTGTAGTCTTCAAACTTTGCAGACTTGGAACCTGCCTTTAATCCAAACATGCATTTGGGAACCCATTTGTTAATTTTTAATCATCTATTTGTATGGCAGTAACACTGCTGTTGTGACCCAACTTAGCTCAGGCTTGCAACTCAGTACTGGATCCCAATTTACCAGTTGAAGATCACTGATAAGCCACCATGGTTAAGAAGCAGATGTTTCCTAAGAATATACAAGTCTGCATGCAAACCCTCTTGCTACCAACTGCAAATACAAAATCAATGGCACATACGCAAGATTACACTCTTGTTGTTCCATGGTAATTAATCCAAAACTAACAAGACTCCTAATTTTTGTATTAACATACATTACGGTCTGCCATTCAACAACTTAACACTGAAATGTGTGTATATCTGTGATATTACTAGCAGCCTCATATCCAAAAAACTGCAGCTTGATTCAAAATGGTATCCTACCGTATCCAAACATAGATGAGAACATGCTGCTTGACCCAGGAACCACTGTGCAAAATTTGATTACAATACTGTATCATAAAAGATGTCCAAACTCATACAGAAAAACAACTTTCCAAAATTCACTGCAGGTAGCAATTAACATTTTGCCATTTGATCATTAGCCTTATCTTTGGTGTGCCCTCCAAGGGTGGTAGATATTCTAAATTAAGTGGTCCAAAATAAAAGTGCCACTTTGTGTACAAACGGGAGGAAAACTCTTCTGAGTAGAAAATATCAGTGACACGCTCAAGATCGCTGAGAGATTTTAAACACAATAATCAACTGACTCTACAGCTTCCAGTATGTATTTCAAGACAATCGGAGAATAGGCTAAAACTTAAATCTGAAGGTCTTTGTCATGGTACACTAGCTGTAGAAGAAGGCACTTTATGCAATATTTCAGGGGTGGCCAACTCCCACTTCACCCCCTTTGATTTCCCTAACTTAGATTTCCCCTAAAAGCTCAAAAAACTTTGACTTCCCAAAAAAAGCTCAACGACTTTGGTCAATGAAGTGGGTTGATCACCGCCAGTTTTTTTATAGTGGGAGTAGATCGCAGTCTCTTGGAAGTTGGAAAAGCCTGCAATATTTCAATGCGTGCTTAGCTGTTGAAGCCAGGATCCTAATTTTCAAGTATGGAACTAGGGAAGGGAGCAGCATCTCCTTCAGGTGTATGAATGCAAAAAAAATATTGATGCAACAGTATGATTTTGCTGATATGCTATTTCTCCAACCCAAAACTTGTGCATGCCTAGAAACAAGAAAGGGGAAAGGCCTGGGAAGGCTAAACTCGGGTCGATCCCCGGAGGGTTTGGAAAACCCAATGCTCTCTTGAGGGGGGAGCGAAGGTGCTCATGCAGACGCCCCCCAAGCCGATGCAACAAAAGGGCCGCAGTGCTAAAAATGCAGGCAGGACGAAATCCCATTATGTATTTGCATCTCCGAAAAAGTGGGGAGGGAGAAGCCTCTTGTTAAAAGCACCACGCCTAAACCGGGAGCCCCCGCTTTTTGCAAAAAATAAAAAATAAACGAGGAGGGTGGGCGAAGTGGATCCCTCGCCCCCTTTCTCGGCCGCCTCGCAACGCCAAGTTAATGGCTGCAATCCTAGGAAAGACGAGTCGCCAGGATGCGGCGCCAAACGAGAGCTGGGCCGAGTTTAAAGGGAAGGCCGGCTGGGACCCCCAACCCGCCGCCACCGCCCTCCCTCTCACCTGCTCGCCGGTCTCCCTCGGCCAGGAAAGTCAAGGCTGGGCTGCGGCCTCCTCCTCCGCCCGCAGGGCCCCAAGCTCCAAGCCGCTCGGGCTTCAACGTGGCAGCCGGAGCACCGCCTCCATGCCGCCGGCTTCCGGGACGAAGTGGCACCCGCCCGCCGCTGGGGCTGGGCCTGCTTGGGGGAGGGAGGAAGAGGAAGCCGGCAAAGGGCCGCTCGCCACGCCGCCGCCTCTGAGGGGAGAAGCCGCCACGGTGGACGCGCGCCGGGGGTCGGCTAGGCCGGAAGAATCAGAAACCGTGACAGCTTCCGTAAATCCGGGACTGTCCCTGGGAAACGGGGAACTTGGAGGGTCTGCGATGCAGCAAAATAAAGAACAAGAATCATTCCCGAAATATAAACGAGCCCCTTAAATACATAGTTAAGTATGTATACAAACTCCATAAGAGGTGTGAGCTCACTTTTGCCTGGTAATCTCATTTATATTCTGTCTAATTTGAGACAAACTCATTTCCTCTTATCACAACGTTTCTTATCTTATGTTTCTGAGTTGAGATCCCTGCTCACAACCCTATGTCATGGAGAACTCTAGAATAGCCAATGCTCTTGAGAGGTGTGGATACCGTTCCTGGTTTTACATCCAAAAATATTATTTTGATATTATACTATACAGTATATTATATTATACTATGCTAAACTATACAGTTGCCATCCTCTCATCCCACACCCTTTGAGAACCATTGCTCTAGGTGATGGGGAGTGTTCATGGCGTTTTATATAGATGTACTGTACAGTGGTACCTCTGGTTACGCACTTAATACGTTCCGGAGGTCTGTTCTTAACCTGAAACTGTTCTTAACCTGAAGCACCACTTTAGCTAATGGGGCCTCCCGCTGCTGCCGCCCTGCTGGAGCATGATTTCTGTTCTCATCCTGAAGCAAAGTTCTTAACCCAAGGTACTATTTCTGGGTTAGCGGAGTCTGTAACCTGAAGCGTATGTAACCTGAAGCGTATGTAACCCGAGGTACCACTGTATATCAAAACCTCTGCACATGTGCAGAGTGCATTTACTTCCCCACTGCAGCTAGTTTAGAAGAGCGCTGCTGAATGGGGCAAAGGCCTAGCCCAACACTGCTTTCGAATGTCTGTGCCTCAGGGAACCGCATAAGCAGACTGTTAAGGCAGCCAGGCACAGCTAAAGACCCTGGACTTTAATGTTTATTTAGAATCACAGTATCTGATATACTAGGCTGACTGGTTTGGCCAGGAGTTTGAACTTCAGTCCAACACTGCAGAGGGTGTGCAATGGAGTCTGAACTCAGTGCACATAATTTGCACATTTAAGTTATCCTTCAGGAGGCAGCATTTTATGTGGGGTTGGAGACACTGCTCTTCTGACAGATATATAAAGTTTGTGTTCAGGTGTGCAGGCCTAATTAACAGCAGACTAGTGTTGTTTTTTGTTTTAAGTAGTTTGCCACTGATACACTTCCAGATATAGGTAGGTAGCCATGCTGGTTTGCTGTAGTCAAAACAAAACAAAAAAAATCCTTCCAGTAGCACCTTAGAAACCCACTAAGTTTGTTATTGGTATGAGCTTTCGTGTGCATGCCTCGTGTGTGTATCTGAAGAAGCCTCGTGTGTGTATCTGAAGAAGTGTGCATGCACACGAAAGCTCATACCAATAACAAACTTAGTGGGTCTCTAAGGTGCTACTGGAAGGAATTTTATTTTGTTGATACAATTTCGACACACTTGTGGCTGAAATCCTATGAATGTAAACTTAAGTTGCACTGAACTTCTGTTAAAACATGACTAGCGTAGGAGTCTCACTCTTACCCTTTTCCCAAGGCTGCATATATAATCTTTAGCAGGAACAGACATGTGACACTTGCATTTTTCCATTTACATGAAATGTTGGTAGTTCAGAGGATCCCATGCTAGACTTCTGAAATAGCTACTCCAGGATTCATATAAAAGCCACCACAAGGTGTTCTCATTTACTAGGAGCTTTGGCATCAATTTTGAACCTGATCATGAGTATAGCATCCCATTTCCCACAGTAACCAAGAGGAACCCCACAAACAAGACACAAAGCTTACCAATCTGTGAGACTTGCCCTCTTATCCAATCACTAAATTTACTCAGAATCCATTTTCAGTGGATAAGCAGTCATTTCTTTACTTACACAGATGTGAGTTTCAAATACCTTGAATTACAAAGATTAGGCCAACACACGTGTTCAGTTCCCTGCTGAAACATTGTTTCAACAAGCCTACTCAGTCCTATAATTTAGTTATACAAATATTTGTATGATTCTAACTCTGATTATGGTTTTATGTATATTTGTTTTTCAATATACATTGTGGATTTTAGCTACCTTTTATCTACAATACTATTTGTGTATCATGTGGAAAGCTCTCTGAACAGGCCGCCTTTAAATCTGCTAAATAATAAACAAAGAAATAAACATTTATAGAAAGTACCAAAAATATCCAGAATCCACAGCTGGGCAAAGCATTGCATTCTGACGAATTCTGTACTTGTTTTTCTGTTCCCCATGTCCTTGTGTACCATCATACCACACTTTAATGACATTTTGTTTGATACCACCCAACCGTACATATTTCAGATTCTTGCAAGTACTTTGAATACATGATCTAACATATTTGCCAGTTCCACAGCTGGGATATTACTAAAATTTATTTAATAAAGTTTAGAATGCTAGTTCTGCTTCCTAGGCACAAACTACAAATCAATCCACAAGACTTCATTGAAGGTCAAAGTATTTATTTATATCAATACAAAAGGAAAATCAGTATACAAAATGTGTCTTACAGAGATTGGTCAAAAGTTATACTTTTATAATGATTTCCCCTTTTCCATTTGGTCCAGATTTTATTCTGTTCATCCCATGCTTTCTAGACATGGGCCTGAGAGGCTCTTCTTTTATTTTTATAAGTTATTTTTGCATTTTCAATTTTACATACAATAAGCAAAAGAAAAATAAACACAATAAAAACATAAAATCCCCTTTGAGTTCCCTCCCCGCCCCTCTTTGTGGATCCTCATCTAATGATTTCCCCTCTGCATCTCTTCTGTAACTCTATTATTATAAATCCTTTGCCAATCCATAGTTCAATTTTTTACTACAGATTTTCTGTCAAACCTACCAATGAATGTAATTGTTTACAATAATTTTTCAAGTAAGTTACAAACTTTCTCCATTATTTATTAAAACCAGCCTCTTCCTGGTTTCTAATTCTTCCTGCAAGTTTTGCCATTTCAGCAGAATTCATCAATTTTATCTGCCACTCTTCCTTAGTCAGAATTGTGACCTTTCCATCTCTGGATATTTCCCCTTTTTTCCTTGGGCATTTATCCACTCGATCCTCCACACAAGTGAATAATATCACAGAAATCAAGACAGCACATAGCCAAACCACCCAGAACTCCAGCAGGAATTCATATTTTTCTCAAGACACTTAGGAAGACACACACAGGAAACGGCATTTAATTAGTAAAATTAGTAATTTTAACAGCTCAGGACTTAATTTTGGACACAACCGTTAAAAATGAACTTCCCTCTCTAGCATGCTCACTGTGATACACCCCTATCTATCTTTTAAAAAATACTGGGAGGTGGGAGAATAAATAAAAGCACATTATGCAATTCTACTACTGAAGTTAAAGCTGCTTATATGGGAAAGCTATATGGGAACTATACATACACAGTTCCAAATACTTGAGAGCAGGGTACAAACGTTATATAACATGCACATATCATAGCTGTCAAGTGTCCCTTATTTGAAGGGACAGTCCCTTATTCCAGCGCCATGTCCTGCTGCTGTCCCTTATTGATGGATGTCCCTTAAATGATGTCCCTTAAATTTCAAAGGAAGCAGCTCCTCTCCCTCCCTCCCTGCCGGCCAGGGAGGAGGGAGGCTCACCCAATAAGTCTAAGAACGACTGGGGGGGTGGGGATGGAACTTGCATGCCTTGTATTTTGTTGCATGTGCTGCTGCAAACTTTGCAGTGCAAAGCCAGGCTGGGGAGCCATCTTAAGTTGAGGCTGCATAGGCCTTGTGGTGCATGTGATTCAGATTCTATTCAGTTGAACCTCTGGTTACAAAGTTGGTTGGACAGTGTTCTCGAAGCTACCAGCATGAGTTTGACCAGACTGCAGGAGGACAGGAAGACTGGAGTCCCTGGAACAGGTGAGGCTGAATGTCCCTTATTTTGGCCGCTGGTCCCTTATTTTCAAGGCTGCTGGTCCCTTATTTTCAAATCTGTAAGTTGACAGCTATGGCACATATCTAAAAAACTTTCTGTGTGTGTCAACTATGCACAAAATCTAGAATATTTACTGGAGCTGATTTGCACAATATTTTCTACCCATCTGAGCAAACCTAATAGTACATGTTCACATGGACACCATGTTTTAATAGGAAAACAAATACAGTATGATCACAGCAGTACTTTTTTCAGCTACCCTAGACCACAGGATTGTAGAATGACAAACGATGCCCCCCTACAACTCAGATCTACTTGTATGGACAAGAGGATCATGAGTATTAGCTCTTAATTTCGCCATTTTCACAAATGCTTTAAATCTTACCTGATTATCCTGGAAGATTCTCTATGCCTGAAAGCAGGAAAATGAATTCTAATTAAGTAAATATCAAAAGATAGCTAGAGATATAGAAAATACAATGTTCAAGAATCTGAAATGTTACTTGAAATCCTGTGTCCTCATCTTAATGAATAGTAATCACAGCAAATCATGATGTGAACAGCAAAAAAAAGGTTTAATCACCGGACACCAGGCAACTACTACCAGAAATGAAAAATAAACCTACAATACTGATGTTGAATCTACATGCAATCATGTTCAATTTGGGAGCTTTTTTAAAAATGTAGATTCCACACATTTTAAGGATACTACTTTGTAGTAAAACTTCCATAAATAAACAAGGAAAATGAACATTTTTTTATGACACTGGCGAAAACAAGTCCTCAAAATATAAAAGCACAAATCTTATGTTCAGAGCAACAGACATACCTCTAGAAGTTTGGGACTCCTTGCTGTCATGAAGTCCCCATCTATGGAAAAAGCAATTCTCCTTTCCCTCTGCAAAACAAAAAAGGACACATAAAACACATATTAAGACTACCTGCGAGTCTTATCAGAAGTGGGGGTGCACCTTCAAGCAACATTACATAGGTCTCGCTGCTGCCTCCACTGTACTGAATAACCAGGAGCACTAATATTCCAGTATTGAGTTCTGTCTTAGGAAGTTATGGCTTCCTGGCTATGAACATTGCCCGGCAATTTGTGCCAAGTACTGTAATTTCTTCCAGCCAGATGGGCGGGGTATAAATAATAATTTATAAATAAATGCCAAATTATGATGATGATTATTCCTAACTTGTGTCTCCTGTTGCAACAAAGGCAAAATTTGAAGGATTGGGGTGGAGGGGAGTTACGAGTTATGACAAGAAAGCAACCACAGTACGTACTAAAGAGACTCTCCCTTAACCAGAAGAAATGGACCCACCTCATCACAGTGAAAAGTTCCATTCAAGCCTAAAGGTCTGGAAAAGAATACAGAAAACGGAGTGGGGGTCCCCAGCTTCCCCCAATAAATTGGAAAAAATTGTTTTGGGTACCCACCCCCGGCAATTTTTCAAGTGCCTCTCACTAGACTCCAAATTAGTAGCAATTAAATACATTTAAATGTATTTAAATTAATACATTTAATTTTAAATTAATACATTTAATTTTAAATTAAATACATTTAAAGGGGGGAGAGGAAAATAACAACAGTAGTCATAATAATCGTCCGCCCACGCCGTTAAATGAACCTAAGTACAAAGCTACTGCAAACCCCTCATATTCTACGCAGAGACCCGCACTCCACCAAGGACGAAACCCGAAAGGAATTGAATTGCCAAAGCACGCGGGTATAGCCAACCTCGCGCCTAGCGCGGCCGTGCTCTCATTGGCTCTTAGCCGTACGCTGCTTTTGATTGGGTCCGGACATCCTCTTCCGCTTCCGGTACGCGGGTGAATTACGTTTTTGGGAATGATAGAAAGGAAAAGCAACCAATCGGAAGAACGGAGCCTTAAAGGAGAACTCACCAATGAGAAGAACGGTTATATACACACACGGAGAGGGACCGCGAGCCAATCAGAAAGGGCTTCAGGCAAGGAAGGGGAGCCAATAAGGAAAACGGAATCCGTCAGGGCGGCGGTTTGAACGGCCTTTCAACGAATGGTGGCGAGCACGTAGAGCTACGAAACATGTAGATCTGCGTGTACGTTCCTCCTTGACGCGGGCGGTTTGCGAAACCCGCTCGTGCTTTCCGTTCGATCGGGCTGTCACTACAAAGATGCCGAGCCTTAGAGCGACGCCGCTCTGAGCCCAGCGTGAGGGAGTGGGGAAAAATATTATTATAAGAAGTCTGTGACGTCCAGGAAGGAAGCAGTATGGCCTAGTGGCTACGGACTCTGACCCTGGGAGACCAGGGCTTGAATTCCCATGAAAGCTCCCCGTGTGTACGACCTGGAGGTGGCGCCAGCCAATGCCTCTCTCGGCCTGTCCTACCTCACAGGCTGTTGTGAGGAATCATATGAGATGCTTTGTTGCACAGGACTCCTTTCATATCCGTGTCATCATCATCATCATCATCATCATCATAATTTATACCCCGCCCATCTGGCTGGGTTTCCTCAGCCACTCTGGGCAGCTTCCAACAGAACACTAAAATACAATAACCTATTAAACATTAAAAGCTTCCCTAAACAGGGCTGCCTTCAGATGTCTTCTAAAAGTTTGGAAGTTATTTTTCTCTTTGACATCTGGTGGGAGGGCGTTCCACAGGGCAGGTGCCACTACTGAGAAGGCCCTCTGCCTGGTTCCCTGTAACTTGTAAAAGGTAAAGGTAACTTGTAAAAGGTAATGTTCAGGGACCCCTGACCATTAGGTCCAGTCGTGGCCGACTCTGGGGTTGCGGCACTCATCTCGCTTTATTGGCCGAGGGAGCCGGCGTACAGCTTCCAGGTCATGTGGCCAGTATGACTAAGCCGCTTCTAGTGAACCAGAGCAGTGCATGGAAACGCCGTTTACCTTCCCACCGCAGTGGTACCTATTTATCTACTTGCACTTTGACGTGCTTTTGAACTGCGAGGTTGGCAGGCGCAGGGACTAAGCAACGGGAGCTCACCCTGTTGCAGGGATTCGAACCGCTGACCTTCTGATCGGCAAGTCCTAGGCTCTGTGGTTTAACCCACAGCGCCACCCGCGTCCCTTTTTGTAGTGTAGTATTTGGGATAGGAGCTCTTCCTGCTTATTAGGGCTTTCTTCCACAAGATGGTGCAACAAAAATCAGTGATAAGTTAGTAGAATGACTTTTCTCTGCAAAGATTCCATTTGTGGAGAATCCAGCCAATGTTTACAAAACACTGGGAGCCGCTGCACGTAAGACCTTGGCTGTGCAGTCGAGTTGTGGACTTAAGAAACTGGAGAGGACATTGATGGGAGGCCAAAATCTTGGCTAAAATTCAGAGGGGAAATGCAATTAGACTAAATGCGTGCCCTTTCCTAACAACATACAGCCTTCTATCTCCCGTTACCCTGCGACATGGCTGTTCATTAAAGTGCATGAAGTTATGAAGCTATCACAGCATGCTTACCTCTGAGGACTACACAAAACAGCCTAGTTTTAATGTTGTTGTCCATTCCTGTTTTATATCCTCAGCCCTGTACAGTAGTAACATCAGTTTTCATTGACAGAAGAAAACAGCAGCAGCATCTTCATTCACCTTCAGCAGAGTTGAGGCCTGTGCCAAAGCACACCAGTATTGCCCAATGCTGATGGTGAGTGTGGCTCTCACGAACCATCCAGAGTGGGATGATAATAATAAAAATAATAATAATAAAAAATAATTTATTACTTGTATCCTGCCCATCTGAGTAGGTTGTCCCAGCCGCTCTGGGTGGCTTCCAACAGAATATATAAAACACACAATGAAACAACAGACATTAAAAGCTTCTTGATCCAGGTCTGCCTTCAGATGTCTATGGAAGGTCATGTAATTGTTTATCTATTTGACATCTGATGGGAGGGCTAAGTGAAATGCCATGGTTTTGCAACGTTGTAAAACAAGAAGGCACATGACTTGCCAGTGAATTATGGGGAACAAATGATGAATCAAATAAAACCAAGGCTACGTCCTGTTCAACAGGGAAAATGTATGGGAAGAGGACAGCCGGGGAGGAAAGAGAAGAAATTCTGCGTTGAACATATTGAGGATTTAAGATGATAAAGCATTTTAAGCTCGGACAAATTCCTCTCAAGGAAATTGCCTCATTTTGGCCCTCATAATGCTAATAAAACCTGGTAGTAATGAGGAATGTAAAGGTTCTTATCAAAGAAAAAAGTGGAAGCATTCACTTGTACAGAATAGTATAAACTTTTTATTTTTTTTCCTTTGTGATTTATCTGACATTTGTTTTTACAATATAGAAAAGTGTATTCTTTGAATAGGTCTAGTAAATATAAATTTCAATCTATTTTAGATGTAAACCAGAACTAGAAAATTAATCCCCGACACCCTCCCCTCTCAAAATCTGCTGACAATGGGTATGATACAAAAGCATTCCAGCTGGGCACTTTCCAATCATGCCAGAAATGCAAGAGAAACACTAATTTGGAGACGCTGTACTGCACGAGTGTTTCATAGATTCCTCCCAGTATCTTGATGTTAATTTTAACTAACTTGTTCAGCAGTTTCATGCAGGGAACCATGTTCAAAAACACAAAAGCAGGAGTAAGAAGACGGGAAGAACCAAGCTAAATACAGGAAAGAGCTTGTTCTAAAGGGGGGGGGGCGGGGACAGAAAAGTACATCTTTGATTGCACCTTCTTCATATCTTTTACACGCAATTCCATCATACATAATCTACAACCGGAATCCAAACTTCACAAAAGGTTTTCTGCACACTTATAAATACACATCACAAAAGGTGCAAGTTAGAATAAGACACAGAGTATGTACAAAATTAAACACATATTTAGTTCTAGATCAAAGTATGCATGTTCAAAAAAATAACTTGATCAAGTATTATTTTATCCACTTACACTAATTTACATTTATACATCTCTTATCGTATGGACACTTATGGAATTAGTAAAAAGGTGAGCTTCACCATCTACTCTGAAAAGGTAACACACTGACTTTTGACTCCAAGTCAAGAGTTCTACTCATAAAACAATTCTGGTAAAAGGAAAAACAGCTTCCCTTTCAGGGTAAAGTGTACATATATGCCAGCCTGCTATGTGCATACATACACAGTTACAAAACAAAATATATATGTACAGTTCTATGCTGTCCCTTTGGGGGTAAAGAACTGAAGTATTACAGAGCAGACTAAGATAATAGCAAGTGCTCGCTAATTCAAGCATGAGATTTATATCCATTCATGAAACTTAGAATGATTGAATCATTTGCTGCATTAGAAAACCATGCAAGTGTGTTTAGCAATTTAATAATATTTGTTACAAAGGCTTTCGCTTTGAAGCATCTCCACCCAAAATAATGCTATTTCATGGGGGTGGGGTGGAGTGGGGATTCTGTTCCACCAAGGAATTATGAGGTTTAGCTTTGTCTTACTAGGACGTGTCAGCCACTGCACTGCTAAAACATACTTTTTAATAAGTAAGCTAAAACTTGAGGTGTATACAAAAACAGAAACAAAATGACACAGTGAGTGGCAAGGCAGATGCAGTTTACTTCGGATAAATTTCTGAATGGAAAGCTCCGTTGTCTGATGCACTGCAGCCACAATCTAACAGACACAGGTGCACTTAAATCTGTCGAACTCAATGGGATTAAGTGAAGCAGTGTTGGATTGTGGCCATAGAGTGAAGCCTCCTCAAATCTGCAGGTGACTACCACATTGTTAAAACACAATAAAACACCACATCTTTAGAAGTTTAACCTTCAACACCTCACTGATCACATTTAAAATAAAACCCAAGTAGGTCATTTGAAGACACCCTTGAACCATTAAGTATTCTTCCCATTGACTAGCTGGGAGCCAAAGAGCCATTTTAGCTGCCCTCAAGGGGATTATTATTATTATTTTACTCCCAACCCCCTCCAGGCCAACTGCAAATTCATTTTCAAATTCCCCCTTCAAAACAATTTGCTATGGAGTCTGAGGGAAGGGGAAACTGCTGTTTGAGAAACTCAAGAGGCACACAAGTACTCATGTGCTTTGGGGATCCTGGCTGGTATCTGGATATTGGGGAAATGGTTTGGGGCTATTCAGTGAGCAAAACCATGTAACCTTTTATATAGACTAAGAGTTATGCTCCCCTTGCACCCATATATCAATTTAAAAGGTGTGCCACATTGCAAAGTGCTCTTTAGGGTACGTAGCATCATCGAGCATTGCTTACATCTTCCATCATTAACCCAATAAATGATCCCTCCCCCAAACTTGATGCACTGGAAGGGTACAAAGCTTAAATGATTTGGGTGAGTTGTAAGGTATCAATGAATATAAGTGGTATTAATGCTACCCGAAGATCCTTTGGCAATTATAGTCACATATCTCAAAGAGCACACTCTTAAAAAGATCAGGAAGTTACATGAAAACTTGATTACTGCCTTATAAGGATAGCTAGATTCAAGACAGAGAGAGATATTTGCCTTCAATCCTTCAGAGGGGGTTGGCTAACATTTGGGACCTAGCAGAAATGTTTTTAAAAATCCCTAGCTACATTAAAATTTGTCAAACAACATATTGATAATCTCTGAAATCGAATGAAAACAGTTTATTAAAATTTGGAATATGTATTACAGTGATACATTATTTTTAAAAAACTTACTATAAATGTTGTTTTATGCTGTTTGAGGCTATGATATAAATTTTCACCTTGATTTTTTGTATATCATAGTTAGATATTTCTGGGTCTAGCTCTGATAATGCGTTATTCTTAATATATACTACTAGTAAGATCTGCACAATAAACTTCCCCACTGAAGTCAGGACTGTGGCTAACAAGGCAACTACTGCTTTCCAGCAAATATTTATTTTAACTGACTTCCTTTCAACATTGCCTTATCCAAGGATGTACTGCTATTCGCTTTTGCAACAAAATCTGTGTTGTGATGCTGGCCAAATGTCATTTCAACTGGGTTTGCAAAGAAATGTTCATGAAAGCCTTCTGTCGGATGTCTTCCCACCCACCTGCATACAAAATATAACACTATACATTGCAAATAATAATAATTTAAAAAGAATTGCCAGAAGAAACATATTTTAAGAGAGAAAAGGGGGCGGGGGGCACAGACAACTCTGTGCAGTCCCATGAAGTTGAGAGGACAAAGATACACGCCATATGCATGAAGTAAAAGTGTTAAGCTAAAAAGGTACACGTCATTACAAAGCTTCAATATTAACATACACCAATGAAAACTAAGCAGCACCAAATTAAGAATGGACTAAAACTACATCTGATGTGAACTAAAAAGTGTCCCTGTGCCTTTTAGTGTCCCGTTCAGACCACAGCTCATTTCAAAAGTCAGCAGTTCATGGCACAAGGGTCGCTTTTGGACTTTCCTGCCGAATTAATGATTCTCATCAGACAACGTCCAAACTCCTCCAGAATCATCCGTTCTGCTACTGCCTTCGACTTCCCTGCCTTCTCGGCCTGCTCCGCCTGCGCAAGTAAGCAGTCACACGTCGCTTCGGCAACTTCCTTCGTTACAAACGTAAATGGCAACCTAGAAGAAAACAAGAACAAGCCATAGCGCATTATAACTTGACAATCAGACTCCTTTTTTTCCTAAATTAAGTCTCAAGGTATCTATCTGTAAAAGCAAGGAAGATCAGATGCAGTTCCTCAAACACACACTTACGCGTGAATAGCAATGTGCTTTTCTTTTTCTCCACAGTCTTTATAAATCCAGGCTGACAATGACTTTCGTTCATCATTTCCACAGATCCCTCCCTCCAGGTTTAAAGGGGTTTAAAGCCCTTAAAAGCTAAAGGGAAAAGGCAGGGAAACAGCATGTACAGACACCCATTAATGTGTAGTACTATGTACAGTCATACCTCGGGCTGAATGCGCTTCAGGTTGAGCGCGTTCGAGTTGCGCTCCGCGGCAACCCGGAAGTAACGGAGTGCGTTACTTCTGGGTTTCGCCGCTTGCGCATGCGCAGACGCTCAAAATGACATCACGTGCATGCCCAGAAGCGGCGAAAAGCAATGTGCGAGTGCGCAGATGTGCCGTCGCTAGATACGTTTGCTTCTGGATCCAGAGGTACCACTGTACTTGTTCCATGTCTAGCAATTGCAGGAGCAGCAGAATAAAATAGGAGCCCAGGCAAGTGAGGCAGGAGGAGGCACTCTGCTGCCCAAAGGTTATTTCCATGCCCTCCCTCTATTTCTCTCAACCTACAGCACTAATTTTTTTAACAGCACAGAAGAGACTGCATGACATCAACAAAATGGAAGTAAGCACACCTTCCCCCTCCGCTGGTCAACACCGGGGCTGGCCTTGTCAGCAGGTCTGAAATCTGCGAGGACAACTTTGTCTTTGCGGCAGTTTGTTGCTGGACTCGCACTTCAGCAGCATCAGCCAAGTGCATCAACGTCTTCCGCTCTGGGCTTTCTTCAAAGTTCTTGCAGCCGATACATTTGCAGATTGAAGAACACATGATCTTTGCCTGAACAGGAGAAAAACAAAAGCCTATTCATTCATTTATTTAATTTGTATAGCACCCTTCATCCAAAGTTCACAGCGCAGTTTGCAACATAAAAATACGAAATGAGAACACAAAATACATAATAAAAGAAAAGCACAACAAACCCTTTCTAGAAACACGTTTAATAATAATAATAAAAAATTTTTATTTATACCCTGCCCTCCCCGGCCAAAGCCGGGCTCAGGGAGGCTAACACCAGTAAAATTACAATAAAAACATAATGGGGGGGGGGGACCAATTTAAAATACAGGTTAAAAATACAATTTAAAATGCAGCCTCATTTTAATAGTAGCCCATAGATCAAAACCATAAGGGGAGGAAAACATAAGGGTCAAACTAAGTCCAAACCAAAGGCCAGGCAGAACAGCTGTTGTCTTGCAGGCCCTGCAGAAAGACCATAGAATATTAAAAGCCTGGTTATAGAGGAACAATTTTTGCCAGGCACTAAAGATATGTAACAAAGGCGCCAGGCGAGCCTCCCTGGGGAGAGCATTCCACAAATCGGGAGCCACTGCATAAAAGGCCCATTCTCATTTTGCCACCCTCCGGGCCTCTTGTGGAGGAGGCACAGGAAGATGGGCCTCAGATGATTTTCACAGGGTCCAGATCAGTTCATATGGGGAGAGGCGGTCTTTGAGGTATTGTTTTGCTATGTGTTGTAAAATCACAGATTTATTCGTGTATTCAAAATGATTACTGTTTAGCACACACCTGTCAGTGCAACATCAGCCGGATAAATATGACTGCCTAATCTGCAATAGTGCATCACTGATCTTTCATTATGCTGCAAAATTAGGGGATAAAATCCTTCAACTACTGGAGATTTTCATTCTCCCATTTTCATATAGGTAGAAGTCATGTCCGCAAGGGGCTCTTGAAGTTATATGGATGTTACACAGTAAGCAGAAACATGGCAGAATGCCTTTGTTAAGCTACTTCCTGGCTCTGAACTGCTTTCCCTGTGGAGGTTGCCCAAAGTCAGAGCCTGGGTCTTTTCCAGAAGCACTGAAGGAATTTTTATTTAAGAGGTTTCCTGTGGCTGAAGATAGCTTTGGATTTAAAATAGGGATACAGTGGTACCTTGGGTTAAGAACTTAATTCATTCTGGAGGTCCGTTCTTAACCTGAAGCACCACTTTAGCTAATGGGACCTCCCGCTGCATGATTTCTGTTCTCATCCTGAAGCAAAGTTCTTAACCTGAGGTTGTATTTCTGGGTTAGTGGAGTTTGTAACCTGAAGCATCTATAACCCGAGGTACAGTCATACCTTGGATTGAAGTACAGTGGTGCCCCGCAAGACGAATGCCTCGCAAGACGAAAAACTCACTAGACGAAAGGGTTTTTCGGTTTTTGCGTTGCTTCGCTAGACGATTTTCCCTATGGGCTTGCTTCGCAAGACGAAAACGTCATGCGAGTTTGTTCGCTTTTTTCTTAAAGCCGCTTGAAGAGGCGCAGTTGCGACGGACCGTGCTTCGCAAGACGAAAAACATCGCAAGACGAAAAGACTCGCGGAACGAATTAATTTCGTCTTGCGAGGCACCACTGTAGCTTCGGGATGAATATTTTAGGGTTGCGCTCCGTGCGTTACTTCCGCGTTTCGCCGCTTGCGCATGCGCAGATGTTCAAAATGACGTCACGCGCATGTGCAGAAGCGGCGAATCGCGACCCGTCCACGAGCAGATGCGAGTTGCGTTCGCTTCAGGATGCAAACGGGGCTCCGGAACGGATCCCGTTCGCATCCAGAGGTACCATTGTATTAGTATTTCACATAACATTTATGAGCCTAATATAAGTGTGTGTTAAAAAAAATAAAAACGGAACCACCATGGAGATGCTGTGAGAATGAACCAGGAAGGGAAGTGACAAAAAAGTACTGAGAGAGAAATACAGCAGACTTTGGGTCCTACCTCGTAGCATTCACAATAGTTTTTGAGACATCCAGACCGCTTGCAGTTGCAACCTTTGCTGTGCCGCCTGTCCGACTCGCCTTCCTTCCCCTTCCCTATTTTAGGCTTGAAGGCTTCTGGGTTTCTGTCAAGGCAGGCCTAGCAAGGCAGATGCAAAAAAATCCATCACCACATGCAAGTGCTGGAGACGCAAACCCAGTCTTTCACAGGAAGAACTGGCAGACACCATTTCATCCGGTCACAAAAGACAAAAATCTTTTTGTCAAGGTTTGGTTTTGTTTTAGAGAAGAGCTTTACCTTGATTGCTTTCTGTCTGTCATTTTCATGGTCCAGATTGTTATAGCAGTTTGTGCAGTTGCAGTTGTTGCAGAACTCGCCATTGGCAAAGCAATCACAGTACCTGAAAGGGAAATCTCGTGTGAAGCTTGAACACAAAACGCCCACAAGGACTGCACAACAAGGGTGGATTGCAAGGGGTTGCATGGCTCCTCCAACCACACTCACGGCAGGCAGATCAGCCTTCCAAGTGGGTTTAACAGCAACTCTCAAACTTTGTTGTCACAAGTTTCGCGGAGAAAAAAAATCCCAAGGCCAGAACCACGGGGGCTTTGCAACTCTGGAGAGAAAGGGCTTCCAACACTCCACCCACAAAGAAGAAAGCTAGTGTGGCTTGGCCCTGAAGGAAAAGGAAAGGGCAGGCCTTTCCCCCCTTCAACTGAAAAGGTAAAGGGACCCCTGACCAGTTGCGGACGACTCTGGGGTTGCGGCGCTCATCTCACTTTACTGGCCGAGGGAGCCAGCGTACAGCTTCCGGGTCATGTGGCCGGCATGACTAAGCCGCTTCTGGCAAACCAAAGCAGCGTGCGGAAACACCGTTTACCTTCCCGCTGGAGTGGTACCTATTTATCTACTTGCACTTTGATGTGCTTTCAAACTGCTAGGTTGGCAGGAGCTGGGACCGAGCAACGGGAGCTCACCCCATCATGGGGATTCGAACCGCCGACCTTCTGATCGGCAAGCCCTAGGCTCTGTGGTTTAACCCACAGTGCCACCCGCATCCCCTTCAACTTAGTAGCCATTAAATTAGAACTGGGAGGAGCTTGCATTCAGCATACTGAAAAGTTGCTTGAACTTCCTACAAAGCCAACCAGGATGTGTTGCAGGCAACGTCGTTTAGCCTCTTTGCCCACTCACATATATTGATCTCAAGAACACATCACTACACAAGGAGGCCTCATCCTATCATGCACATGGATCTCAGCAGCAGTGCGCAGGTTTTATCCAAGTCTAAAATGCAAAAGATAGTCTCTACCGCAGTGAGATTAAGATAACCACCTTAAATATGAAATCTCTGGGAAATGTGGCCTCTACTTGATCTTCCTCTAACACAAGATTTTATCTGTAACGGGTTTAACGTGCTGCTAGACCACAACCCTGAGCAGTGGCTGTGCTGGGAGCCCAATACGATTTTAGCTACCTCTGCTGTGATGCATCCACTTTATTGCTGATGGAAAAACAGGGTTTTACTTTTAACATTTCAAGATGGTAAAAAGTAAAACAGCTATACTTACAGCTTAAGACACAGTGATTTTGTACAGTTGCATGGCTTTCTGGGGCGATTTGCCGATTCGGAGGAAATTATTCTGTAAAACAGTTTTAATGACTTCAGTCATTTTTTGGCCCAAAGGACAAAATGTTGATTAGCTATTGCATAATTTGAGATGTGCAATAACAATACTGCGAACACTGACCCATCTGTTCCCCACAGTTCAGACTACACAACCTAGCCCACCTTGTGCCAAGATCAGAGAGCAGGAGCATCTTAAATGCCTCCAGAGCAAGTGGTTCCACCAAATGACTTATCAGAAAAGTAATTCCCAAACTGTGGTGCCAAAAGGAAAATGCTACTGCATCAGGATTAAAAAAAAAATCAGTTTAACTGTCCTTTAAGTCCATTGTGTCAATGCATAACAGAGGTTATCTACTGCTTCTCTGAATGATCGCCTGCTCTGGCATTGCTTTCTTCTGCTTAGTTTGTCAGGGGCTAGTTATTCTGCTTTGCATGAGCATCAGCTGTAAGTGGATCATTCAGTCACTGAGTAAAGACTCAGCAAATTCACCTGGCCTTATGATGCTGTTTCCTGCTGTGTCTCCCTAAAAGTTGCTTCTTTGGGGCTGTGTCCTTTCAGTTAAGCAGGCATGCCCATATCAGTGACTCATGCATAGGGAGGGAAAGGTATTGGGCTCTTCAAAAAGCAGTCGGAAGTCTTACTCTTCCACATTCTAACATTAATTTTTTCAGGTGTAACAACAAAGTGTGCCCAGATATTTGGGATCTACTGTACTACCCCCATATAAACAAACCACCAGAAACAATACGGTTGACCAAGATTGTTCAGTCTCTTCATTAGGAATAAAAATATATGCAGAGGTGTTTGATGTGCCTGCCCTACTCTTGTGGGATTACTTTTCCTTTTGGAACCTGGGTAGGATTTAAATAATTTTAGCTAGTTTTTATGGGGAGAGAGAATTGTTTTTACATCTGTAAGATCTTTATCTATTTTAAGACTCTGGTTTCATATAAAGCAAAATGTAACTAGGCTGGCACATAAGGAAAAAAAAAATCTGCAAAAATTCACAGTTGGGCAGTATCTTTTTAGGACCAAGCAAAATATCAACCCTATTTGGATATTCTGAGACCAGAGACCTCGTACATGCAAGGCAGATGACCTACCACTTCAGCAGCTGAACACTGAACAACTCCAAATATTTCTCCCAATCCTCTGTCTTTCCAAGCTGTGCAATGATTACTTAAAACACATCTACACAATACACACCCATTGAATGGCAGGCGGGCTTGGGTCTGGATACTAGATGTCCCACTAAGATTGGCATTGCTTGCTATTGATACGTAGGATGACTGCTGTAGCTAAAAATAAATAAATTCACAAAGTCAGAACACGAAGTCGGTACATGACATACCCTTTGCAGATTAGTACTTGCGCAAATAGCTGGCCAAACACTTTTTATTCCGTCATTAAGAGTCAGAAGAAGATGTTCACTACTATTTTTAGACTGGAGGGCTTTTGTCCTGGAAACTGGATTATAACCTCATGTTTAATGTGTACCTAATTTTCTAGTGCTAATGGAAGCCTCACACCTCTTATGATACACTGTTCTAAGAGGACTGTTGTAACTAGATTAAAAACCTGTCTAAACATTAAAATAACAATAATGTCTCATAGCACCACACTTTTTTGTGACAGGATCAAAAAATTCAGGAACCATAACACTCCATTTGACTAAAAGTCTGTTGAGAGTTAAATTAAAATATTACACCTGATTAGAAGTTTATGTTGTCAAAGCGCCTTCAATTTCTCATGCCTAAGTTTCATGGTCAGATAACAAATAGTAGGAAAAAACTTTATTTGGGAAATACATAGACCGGTTTTTCCATTTATAATCCCATTAGAATTCATCCATAGCTGCACTATTATATAGCCCAAAGAGCAGGCATAGGCAAACTCAGCCCTCCAGATGTTTTGTGACTACAACTCTCATGATCCCTAGCTAACAGGACCAGTGGTCAGGGATGATGGGAATTGTAGTCCCAAAACATCTGGAGGGCTGAGTTTGCCTATGCCTGCCAAAGAGCCTGTCAAAGCAGCATACGCTTTTCTTTTGATCTTTTTGATGTTGCTAAACTATATGGGGATTTTCACACACCTGAAAGAGAACCGCTGGAACTCATTTTGTGGTATCAGCAGAAATTATCTATGGAAAACTAGGAATTATGGAAAACTAGTATCCTATTTTGATTCAGAATGCATGGTAGTGAAGTTGAAAAAGTGGCGGAGGGAATGTCAATTTACATAGCTTTTCCTTGTACCTTTTCTAGTGACAAAACCATTAACATGCTACATATTGGCCATAAGAAATCACCTTCTTGTGCAATCAGCTCTCTGCTTTTCACCACTCTCTCCACCTTAGGGACAGGAACCACCTGCAGACGAGTTTCTGCTAGGACTGCGTTAGCTAGGAAAGCTGTTTGCAAGCTGAAAAATCCCTCATGCCTGCTTCCTTTGGAGAAGCAGAGAAATTTTCAAAGAGGAAGACAGCTGAGGTCCTACGTCTCCCCGGCAACACCCTTTTGTTAACCAGATGAATTTCTGATGACCTTCATGGCCTTGAGGCATAGTGATGGTGGGTTAATACCTAAAATAAATTTCATCAGTTGCCCTTGCTTTTCCAGCCATTTTATTGTTTTTAGATTCAGAATCCCACATTCTCATTTCCCCATAAATGTAGTTAAAGGGATTTTACTCTTGTTCTCTGTTATTAAAATTATTTTCCGCTCATCTCCATGCGGTCCATAATCTTCTATTATTTAGTTCTTAGAATGCACTTGAACCTTACACTCCAGAGAGAAGTCTGATTTTTCCAGCAAAGATCTTTCATTTTCAGCTTTATTTGGGAACAGTTGGAACTCAGCTTTAGTTCAAAGCAATCCTCCAAGCTGTCTGGAATGAGATTGTGCATTTACAAAACCGGAGTATCATCATTTTGGCAACCATCTCTTCTCAGCTGTCATGATGGCTAACAATGGTCCTTCCTCTTTCCATCCATGTTGAAAGGCTCCTTCTTTCTTGCATGCTTTGTATTTTAATTGCTGGTGGGGTAAATTCTTCCTAATCTCTTTTTCTGGCAGAAGATACATCATCTGCTTGGGCAGTGCACCAAATGAATTCCACCTGGCCATCTACTCCATGAATTAAGTCACACTGAAGATCTCATTTCTTTCAGCTCTGCCAGACTATCTGGCTACAAGGGAGAACGTGGGGGGTGTTGCTGTTTTCCATGAGAGGGCTACTCTCAATGATTTGGACCGGTAAGCCTCTATGCAGCTGCTCTACATGCAATTTTCTATCCCATGTTTTCCAAAGGAAGACAGCAGCAATCCACAGGTGTTCCTGAGTCTTGCCTGTCCAACACGCGTTCCAAGCATATGCAGCATCTTGTGCTAGTGCTACTATCAGTAAGTTTCCTCAGGCCAGCAGTTCCTGAACTGTGCTGGGTTAAAACTAGTGTGATGAGAGAAGGGCTGAAGTGAAATGCAACCACGTCCTTCAAGCAGGAAGGCCCTGTGCAGGACTGTGGGTTTTTTCCTGCCAACATATGGGCACTGACATCTCCCCATGTGGAAGGGTGCCCTGATGCAGCCTGCAGCACAGCTTGCAACCTGGGAAAATTCCAGGGGGGAAAACATCTTGGGAGAGGCAATGTGTGTATCCACTACAGTACAACGGTGTGCTTCCACAGTTAGTCCAAAAGCGGGAGAAAAAAGCCCAACGTCTTGGGTATCAAAGATTAGAAAACGATGGATTATGCCTACCTTATTTCTAGCCCTTATTTTGTGTCCACAGACATTGGATACTCTGAAATTCTTCTGGCCTTAACTCCCAAGTGGGTCATTTTTGTTAAAAGAATCTATACACTATAAAGCATCACACACTCGTTAAATATTTTGGTCAATTTCATCTCCACATCAATGCCATACCTGTGTGACATATTGAGCCGGGAGAACCGCATAGCCTACATTCCCTGCACCAGGGGCTGGAGCCAGCACTGTGCCCGGGGGAAGGTTGGTGAGGTTTGGCTGGATCTGTGGCAGTGGTGTGGCAGGCATTATTAGCCTCTGCTGTGGCTGGCTTGTAGTAACTATCTGCGAAGTTGTGCTAATTGGTTTGGGCGCCACCTGCAAGGAAAGGAAATCGCCATGATGCCTTCATTGCATACGAGATCTTATTATTTGCAAATCAACAGGAGAAGTTACTTTGGAAATTCCAACTGTGCAAAACCAGAAATACGTATTAAGTATGTAGGCGGACGCAAAACTCACTTGTTTGACTGCCTGCGTTGCTGGAACAATTGGGACAGACATCCTCACGGGGGTTGCATTCACCACCATTGGCTTAGCTGCTCAAAATAAACAACATGAGACACAACATGTAACTTTCTGTGCAAAGATATTTACAGGATGCACCTACTCTGTATACTAAAGGTAGGGCCACTTTGGTTTTGTTGTTATTTTGTATGTATTGCCTGAACACCAGCTTCCGGGTTAGGGTGGGATATTTCATTATCTATTTGTATGGCATTCTTACATGTTGAAATCATTTAATAGAAAAAAAATATTTTAAACGAGTTTTTTCAGAATTTTGGATAGAACAACAACACACACCTCAAACTTTTGCTGTTTACCATTTACTTGATCAACTCCTAGACAAGTCACAGTGAAACAAAGAAACACAACACAAAAAGACCATATATCTGCAACATCTCCTAAAATTAAGGGCAAACAAGCAATGTTTCCAATCTGACACTTTTCATGGCTAAGGAATGTATATCACCCCCTAAGTGGAACTTTAAAAATAGTTTGCATTTGCACTGCTGGAAGCTGTTCTTTTAAAAAAACCTAATTATTGCAATGGAAGTGGGACTGAGAAGGGGAGGCTGCCTGATAAATGGGGATACCCCAATCTTGGTCAATGATCAACAATGAACACTCATGGCTAAACCGTTAGTCAAACAAGTATTAGGAAACCTTTCCTACTTGGGAGTGGGCATACAACCAGCACAAAGCAGAACACGGAATGTTAAACATATGCCTACTTAATGCCCTTTGTATTTGCATTTCTGTTAAGCACTTCCAAAACTGTCGTGAAAACATTCAACTATGGAGACTACTAACCTTGCTGAAGAGATGCTGTGCTGATGCTGGGATTCTGAGTGGCTGGCTGTGCTGAGCTGTTGGCTGTTGTGGCAGTTACAAGCCGGACATAATGGAATTTGCTTCCAGGTACCTGAATCTGTTGAACATTGGGTGCTGTTGCCAAGGGAATGATAGTCTTAAACTGAGATGTGCTCACTCCTCCCATAGTAAGGGTCTGTACTGCAGATTTCACAGCCTGTTAAAATAGTTGTAAAGTTATTTATGTGGTGTCAATATATCAGTCTCTCTTTTATTGTTGGCAAAGAAGTAGTTTCTAGCGAGTTAGCATTATTCCCCCTTGTGCTTCATTTTAAAGCACAGATCAATAAACTCTTGAAATGCATTATCACTTTGTATTAATGATGTCGGATACAGTAAGCACTCGTTTGTGACCAAATTTACTTTAAGCTATTTCTTCCAATAGCATATCATTTCAACTCATCAAAACAAACACAAAAGTTTGATGGATAAACAGTTAACAATGTCTGAAACTACACAGAGCTGTGACTCTGATGGTGAGGCTTTCAGAATAAGAGCCAGAATGCGGCATACCTGAGTTGTATTGTTAGCTACAGCCTTTCCGGGGGAAGATGGTGTTGAATGCTGCACCGTGAGAATCTGCTGACCCAGGGCTACGTTTAGAGGAACACCAACTGCTTTCTGGGGTGAGCTTGGAGGCTGCGAGGCGACAGACACCACTGTTAGCTGCTTAACAAATCAGAGATCTTAGGCTAAAACATTCTGTAATACAGTTCCACACAGCTACAGCTCGTTCAGCTTCAAAATCAGAACAGAATACAAATGCACAAGACTTTTCATGCTGTTGGGGGTTATGAGCCAACCTATTTTGGACTACAACCACCATCTGCTGGCTGGTACTGAAAGCAGCTGCAGGGCACCAGGTTGGTAAACAAGTTACAACAGTTTAGGCATCAGAAGCTGCTGGCAAGAAGGAAGTGCCCCCCGATAATTTTGCTCAGCTGGTAGATGTTTGGTAATTTGGAAATTCCAATTTCATTAAAAGAAACAGAGGCAGTAAGTTTACAGGTTTTGTTGCTGTGGATCATTTGAAACGTGATTAAAATAAATCATAAAATTGTAGAGTTGGAAGGGACCACAAGGGTCATCTAGTCCAACCCCTTGCCATGCAGGAATCTGCTGCTCAATGTTGGGCTCGAACCTGCACCCCTGAGATGAAGAGCCTCATGCTCTATCAACTGAGCGAGCCCAGGTTGAAATAGGCCAGTGAAAAAAAGACAGTCACGGAACCAAGAAATTACACAGAACAAAAGAAATTACCGTGAAAATCCCTGAAACGAGAAATAATCGACTACAGAATAACAAAAATCAAAAAATAAACTAGAATTAAACAAAAACTGTGTGTTAAACCACAGAGCCTAGGACTTGCTGATCAGAAGGTCGGTGGTTTGAATCCCCGTGACGGGGTGAGCTCCCGTTGCTCGGTCCCTGCTCCTGCCAACCTAGCAGTTCGAAAGCACGTCAAAGTGCAAGTAGATAAATAGGTACGGCTCCAGCGGGAAGGTAAACAGCGTTTCCGTGCGCTGCTCTGGTTCACCAGAAGCAGCTTAGTCATGCTGGCCACATGACCCGGAAGCTGTCTGCGGACAAATGCTGGCTCCCTCGGCCAATAAAGCGAGATGAGCGCTGCAACCCCAGAGTCAGTCATGACTGGACCTAATGGTCAGGGGCCCCTTTACCTTTACCTTTTACGAGATGCCAGCTACAAAACTCGTTTCACTGAACTAATCAGTTTCCTCAGAAGGAAATAAAGAAATTATAAGATTTTAAGTGATATCAAACAAGCTCAAGAGCAGGGCTGGAAATGCTTCCTCAAGTTTATAAAAAAGGTATGAAAACCTCAATGACAAGTTTTAAACATAGCCCTATTTAAGAGAATCGAGCAGTAGTGATAAGAAATTGAGGTTTTAAAGTATTCAAACAAACTCAAAAAACAGGTTGAAATAGGCAGCTTGAAGCTCAGGTTACTTGTTCTTCACTTGGAAGGCTCAGCTACCATTTTAAGTAAATACAGATTAACAGAATTTAACTCACACTTTCCACATTTGAATAAGTGAAATATGTTTAAATGGAATATATCCTACTACTTCAGATCATTTTCAGAGCAACACCAAAATAATTGTAAACCTGAATAGACCTTTTTACCTTGTTGGGGGACTTCAAGGGAGAAATGGCTATCTTATTTGGTGTCTGCTGTATAGCAGAACTTAAAGTAGTCCCAATGACGCCGCTTTCTGAGATAGTCACCGTCTTTGGAGGTGTCCCTGGCGTGGTCTGCGAAAGAACTCGACCTGTAGAAAAAAAGAGAACAGAAACAAACTGATGATTATAGCTGGTGTCATGAAAAGAAACAGCATGTCAATTCACTGCTCTACACTGTTGCAGAAGAAGTGCTGCCTTCATTTCATCCTTCCCCCAGGTAGCAGAGTAGAAATGTCTCACATTTTCTGACAGTGTTTTCTTTTTTGTAATAAAATAGCTGAAGACAATCAAGAATAAAATGAAAACAGAAAGAGAGAGACAAAACTGACTCCAGCACGCTGCCAAAAACCCAAACTTCCAGATCAAAAGATTAACAATTAGCCATTTTTCTCTTGTGTTAGCAACTTCCAGGTAAAGATATACCAGAAATACAGTGGTACCTTGCAAGACGAATGCCTCGGAAGACGAAAAACTCGCAAGACGAAAGAGTTTTTCGTTTTTTGAGTTGCTTCGCAAGACAAATTTCCCTATGGGCTTGCTTCGCAAGACGAAAAACGGAAAAAAACGAAAACGTCTTGCAAGTTTGTTTCCCTTTTCTTAAAACCGTTAATACCCAGGGTGACTTCGAGGAGCAACTCATAGCACGCGGTGTGGTAGCCTTTTTTGAGGTTTTTGAAGACTTTGGTGATTTTGAAAACTTTGGGAAACCGTGCTTCGCAAGACGAAAAAACTCGCAGAACGAATTAATTTCGTCTTGCGAGGCACCACTGTACAGCTGATTCAATTCTCACCGCTTGTATTTCTAACAAAAATAGAAACCTGTTACGAAGCAGGACAAAATGCAAAGGGAAAGATGACAACAGCTGGTTACAACTAATAATCTTGCGAGAAAAGTTCCACCAACCCCATTCAGTACCCCCCTCTTTTAGAACTTTCTGTCAGCAATAAATCATGAGTGGAAACCACAGGGGTGCATTTACACCCCGAGATGAGACTGTGTGCATTGCATTACTGCTTGAGGCACCTGTTTCCTTCCAGGCTTCAGCTTCAAGTTATTCCAGCTCTGATTAAAAGCCAGACACAGAAGGAAAACGAGACATTTCTGTTTTAAATGCCTGGCTGCACAAGTATATTTTTCCTTTTCAAGTGCCTCACTCAGTCCCCACCTGCTGGGTGAGAAGGAAGCTTGATTTATCAGTGATTATTGGGAGTATGGTTATTGAATATACTATACTGCAGAACTGTAAACCTCTCCTGGAGTTTAATATACGTTTTCCAAAGTACCATCTAGTAGCTTTTACAGCCTCCCATGGTCTTTCATGGCCCCGAAGACCAAGATTCTTCAACTGCAGGGGCCAGTTAATTGGGAGGGAGACAGGGAGAATATGTACCTTTTATCACTCTTTGATCTGTGGCAGGATGGTCCAAGGACATTTAAAAAGTATAACTAATCCGTGATAACTGACCTTGAGCAGGCTCATTGAAACTAACCACAGTTACAAATTGGTATAATATGGAAATGTTGAGAGTTTGCCATGGGCACCACTCTCTATGATTTGACATAGGTTTTAATCTGATTGTGGTTTGGGCGGGAGCAGGGAGTAGAATGTGCACTAAAAATTTCATATCTGTTGTCAGCCAGGGCCACAGTAACACAGATCCAGGGCTCATATTCCCCCATGAATCTTCATGATTTTGACATAGGATGACAAGAACGCATCAATGGACACAGAGCTGACCTATGATTTTGATGTAGAAATTATGAGGTTCCATAAAACTGTCTTAGATCCATGTTTTTGCACAATGGCCACACCGGAAACCACTGGAAGTGTATTTTTTTTTACCGTTCTGTCAATGGAAATAGGTGCAATGGATAACTTGACAGTGGTTGGGGGGGACGGACTTGTGAACCAATTATGCAGTTTCAGGAGGTTCCATTTAACTGGATCCTATGTGTGCACACATTGCTCATTCTCTTCTCCCCTGCATCCCTCATCACCACATCCGTTTTCTTTCTCCAGTCTCCCAGTTTGCTCCCCTTCCCACCCCCCGGCCATGCTTTCAGTCACTCCACAAAGATTCAGCAACTCAAGTTCTGATCTGGGCCTTGAAAGAGGAAGTGCAAAAAAACACCACTCTTCCATCTAACTCCTTCAGCTGTATGAACTTTGGGGGGTGGGGCGGTGGAGAGATACCCATCCTTTCAACCTCATGATAAAGGGGGTAGTGACTGGGAAGCTCAGAACACTCCTCAACCATTACACTTACATATACCAGGGAGGTATACTCACTGCTACTAAGCTGTCATCTGAACTACTTCCAGAACTAGGAAAGGAAACGCTTAAGATGCTTAGGTGATGGTTTGAACTTGTCTTATTTTGAAGCTGACCATGGATCGTTATATAAACCACAATTCCCAGCTTGAATGACATGGGAAGGCACAGTGAACTTAGGCAAAAGTTTCCAAACTTTGCCTCTTGGGTGTATGGGAGAAGAACACTGGGACAAAAAGTAGCAGGAAACCATTATTTATCGTTGTTTTGAACAAAGCCACAGACTTCCAGAATATGGCACGTTCCTAAAATGGAATTTGATGGCAATTAATTGCTTGCTTTTTAGTGGCAAGTTCTTGAAAGCTGTGGGCCATTTTGAAATGCAGAACAAGCAGCAACCAATGTCAGAATATTCTACATGAACTAAGAAAGCATACTAGTGATCTCTCCTCATGCTCTTAACTAGATTGAATCCCAATTTTGAGCTTTGGTATAAATAAAGCACTTCCATTTAGCTCACAAGCTATCCAGAACTTCAGAAATGCATTGGATATAAATAGAAGCAAATTAGTTGGAACATTTGCTTTTTTAATTGAAGAAGCATAGAAGACTTACTGATAGCCTTTAAGTGTTTATAAAGAATATCGAATCCAATTTTCTAATACTATGAGGGCAATTAAAAACAAATTTAGTCTAAATTAAACCAAACCCTCTAACTGAACAGGGATAGTTACTGATCCATTAGATAAGCAGACACCTTGAAGAACAGCAGCCCACAATGTTGTTTCAAATAGCCGGAGAAAAGAAACCCATGTTATTTTCAGAGAATGCTATTGTGCTGGATCACACTATTCTTTGAAACAAGCAGAATTAGCTATTCATTTTACATTCCTGCATTTTGCCTGGAAGAGATTCATTACACTCTAAAACCACTGATAAAAGTATTGACTACAGTTTTGGCCTTGAATTTTCACAGGACACTGCAGTGAATACACATGAAGCAGTGACTGGCCTGGGTTTGTACAAAACGCTAAGCCATGGCTTGTTAAACTGTGGTTTGTTAAACCACAGCTTAGCATTATGTGTGAAGCCTACCAACCGCTCAATGGCTTGTTTACTACCAAAAAATCATCCACTGTCTGAAACCATGGTGTTGTTGTTGGCTTATAGTTCTTGATTTGTTTTAACTATTACTTGGCATTTCCTGCAAGCCCACTTTTCCTTAAGCGTGGCTTGCCTGATCACCCCACCCCAGCCATTCATCAAGCTACAAAGGCAAGAGTAGCTGAAAAACAGAAAACTTTGGAGAAACAATCCAAGGTTTATTTGTCTGTGAGACATCTTGTGGTTTGTTAAACCACACAGTAGCATTACATGCAAACTAGGCCATCGTGTACAACTCCTGCTTAGTAACAACAGTGTTAAAAATATAAAAATAATAAAGGCACTTTAATACTGGCTCTGCTATTATGAAAAAATCAAAAGAAAGTGCTTGTTTACAGCACTATATGTTACAAGCTTTGCCATTAACAATGCAATCTTATACATGTACTCAAAATTAAGTCTGAATTAGTTCAATGGAGCTTACTCCCAAGTGAGGTTTTTTTTTATTTATTTAAACGATTTATATGCCACTTAACAACAACAGTCTCTAAGCGGTTTACAAAGATACAATACAAAAATAAAATTAGTAAAAACTATAAATACAAGCTACAATTAAAATACCTGCTGGATTTTTTTAAAAAAAAGTCTTTAGTAGCAGCCAAAAGTTTAGTAGGGAAGGGGCCTATCTGACCTCAACTGAAAGGACGTTCCATAAAATTGGCCCTACAATACATATGCCTATTTAAGAGTAGAAGGCACCACTCTGTCATGTAAAGATGCATTCAACACACCCTGGATACAACTGATCAACCCCTCCCAAGTGGTTTTCACCAGCCAGGGTGGGCAGGGCTTAAGAGAGCAAGAAGCCAGTTGCATCATTGCAAGAGTCCTTCCCACATTATTAGGCTGCATAAACTGAAATTAATCTGACTAGGGAGGCACTGCATTGGGCACTTTCAATGGGAGTTACAACAATAGTTGTATCTAAGGCAACTGTGGAAGTGAATGGAGCGGTACATAATTTCATCCTAAATGATAAATAAAGGACTAGTAAAGCAAACAATGTATATCACCTGATGAAAATTTTCTACACCATGCATGCTTGGCTGTCTGTATTAATACAAATGTGATTTCCACCCCTGCCATACATTATGTTTTAAAGAGGATGGAGGATGGATCAGGTGGTAAGATGACTGAACAGAAAAGGCATCTCCTCAAGTAATGGAGTTTCATGGAAAGAAGTCTGAAGAAATTCCTCTCTCCGTGGGTTGCTGTTCTTTAGTCTGAATTTGTATTCCAAGTGTTTAAAAATGCATAAACATTAAAATATTAGCAGATACTGTGTGGTTTCCCTTTACATATTCAGTTGTTTTTTTGGTAAGTGAAAAACTAGTCACATTTCTTTCATTTTGGTTCTCTGTGTTTGTGATGAGGGGGAAGAGTAGTATTGTCCACTTGCATCGCTACTCTTGATTTATAAGGTGTAAAGTGAATATTTTAGTTTTCCACTTTTATAAAATTCCTAAAGCCTTATCCACTTTACCCTTTAAAACCAACAGAGGACTTTGCAGCTTAAAAGTAGTACTCATCTTTTTTAAAAACCCAGAAGTCTGAACAGTTTAAACCATCTTATTTCCCCAACAAAGAGCCAGGAAGTAGTGATAAAACACTGCAGCAATGCATAGGGGGATGAGTAGAAGAAACATCTTGACTCCATAGCAACAGAACTAGTCAGTAGCCAGGAGTGGAGTAACAGCAACCACAGAACTCTTCAGAGCAAGTCAGTTGCACATAACACTACACTTTTAATGCACATTTATGAAGCGTGCAAGCTTTCCCACATTTACTACATGGTTAAGTTGGTTGACACTGTGCACACAATCTGAACATTTGAGAGAGACATAAAATAACAATGCTGCTGTTAGGTTTTGAAAGCGCCATTTTACATGACCCACGTAATCTGTAAATTCTTTAGGACTCTGAACTTGGACACACTTTTCATCTTCCCTGAGAAGTTATGAGATGAAGAGAAGCAAGATTCATTCTGTGGCTGGGACCCAAAGAGCCCTGTGCGTGCTCATAAAGTGCTTCTGTGAACATGCAAGGGCAGAATTATCAGATTCCCCTGATAATCACTCCTAAATGTCATTTTGGAGAACCCCCTGGCTTTTTTGAGGGAACTCAGAAGGCAGCGGTGTAAAAGAGAAAGGAGCCTAAAAACCCTCCATGAAAATATGCCCAATTGGATCCCAGCCTGTATCTGACTCAATTCACATTTCACCCCTTTAGGAATGGCACCACGCAAGAAGCCACAAATATATAACCTGCAATGACCGGTGACACTTGTGTTGTCTGTCCCGTAACAGCTTTGCTGTTGATTGGTTTTGTGAAGATCAGCTTAGTTATCACCGGGGCTGAGGTGGGTGTCCTGGTTTTTTTAGCAATCTGAAAAGCAAAAGAAGTATCATTCCCTCAGTTAGAGGAATTATTGTTTGTATGCAATAACAACCAAAATCCACACATTCTCACCTTCTGCAGTGTCTTCACTCTCAATCTCCACTGCCCCCAAACAGATTAGCTTGGAAACAGTCCCCCAACTGCTCCCTTCTTCTTCCACCTATCACCACCCCCAAGAAGAGTCCTCTAACTGGTTTTGTGCTGCTACACATCCCTCTCTATCGGCAAGAACTCTATTTTTTTAAAAAAATAAAAAAATAATCATCACCTCCATTGCACTTTAACTCTTCCTTACATTTTGCTGGTCTTATTGATTCACTTTCCCCGCCTTACTCTGCTCCACTTACGTTACTGCCAACAAAAGGGAATCATGAATGGGAGCAATTTTATCACAAAAGATAATGAGAAACAGTGTGCCTTCTTACCTGCACTGCTTTTAATTGCTGGGTCTGCAATACAGAGGATTGGGTGGTAGCATTTACCAACTGGCTCCCTGGAGTCAAGGCTGAAACACCAATGACAGGTTTCACCTCTGACCTTCCTCCAATAGTTACCACCTTGAACTGCTGCGCTGACAGCTTGGAGTCACCTGCTTGCACCTGCGACGTGGCCTTCTGCGACTGAGACAGCTGGTTGTGGGGTAATGTTAGGACAATGGGCTGCCCAGGTTTCCCCAGAGTTGTGACAATGAGCTTTTGCCCTTCTGGTTTTATAGTCTGGTTGCCAATTTTCAAGTCCGTTGCCTTGTTTAAAATTATCTGGTTGGCCGATATAGTGACAGGAGTCTGAGTACCAAGTTTCTGGAGGCTACCTTGAAAGGAAGGTTGTGCAGTCACACTAGTACCGGCTTTTGTAGTGGCAGCATTGGCTAGGACGTGGCTTACACAATTGCTGGACACCATGACGGTCTCTGTGGTGATGGACGACGTGCCAGAAGTAACAGAATCCCTGCCTGAGCTTACGTTTGCCATTCCTTCCAGTTCCATCTCCATAGTGTCACCCACAATTACAGCCTCTATGTTCTCATCTTCCTCCAGCGTTGCGCCTGTGTCCATGATCTCTTCAGGTAGCAAGCTGTTCACTTCCGCCGACACCACCTCCATATTGCAAATGCGGACGACAGGCCAAAGGTGAGGCACTGCAGTGATATTTCAAAGAAAGGAAATTAGTTTTTCAGCTCCACAAGAATGTGCAAGTTGCAGCATCGGACATATTACTGTGGGAGCCTACAAAACGGTGAAATAAACATCTACATGGTATTGGCTGTGGCTAAAAATTTGCAGACAGATTAGCCACTGCTTTGGCTAACAAGCATGTCTAAGACAATCGTCTTTGCAACCTCCTTGAGTGCTTTTCCTGGCTGGAATATGCCCTTAAATTGTTAATTGCCTCTTGCTTGCTTTTTCAACTTTGAAAAGAAGTATCTTTGAGCAATTATGAAAAGCTATTGATGGGGGTTAATGAGAGTACAAAACTCTGCATGTTCTCAACCAGGAGGGAAGCTTGTTAGGACATTTCTGACACTGGAACTGTCCATAAATTGGACATTTGACTTCTATAGTGATTTCATGAAATACTGAAATACAGAAAATCATGAGTTCTGTTCAGTTACCTGAATTTCTTTTAAATCTTGTTCCACATCAGACGACCTCCAGAAGCATTATAGTGTAGCACCATCTGTTAGGGCTAAAGATGATGGGAATATTTCAGATGTTATAAGCAAGCTGCTCCTTATAAATCCAGTCCCAAACTGACAAAATTCTAATGTTTAAGTACTATTTCAAGTCTCTCTACCTCTAGGCTTTCTCTCAAGCACCCTCTCATAGAACATGTGGAAATCCCTTTCATAAATATGATGTTCAACCACCTCACACATCAAAACTCTTAATCGAAACTGATTTTCAAGGTTACTGGACCCCCCCCCCAATATTTTCAAGAACAGGTAAATGTTCTATGGAAAGAACACACCTCCAGAACAGCTGAGCGCAAAAACCACAATATCAACTATAATGAGATAATTGCACAGACGTGCACATTAAAATTGATCATCCAAGGTACTTAACATCTTCAACAAGCTATTTAATAACAAACCAGATTAAGAGTTTTTCAAGCAGCTAATAATGTTATTTTTGTACGGCTGAAAATGTCACAGGGAGAAAAGCTGAGAAAATAGCCTACTTCTTCAATAATTGGTAGGAAGAATGCTAATGAAATTGTAAAACCTGCAAAATTCAGCTAATCTGAGATTCAGTGTGGAAAGGAGCGTTTACATGAAGTGACAGAAGAAAAACTCAGATTTAAAACGTACACCCACTACAAATTAGTTAGCCAGAGAAGGAAAAAATAAAATTTAGAATAATGTTCCAAAATACACAATACCCAAGGCACACTGGTGGATGCACAGTCTTAAACCACAAAATGTTTACATTTACAGTGTATAAAAATGCAATTTAGCAACAATTGACAGGAGCTGTGCCTATACAGACCATACCTCTTCCCTGCCCTTTGCCTTATTCCATGAGCTGTTTTGTCACATGGGACTGCCCCTGTACCCTCTCACTAGTTTATTCATTCTTTCAACATTTTTATACTCTGCCTTCCTACAGCACAGAGTGCTAAACAACTACAGTAATAAAAAGCTATACACCAGTAAACATTCATTAAAACCACTGAATCAAATCAAGTACAATAAGGAGCAATAATAGTTTCCATACGGCCAAAATATACTTTATGGTCACAATGTCTGGCCAAATAATTTTTTATTTTTTCTTTGTGCATAATACTAATGCTGGATGTCAGGATGGAGCAACAGCAGCACTTACTAACCTGAACAGGCCACAACGAGGGCATTTATATAAAATCTCCATGCATAATTAAAAGATTAGCACTTTAGAAGGTATTCAAATGAATTAATAGCATGCTGGATGTTTTGTTCATTGATTACAAAGCTGCTTTATGGCTCGATTTGTATAATTTTATGACTAACAGCCAAAACAGAGTACAGAACAAGGACAGTGTGTTCATGAATGTAACACAAAGGAAGGGGGAAGTGAGTTTTCCACTGATTATACCCAAATGAGCTGAAAATTACAATAACTTGCAGGTTCAGGAGATGGAGGCAAGATTGAAATAAATGCTTTTATGAAGCAGTGTTAACTTTAATCCAGATAACTGAGGTTCTCTTGCAATGAACCCCCACCTACCTCTCCAAAAGAAGTTGCTTTTGTTTTATAAACTTGTGACATATCCAAGGTCCGCTCTAGCTCTGGCTTTCAGATCCAGCTCTAGGATGACAGAATATACAAGAGTCTGAGATACAGTTTCATGATGTGCTTATTTCAGAATAGACGTCGCAACTTCAGTAAATTTTTATATACATGTAGGCAGGATACCAGAGGACAGGATTAGAACTGATCTGAGGTCTACTAGGCACAGGAAACTTTTTAACCTCACCATTCACTTGCAGTGGGAATGTAGCCAAATAAAATAGCACCAAGCAGTGATGACTCTCAGGCAGGCAAGTGCTTTTTAGAACAATTGCAAATACTCTTCTGTGATTGACTTAGCGGTAATTTAGAAAATAAGCACATATTACTACCTTAGCTGGACATGGAACAAGACAGGTAAGCACAATAAATTTCACTGTGGTCATTTCAAAGGAAGTTAATATATTAGCATAAGCATTGTTTCTGCTAGTCAAAGCAAATAAACAATGTGGATTTCAAAAGGCATGCTCCAGCTTTTCCATTATCAAAAAGAACACCTTCCTTTAAAAGTGAGGAGCCCATAGTTTCAGTTAACTCATTAAGCAGGTATTTTTGATCCCCTGACATTATAGTTCCATTTTGACAAAGGCTTAGAATCATAGAATCTAGTCCAAACCATGGGGGTCAAACCCATAATCCTGAGATTAAGTCTCATGCTCTACTGACTGAGCTAAAAGTGGTGGTTTGGAATCAAGTATCCTAAGGAAGAGGGGTGTTGACCAATGAGAATTAAAGCCCTTAATTCCTAAAGATTAACAGCAAAATTATTGTTTGTGGAATCTATATAATATACATTTTTGTCAGTTTTTTTCTATATATAAAAAGGCAATTACTATAAAAATCTAAGATATACTGATAAAGTAAAATCACTGACTACCTTAACCATTTGTCTGTGGGATGTGCAAATTCCAGTTGCGCAGGCAGGTTAAAAGTCTCATAAATGCATACATTTTATCTTTCAACATAATCCTGAAATGATTAAGATTCCCTTGTCCCCAGGAGAGCTGGCGCTGTACAATTTCAGCATGGCAAAGGGTTTGCCAGAGGTAACAGCTGGTAGACCCTTAGGGATCATAAAAGGGTATTTTAATTCAGCATGAAAGTCCTATACAAAAGCACTATTTATAACTACCTAGGCAGAGGGAAACATACCGTACTGGTGTATTGAGCATGGTACCAAAGCAACCCTTACAGAAGTATGAACTCGAATTCTAATATACTCCCTCAAAGGCAGAGCAAGAGTCCTTTCAAGATCAGAAAATTTCCAGTTATTTCCCATGTCAACAGCAATATGAGAAGTACAATCTGGGAGTACAAATCCTAAAATGAAAACCAAGTCTGGAACATTTCATAAGCAATAAAGATTTAAAAGAGTGAGATAATATTGAAGGTCACAGCCATTAGAAAGAAGGTTCACTAGGGAGGATAGAACAATTAAAAGCATTGATTTATCTTTGCAGCATATGCTTTACTTATTTACTTCAAAAATCTAGCCCACCCTTCACTAAAAGAACCCCAGAGCAGGATAAAATATAATAAACATAATGAAATCTCGATAAAATGTTACAACATCAACTAATTTTTAACTGGCACCAAAAATCCACAAGGGTTGGCATAAGTCATACATGAGATGGGAAGGCATTCTAGTATCAGGCACCAATCAAAGAAAGTCCTCTTACATGTTGCCATGCAGCAAATTTGTGGTAAACGTGGCTCAGTTAAGAGGGAATATTGTACTGTATCCAGAAGGTTGTAACCAACAGGCAGGTGTATGTAGAAGCCGCTGTGTAGAGCTTTATCTGACAGAACAAGCACTTGAACTTGATTCAGTGGCAAACCAGCAGCCAGTGCAGATCCTTCAGAACCAATGCAATATGTTTAACAGCCTACATGCAATGCCTCCTAGTCTCATAAATATGGTGAAAAGACTGAGTGTCCTATGTGCTTCTTCCACGAAGCACCGTTAGCTTTAACTAAGGGCTCATTCAGTTACCTTTCAGCTGCTTTTGTAGGCACAGGTCTGTATTTGAGTGGTGGTGTGGGTTTTTTAGGGTGTGTATGTGTGTGTGTCAAGATGCTTTTCCCAGAAAAACTCACATTTTACCACTGAATCAGAGGAAATGGTAATTGAGTTTTCTTAGGGTCGCTGCTTGCTCCGATTCTGTGGTAAAAAAATGTGACTTGTAACAAATGAAAGGCTACCCTAAATTTTATTTTGGGCTGCTAAAAGCCTTGCACTAAAACTGCAAGGCTACTTTGTATATGACTTGCTCAATTTGCTGTGTACTGTACTGAAAACGGAATTAGAAATTAAGTCTGAAAGCTGAAGCTTGTATAAGATCTTAGTAAGCTTCACTGATGCCAAACAATGGCTGGTGAAACATTGTACTCACCGTATCGTATCATAAGAAATATAAATACTTGCAATATCACAAGGTGTCCAGAAATGAAAGTTGGAAAATTATGAAAATACAAATTTCCAATCCTCTACAGCAGTCTTTCCCCACCAGAGGCCGTTCAGACATTTTGAAGTACAACTGCCATTAGCTCTAACCAGCTTGTCCAATGGCCAGAGATTAGGTGAGTTGTAGCCCAAAGCACATGGAGCATTCCAAATTGGGGGAGTCTGCTTTTGACATTTCAAACCCAAGGGAATAAACACAAATCCCAAGAGGAAAATGGCTTACTTTTAAAGAAAGTTGTTTATTTATTCAAATAATTTTAAAAGTTTTAATTTTAATTATTTTTGCAAGAACCTCCAGTATTCAACCAATAAATTAAACACCTTTGCACACCCTACAGATTCTGCATTGAATCCTATTTTATAGCTTATATGGTGATCTAAATATCCAGAATTCTACTAGCCCCCCCAATAAAATATAGGAAACTATGTAACATATGAAGCATAAAAAAAAATACAGCTGGAATATCCAGAATTCTAAATATTTTCTACTAAGGTGTCTATATAGATATGCTTCATATTTAAGTTAACTATTTTTTTGAACTACCGTATTTTTTGTCTACAAGATGCCCCCATATATAAGACGCCCCCTATTTTTTGATTTAGAAATAAATATTTTAAACATTCTGTGTATAAGACCCCCAATTTTAAACTTTAAAAATTTGAAGAAAATATAGTCTTATACACGGAAAAATGCGGTATATCTCTGTTACTTTGTTGCAAGCTCCAAATATGATTGCAGAGAAGTAAAATATAAATAATAACTTACATTCCATTCCATACATCAGGGTAAACTACAGTTAATGGTTTGCCCTAAACACAGATAATTCTTGATTTACTCCTTCCTAGTGTGAGCAGAAACAACTAACCATGATCCCTGACTTATGTTTGGACCAGGAATCATGAGGGGTTTTTTTGTTCAAAAACACTACTGGTAAGCTAAGAGCAAACCTTGGTTTAACTTCATGATTTATTGGGGGGTGGGGAGCTGTGAGACAACAAATCCTGGTTTGGATGTAACTCTAAACCAGGGGTCGTGGCTTGTCGCTCTTTCTTACACCAGAGGAGAAGCAAAGTAGGTCCACCTGCAGATGTAACTAATTGTTTCCTGATACAAAGCTATCCCACACTAACAGTTAACACAGTTTTAAAATTCGCATGGAATGTCTTTAATTAAAAATGATACAAGATATAAACCCACCTAGAAATAAGGTGGTTGGTATATTTAATATATGAATCTCATATTTCAGAACCTATAGAGTTTAGAAGATACCATTTTAAATACTTATTTAACACATTTATTTGTCGCTTTTCAATCAACAAAAATGATCAGGAGGTCACTCACAGAGAAATACTCAATTTCATAGATAGGGGAGTGGAGAGAGGAATGACACATGCATATATCGAACCTGAACGTGGACCTAGCCCTCAGAAAAAGGAGTCACATTTATTGTGTACATTTTAGTGCTGTCACTGGGTAAATAACACTGACACTGACATCTGACTAATTCATAATCAAGAGTAGGCCCACTGAAATCAATGTACTTAATCATTACAGTACTTAGTCCACTGATTTCAGTGGGTGTATTCAGAGTATGAGCTAGTCAGATACCACCCAGTGTAATTAAACAAAAACATATTTTCAGACTGTGTTCCTTGACACCAATTATCATTTGCCTTATTGTGCTAGAAATCCCAGCTACCCTAACGTAACTAGATTACACTTACAAAATATATTGCTTTACACCTTTTCATAACAAAATTTGGAATTAAAACCAAAACCAAACATTAATTTTCCATCTGAATCATTACTGCTGCACTGACCTTTTCCACCTTTCAAAGGTTAAGGGGGATACATTTTTAAATTCCCAGCTTTAATTATCTATCATGCTGTGAAGTTATTATTTTCTGCCCATTGCAACACTTCCTGTTAATTATATATATTTGGAAGTGACCACTAAAGCACACCTATGATGTATGCGACTACACTCCCCTGAAAGCAAGCAGCTAATTTTAAAAATCATTAGTGTCCCACGAGCAGCTTTGCATACTAACATTCTTCACTGCGCTCCTAAGCAGAGTAGGCGCAATCAATCCAGTAATTTGTTCTGCAGATTTCTCCTTGACCACCATATGAACATCACTTGCGCTACCCGAACTCTCAAGAATGCAACATCAGACACAGTACAAGCGAGACCTTGAAAGGCGAGTTAGGCCTCAGCAGCTCCAAATACTTCCTTCTTTTCCAGCCAGGTTAACTATTTAGGTTACATTTGAAAACACCTGGATTTCCCGTACAGCAAGCCACCCAACCCAGCGTTGCAGGCTTCCCCTTCTCCCCCAATCTCCTGCCCAGGCCTTGCTTGGTGCGTCTCTCACCCCTCTCCAGGGCGCAGCCACCGACTCCTTCCAGGAGGGTTAAGTTCCAGCCCGAGGGGAGGAGGGAGCTTCCACCAGAAGTGTCTGGATAGCTGCAAAGCGGCTGCCCGGGAGTTGGGACGAAAAGACGAGGAGAGGGAGGTTTCTGGCAGCAGCGAGCGGAGGAGTTGGGGGGAGCCTCTCAAGGCTGTTTAGGTGCTGTCGCTGGTATGTCAGGGGCCGGGATAGGATTTCGAAAGATCCGCCATTTTCACTTCGTCATCACCATCACAGCCCAGCTCAGCAACAACCTCAGCCTCCTCCCTCCGCCCCGATCCCTTTGCTAGAGCCACTCCCACCGGAGGGGAGGGGAAGCCCGGCCCACGCCGGGAAAAGGAGGAACGACGCGGGCGCTGACCTACAAGAAACGCGCGCTCCGGCCAGGGCAGGACTCCCTGTCCACGCAACCGCAAAGGGTTTTGCGCCCCTTGTCCAGGAAACGAGGGTGGATTCCAGCTCCGAGACGGAATTCAGAAGGGAAGCCGGGCTAACCAGCTGCACTTCCACGGCACCTTAAAAGCCTGGCCGTGCAATCCTATACTCAGAAATAAGTTCCGCTGAGTTCAGTGGGGCTTACTCCCAGGTAAATGGGTATAGGATTGCAGACCAAATGGTTTATTAGTCGACTAAGAATCGGGAGAGATGAAAGGTGGCGTGTGCGGACAGGATGAATAAGAAGTAACGGTGCATCTGGTGTATATATAGATTTTTCATCCAACCAAAGCTCTCTCATCCTTTTATTACCTGCCCTTAAAAAGTAAATACCAGTGTATTATGACTATGAACAACATACATTGATTAACATTGACACAGGAAGGCTTTTTAAGGGGAAAGGGGGAAAGCTTCCAGCAATTCTTCTAGTAAAATTAAAAGAAAACTTTGCCCATCTCATGGCTAATAAAGAAATCAGCATGAAAATGCTTTAATACACTATTCTAGGCAAAACTGATGGAGAAAAACATTGTTTTTCCACCTAAAATCATTTATGCTTGCTTTTTCCCTTAAAAAAGAGCAAACAAACCCAAACTCACTCACATAGAAGAACATCACACTGAACATGGGAAACTGCTTCCAAGAGTGTGTGAGAAGTGGAACTATACTGAGATTCTCACTTCAAAGAGTTTTCATTCCATACATTCTACACAACACAATTTATAACCACAGTATCCCTTCAACTGCCAAGATACAAGTTACTGTTAATGACAGATCAGATCTTACACTACTTAAGAACTAACTCCATTGTTCATGTCTCAGTTTTGACTCACTGTTCAGGAGCAAAACTCTCAAGTGTGACACTCAAGCCAATTCAGCATAGCAAAATAGTTTAAGAATAAATTCCCATATCAAGAACTGTAATGCCTTTTCTGTTAACTTAGACTTTGACACCCAATAAAGTACTATTCTCAACAATTCATTGGTGAAAGCTGCAATGCCTCTTGCAATTAAATGTAGGTATTTGATGTTGTATAGTAGTTGAACCTTCCTGAGAAAATTGAATAGAGCCAATACATCATGCCACTACAGTATTAGATCCATTTTATATATATTTATATATTTATCAAACTACTTCTGCAAGTCATTCCCATGAGGCAAACAACTATTTTAAAGTTTCCACAAAAATATCCTGGCAAACCTGTCCATGCACTGTGAACTGGAAAGCAGCAAATATTCTGCATATTCTATGCATCAATTATCTGGTACACTTGCATGAATTTAGCTGTTTTAAACTAGACTCTGGAATCTGATTGCAGAGATGCTATGAAGGTCAAGAGTTTTCTTAATTGGGTTCTACAGCAGAGTCAATGAGAGTATACACTTTAAGGCCTGTTGGTAATATCTGGACCCAGCTGAATCTGACTTCTGGCCTGGTTTGGGGAACAAAACTACCTTAAGAGCATAAGAACATAAAGCTGCTGGATTAGGCCAATGACCCATCTAATGAAGCATCTTGTTCTCACTGTGGTCAAACCAGATGCCTGTGGAAAACCAGCAAGCCTTGGTCACCCTGATCAATGACTTTTGTTGGAAGAGGCATAGTGGAAGTGCAACTCTCTTGGTTCTATTTGACATCTCAGTGGCTTTTGATGCCATGGATCATGGCATGAATTTGGAGTTGTTGATGCTGTTTTATAGTGGCTCCACTCCTATCTCTGAGGAGTTTCAGCAGAGAATAGCATCAGGCAACTACAGGACTTCTCCTGCAAGGTTAAATAAGAATTTAAGATGAGCCTGCTGGATCAGGCCAATGGTCCATCCTGTTCTCACAGTGGCTAACCAGATACCTACAGAAAGCCTGCAAGCTGGACATGACAACACAACGGCACTCTGCCCACTTGCAATTTCCAGCAACTTATTCAGAGGCATACTGCCTTTGACAGTGGAAGTAGAACAGAACCACTGTGGCTGTTGATAGTCTTGTCCTCCATTAATTTGTCTAATCCTCCTGTAAAGCCATCCAAGCTGGTTTCCATGACAGCCTCCGACAGGAGGCAAGTTCCCTAGTTTAAATGTGTGCTGCACAAAGAAATACTTTCTTTTATCTGTTCTGAATTTTCATCAAATATCCATGAGTTCTAGTGTTATGCGAGAGGGAGAAAAACTTTTCTCTATCTGCTTTCTCTGTGCCTTGTCTGAGGATTTCTAGCTTGCTGCACTCAATGCCCTCTTTGATGTACAGAGCAACACAACCTCCAGTGCATCTTTCCCTGTTCTTCCTATAGAGTTTATACCCTCTCATATACCCACTATATGAATGCCATCTTCCAAGACCAAGCCCTCCAGTTCACCTATCTTGGTTCCGAGGCTTCTAGCACTGGTGTATAAAAACTTGCATGAAGTCTTTCTCTTCAAGTGTTTTTGGCATTTGCGTAAGTGAAAGACTTATTTCACCAAGCTTTTAGACATGAGGCGATATAATTTGTTTGAGGTCAGTTTTGTATTGCACTTATTATTTAATAGGAGTATTTTTTGTTTCCCTTTTTCCTGTGCTTACATTGTATTGCTTTAACTGGTTTCAGAAATATGTAGTGTGGCTTGCCCACAAATCAATAGACTTAAATCCTTTGATTTCACTATGTCTACTGAAAGTATGACTAATATTGGATATAATTTTATAGAATTTATTGGTATTTCATCATTGAGCACCACTGTCAATAGATTCACCTTTCCCTCCCAAGTGCATTTTTGTTGATTTTCCAGAATCAACATAGTTGGAAAGCAATTGTTATAATACTGGACCACTGATAGTGTTGAAATATAGCTTCCTTGTTTATACTTAGCAATATACACTGCTCAAAGTTATTGCTCCATTGGCTCATTTGCCCTCTGCTAGTAAATGGATCATAATGGGCAACTTACAAAGGTATTGTTAGTTCTACCATTCTGATTTCAAGATTACCGTACGTGTATAAATACTTGTAAGTTTAGAATTATATATACTGGGTTTTGACAGGAGAAATGCATTTTAAATAACAGCTGCTTAATTTGTGAACTGGCTTCTCTACAATGAATGGATTTGGTTGGATTTTTGTATATTTTGATCAGAGGGAAAACAAAATATGTATTTAACATTTCTTTCTAATATCTACATTATAAAAATCGAAGTACTATTGCCATCAAGATATGCACTAGCTGTTTAGACAAGAGAAACGGAACAGACAGACAGAAGGTAAGAGTCCATTTTCTTACGAATCAAATAGAAAAGCTACTTTGTATTATTGAACATCAGTCAAGCCACAGTCCAGCAATCTTTGACAGTTCACCAATAACAGCTTGCTCTTTACACCATTCAACGCCCAGGTCTGATAAGATTGTAAGGCAAGAGAAGAGGCCAACGACTTCCCATACAATAAACACAGGGAACTCAGCTGACTGCCATAAAGATTAAAGTCCCTGTTAAACCGTGGTTTCCTGTGAGAAAGAGAGGGGTGCTTGAGGCCAGCTATTCTGCTCCTGTTTCAGCAACAGAGCAAAACACTTCCACTTGCGTTAAATTCTGGACAAATAAATATCCGTGATTGGGAATTGTAAAGTTTTTGCCCTGCTCTACGATACGCCAAAAGCAGACCTCCTTGAGCAGCAGCCATCGGACTGAAGAATGAGATCGAACTCGTTATTTCAAAACGAGACTCTTCTTTCCCTTTCTTGCTCTTATTTATTGAATTTGTTAGTCGCTTCTGCCCAGTCTTTACCCAGGACTTACAACTCACAGCCTCAACCCTGGCCACCAGCCCACCCACCCCGCTTTTGGGGCAAATCCCTACTCCCCGCGGCCTTCCTTGACAGAGGAATGAGAAGCAATTTGGAAATAAAACATCGAAGCCTCCTCCCTCGTTCCTGGAGGCACCGGCTCGTCGCGGCTCCGAGGCCGAAATATTACCCCGGGGCTTCCGCGCAGCTCCTGCCGGGCCTAAAACCCCCTGCCTCCGCCGAGGGGTCCCGAACCCCTTTGTCACTGACAGATAGATGACAATTAAAAATATTATAATCCTGAGGGGAGGCGGAGGAGGAGGGAGAAGGGCCGGTACTGAGCCTCCCTTCCCGACAGGCGCCCACCCCACAAGCCGGCCAGACTCGTCCTGTCAGCGAAGGGAGAAGGAGGCGGCCGGTGGGTCCCGCGCCTCAGGGCTGCGCCGCTTCTCCCTTCCTTCCCCTCAGGCGACCCGCCCCCCGCTCGGCCCGCCTAGCGCTCACCTGCGCCCGCCGCAGCCCCGCCGCTTCACATCGGTCTCTTCCACCCCCCCGCGCCGGCCCCACCGTAATGACAACGCCGCCCGCGCGCTCCCGGGCTCGCTCCCGCGCGCGGCCGGCTGGTCGCCGTGACGGCAGCGGCTGCTCGCGGCGGCGGCAACAGCAGCAGCAGCTGCGGCAGGTTCCGCGTTTGTTCAAAATCACGCGCCCAGCGCCATTCCGCCGCCGCCGCATCCCATAATAGCTCGGGCAGCGGCGCCCTGGCAACCGGCGCCGCGTCACCGGCGCCAAACAGCCAACCAACCCGCGAGCCCGCCCTCTCCCTCTCTCTCTTTCTCGCGCCGCGCTGGTTTCTCCCGCCTTCCCTCCTCAAAGCGCGCTCCACTTCCGCTCAGGCTCCCTCCTCCTCCTCCTCCCCTTTCGGCGCTTCCGGGATCCGTGACGTCACGCCGCAAAGCCGTTGGCTCCGTACGGATACGCGGCTGCGTCGCCGTCTCTAGCGTAGAGGCGTCTCGCGCCGGAGGAGGCGGAGTCGGCGGCGCTGTGTTTCCCCTCACAGGTTGTGGGCGGGAAGGGGGAGGATCCAAAATGGCGGCGGCTGTGAGGCAGGAGCTGACCCAGCTCATGAGCTCGAGCGGCTCCCACAAGGACCTGGCCGGGAAGTGAGCGGCTCCTTTTCCCCCTCCCTTCTCATAATGACATTTCATAATGTTGTATTGTTTTACTGTTGTTAGCCACTCTGAGCCCGGCTTCGGCTGGGGAGGGCGGGATATAAATAAAATTTTATTTTATTATTTATTATTCTCCCTCCCCATCTCCCGTAGCAGCCAGCGCCGAGTCTGACCGGGGTTGCGGGGTGGAGAGAGGAGGAAGCGGAGCAGGCAGGAGCATCTCTTGGCTTAGGGAGGCCTGCCCTCCTCTCAGGTCATGTTCTGGGTCTGCATGGCGCTGGTTCGGTTCCCTCCGTGTTCTGTTGGGCCTTGTGGATCTAGGGCGATCTTTATGGAAAAGAAGAAGAAGTAGTGTGGGTTAAGAAAATTAATCGGTAGCTGTCAACATTAATTTGGTAACAGCAACAGCAGTGGTTCCTCGCACCAGTTCCTGGGATTTTAGCAGAAATATATTCGAACCCGTAGAAACGAGCCAGCGGTGCTTCCCCATCTAATTCGAATCTATTATCTATTTCCGGCATGGCCAAACCTGGCCCTCCAGCTGTTTTGGGACTACAATTCCCATCATCCCTGACCACTGGTCCAGTTAGCTAGGGATGATGGGAGTTGTAGTCCCAAAAAACAGCTGGAGGGCCAAGTTTGGCCATGCCTGATCTATTTATTCGGTGTGTTTCTATGCAGCTTTTCAGGTGGACCTTATAAGAGCAGTTTATGTAAGATTATTACAGCTCTATGGGGTGTTGGGAGACGGGCTCCTTCTGGGGTTGTTTGTCCATCTTTGGTCTCCAACCCTGCACTCAGTTCTCACCTGTGGCTCCTAGATTGGGGGGGGGGGTCTTGTCGTCTGAGTAGCCCAGGACCTCCAAACACACTGCCCAGGCTTACACCCTGTGAGGTCACTTTGGAGCTGCTAAAGCAGTGGTTTGTCTCTCAAGACGGATGCCAACAACACAGACTTCCAGGAACTGGCCTCTCTTGCAGCTGTAGTTGAAGCTTCCCTCCTCTGTCTTCAATTTAGTACCCTAAACCACAGGAGATTGCACTCACAGAGTTGGAAAGGCAGGATAATATGTGATTAATGATGTCGTAAATACAAGTATACCCAGCTTTTGCTTGATGCTGTTTGGCTGTTTTTTTGACTGCTCATTGTATCTCAGCATAATGATGTGCATTCACACTACCTTTTGGAGGACTAAAAGGTAGTCCCTTGCATAACATTGTACTCTTGTGTTTGATTAGAGTTAATGCAAGAAAAGGTGAAAAGAGGATGATAATCTTCTCTTTCTGCAAAAGGAATTGTCAAATTGTGTTCTCATTTCTATGACTAGCCATTTCATTGCAGTGGGAAAGCACCAGAACTGTTAGATCTCAGGATTTCCATTGAAATGCAAAGTATGGCATGTACATACTCTAAAATGGTTTTGAGAAGAATGGCATTCTAAAATACCATGCGTATTGTCCTTACATGCACAAGATGTAAAGCTAATTTTAAAAATACACCAATTTTTAGCAACATAGGAAGCTATAATAAGTCAGACTGCTAGTCCATCTAGCTTAGAAGTAGCTCTGTATTCAATGACATTTAAACCTTAACTCTTTTTTTTTTTTACTGCATTCTGGCAGGTATCGTCAGATATTGGAAAAAGCAATTCAGCTCTCAGGAGTGGAACAATTAGAGGCATTAAAAGCCTTTGTAGAAGCAAGTGAGTTTAATTATCAGTTTTCATGAATTGTTGAATGACAGCTTTGTAAGTATTTAATTGCAATCGGAAAAAATGAATGGCCTTAGAAATCTTTGTACATTGAAACAGGCATCAATATAGCACTGGGGATTTGGTAGGGGAAAGGTTGAGGTGTCGTTTTTAAGCATGAATACTTTGACATAAATTTCATCAAAATCAGTGGGATATTCTGAATAAACATTTCTAGGCTGTAGGAGGGTTGTTATCTCATAATCCTGTTATCCAAGGTTATGGTCTCTGCAAAATGTTAATAATTATTTTGGCATCCGATCATAAAACTGTGCTGTGGTGAAACAATGAATGGGTTGTGCCCGTGGAGGGGCAGCATCCCCCCCCCCACTTCTGTGCCATGCAACTCATATTCCACATTTCACAATGGTGACTCCGAGCCTTTTCATTATGATAGCACAGCAACTGAGTTGCAAACAGATGCTATGTCAGTGTAACAGTTTTATGCCCAGGCTCTTATGAGCTGGTACAGATGCCTAAAAGTTTGAGTTGGAAACAGGGGCCTTAACAATGGTTATAGACTGAATGCTCACTAAAATGACAGGCCTAACGACAACGTATAGCCTGACTTTCTTTCCACCTTGTGTCTCTTAAACCAGTGGTCAATGAAAACGTCAGTTTAGTGATTTCACGCCAGTTGTTGACAGACTTCTGTACCCATCTTCCAAGTCTTCCTGATGGCACAGCCAAAGAAATCTACCATTTCACCTTGGAAAAGATCCAACCTCGTGTAATTTCATTTGAGGAGCAGGTAAGAGCAAGATGGTGATCAAATTTCAATCCCAACCTTCCTCCCAAAGGAGCCCAGGGCAGGAAACATCAAAGTGATTTAAAAATACAATTAAAAATAAAATAAAAACATTTTCAAACATGTGAAACAGACACATGCCCTCCGCTAATAAGGTTGTCAAAAACAGTACGTTTCAAATGCCTGGGTAAACAACTATTTAAATTCCTCCAAAAGGAAACATAATTTAAAAGACAGAAACACCTCACCAGGAAGGACATCCCAAAGATGGGTAATTGTCTCCAAGAAGGCTCTGGCAAACCAGTCAGATAAAGAGAAGAGTATATTGAAATATTTTCAGTACAGTGGTACCTCGGTTTACAAACTTAATCCATTCTGGAAGTCCGTTCTTAAACCGAAACCATTCTTAAACCGAGGCACGCTTTCCCTAATGAGGCCTTCCGCCGCCAGTGCCCTTCCACCATTCGGATTCCATTCTTAGACTGAGGTAAAGTTTGCAAACTGGGACACTACTTCCGGTTTTGCAGAGTTCTTAAACCGAATCGTTCTTAAACAGGACTGTTCTAAAACTGAGGTACCACTGTACTGTACTCTAAAATATAATAGATATCACTGGCATATGATAAGCCTTGCCAAAAGGACAGCAAGGAAAAGATGCCCCAAGTCAATTTGTTCCAATAATGAATACAGACTATTCAGTTTTGTTCATCCTGGCATACTTTGCTAACTTTATTAAAACAGTCATTAATTGAAGGTAGCTTTGTTTGCCCTGTAGTTTCCTGCAGCTTGTAAAATTTGTACCAAATTCTTGTAAAATTTGTACCAAATTCTACACCACAAATTTCGCTTCTACCCTGGAATAACTCAAAACAAAAATCACTACGCTTCTTGGCAGTTTGTATCCTAATACATCCCTCATATGCATTTGATTGAGAAGTATATTTAAAGATATTGTAGATCACGTAAAATCAGATTATCATTGTCAAATGGGCAAAAGGAAACAGATAATATAAAGGATATTAGAAAGCGGATCAATTTGATAACTTGATTGCATTATAATTTTATGTCCTCATTCTTCCCAGGTTGCTTCTATAAGACAACATCTTGCATCAATTTATGAGAAAGAAGAAGACTGGCGGAATGCAGCACAAGTATTGGTGGGGATTCCTTTGGAAACAGGACAGAAGTAAATAGTTGTTAGAAAACCTGACATTTTTTCTTCATACATTGTATATCCTTTTGTAGTACAAATGCTTCATTGGGTATATTCTGGATCTGTTTCCTTGACTTTTCAATAGCTTTGGCTTCTCTGATTGTTCTGTGACAGTTGCACATACTACAGTGGTGCCTCGCAAGACGAAATTAATTCGTTCCGCGAGTTTTGTCGTCTTGCGATTTTTTTCGTCTTGCGAAGCACGGTGTCGGGAAAGTTTTGGAAAAGCTTCAAAAATCACCAAAGTCTTTAAAAACCTCAAAAAGGCTACCACACCACGTTCTATGAGTTGCTCCTCGAAGTCAAGTCGCAACTGTATTAACGGTGTTAAGAAAAGGAAACAAACTTGCAAGACGTTTCCGTCTTGCGAAGCAAGCCCATAGGGAAAATCGTCTTGCGAAGCAGCTCAAAAAACAAAAAACCCTTTCGTCTAGCGAGTTTTTTGTCTTGCGAGGCATTCGTCTTGCGAGGTACCACTGTATTTTGATAGATCAGTGATCCACCTGGAAACTTTTTCTGTGGGGAACTCATAACCCTTTGGTGCTGCTCATGTTGCAGTTATAATCTTTAGAGCACAGTCCTATTTTTGGTTTCAGCAACCTCTACTTTTTTTTTTTTCCCCCCACTTATTTTTATTTTTGATTTCGATCCAAGTGTCTTCTGTGGAGCAGTGCATAGAGTTGAGCTGTTTTTTTTCCTTACAAGAGACTGCCATGGACCTTGTTGCTAGCTTCCATCAAATAGTGTATTGCATTATGATGAGTAGTCAACGTGCCCTACAAGTTTTAGGACTACAAGTCCCATAATCCCTGAGGGTTGATGGGAATTGTCGTCCACAGCATATAGAAGGGCCCCACATTGAATGCATTTGCATTAAGACAGTGGGTGGTATTAAAGCAGACCTACTGACATTAATGGGCCTAAATTAGTTGTGCCCATTTTAATAGTCTACTGTGAGTAAAGCCTTATGACTATTACCATTCAAAATTAACCAATAAATTACATTTCCATACCCTCTTGCGGGGGGGTTGCCATTGAGTATCCTGCTTCTCCATTTCTCTGGGGAGACACAGCCTATCCTTCCTTTCAGCCAGAGTTGGCTGGTGGCAAACATTATACAGCGTGTAGTATTACTGTAAGTATGTTTGCAAAACTCTTATGATGCAAATGAACCGAGGTTTCAATAGTGTATTTTTTTCCCTTTCTATTCAAGGCAATACAATGTAGATTATAAATTGGAGACTTACCTAAAAATTGCCCGACTATACCTGGAGGACGACGATCCCGTTCAGGCTGAGGCTTACATCAACAGAGCATCTCTTCTTCAGAATGAATCAACCAATGAACAGTTACAAATTCACTATAAGGTGAAATACTAACATTCTTGTTTTGAGTGAAATGAAATAACATATTGCTTAAAAGTTTTATCATTATATTTTTGCATATACATCTGTTCCTCACTTGCTGACCTCAAGGTTGCTACCCTTGTAGTTGCAAATCAGGATAAATAAAAAGTGAGGCCATCTGTTAACTAAATGTCATCTTCAAACTCTGCAATTTTCACCATTTTATTATGTGAAATCTGATTATAGTCTCCATATGCTTTTTTAAGTTATCAGCTTAAATGATGAGGAAGGCATTTACAGCTTTGAGATTTCATACTATGCCCACAACATATTTGGATGGGAGATAGCCATAGTATCTGTAAATCACTGGGGCTAGGGAGAGATGGAAAGCATTGTTCATTACATACTATATTGCTCCCTGTATAATTCTCCTAGGGATACATTTCTCAAAGGACTTCTTCAGAGAATTCCCTTCCTGAATAGTAGGGAGGACATTCATTATTTGTTGGTGGATGGGGATAAACAGACTACCTGAACGGCGCCCATGTTTGCCTTAGCAGCCCATTGGATTAAAGAGAATTTCATTATGTAACATGGGATCCCGTCTGGTGGTGACCACTTACACTAAAATGTACTCCAGTACAGTTCATATTAAGGATGCGGATGGTGCTGTGTGTTAAACCACAGAGCCTTGGGCTTGCCAATCAGAAGGTCGGCGGTTCGAATTCCCGTGACGGGGTGAGCTCCTGTTGCTCGATCCCTGCTCCTGCCAACCTAGCAGTTCGAAAGCACAAAGTGCAAGTAGATAAATAGGTACCGCTCCGGCAGGAAGGTAAACGGCGTTTCCGTGCGCTGCTCTGGTTCGCCAGAAGCGGCTTAGTCATGCTGGCCACATGACCCGGAAGCTGTACTCCGGCTCCCTCGGCCAATAAAGCGAGATGAGCGCCACAACCCCAGAGTTGGTCACGACTGGACCTAATGGTCAGGGGTCCCTTTACCTTTACAGTTCATATTACTGCATTTTTGTGATGACCAGTGGTGTTTAATGCCTGACTGGAAGGCCAAACAGTTGAAAGCACACAATAACCTAGTTCTTGTGTGACTTTTCTATGATTTGAACATGTAACTCCTAGATTGCAAGTCATTCCATGCTCTGTACCCCTCCAGGCTCTACCTAGTTTTTCCAAGGGCCCCTTTGGTGGAGCAGTGAGCTTGATGCACCCAACTCCCCAAAGTGTCCTGCTTCAAAGTCCCAACACCACAACCTCTACTCTTTTCACATCCCTCTTGAACTGACAGGTTATTTGGAGTAGGGGCTGTGGTCCTGCTACTTCCCGAGATACAGATTTGGCCTACCAGTTGCTATCCTCTCATCCTCTCATTCCCCCTCCTTTGGTAATTCTTCACAGAACTCTAGCCCAATGGTTGCCATCAATTTGATTTGAACTCATTTTATAATGAATTGATTTTAGAATGCTGTATTATTTTACAGTTGTTAGCCGCTCTGAGCCCAGCTTTGGCTGGGGAGGGCGGGATATAAATAAATTATTATTATTAGTTATTATTATTATTATTATTCTGACCTGTAGTATGAAAATTGATGGTCAGTTGCATGAAAAGTGGGAACCCTCAAATATTATTACTGGATTTAATAGGTAACATAGTGAGCAACTGTATGGTTTTTTTTCCTGTTTCAGGTGTGCTATGCTCGCGTTCTTGACTACCGAAGGAAGTTCATTGAAGCTGCCCAGAGGTATAATGAGCTTTCTTACAAGAGCATAGTCCACGAAAGTGAGAGACTTGAGGCACTGAAACATGCCTTGCATTGCACAATCTTGGCATCAGCAGGTAAAGCAACACTTGATGGCTGACTTCTATATATGCAATTTTCATTTTAGTCTTTGGGATTATATATATGATCCTGTTCTGCAAGGGGTGGGGGAGCTCTACTCTAAAGCAGTATGCATGTTATGCTTCCATAAAACAAAACTTCTGCATAAGCTGCCACAGGTTGTCTGCCCTGCGTCACTGGAATGTTTCATGTACGGTTTCATGTTAATGATTATGATTACTGAAACCAAATCATCTTGGTGGTGTAGCATTCTAGAAGCAGAAATTGCAGTTTGTTTCCATAGAATGGATCTAGCTGCTAAAGCAATCTGCACCTAGCAGGTATAATTTGAAAAGTCATCAAGTATTAACAGTTGAGTGCTGTGGGCAGGCAGGAAGAAATTGGCCATTTGCTACTGGCTCGCAAAAAGGCAGCTGAGAAAATGCTTTGAAATAGAAGTGAACAGTATTGAATTGAGATGTCCCAGTTCACGGTATTCTTACTATTTTTCAGGACAGCAGCGTTCCCGTATGCTAGCTACTCTCTTCAAGGATGAAAGATGCCAGCAGCTTGCGGCCTATGGGATACTGGAGAAAATGTATCTAGACAGAATTATCAGAGGGAACCAATTGCAAGAATTTGCTGCAATGCTCATGCCACACCAAAAAGCAACAACAGCTGATGGTACTTGGGTCTCTTAAAGTGCGGGTGTACCCTGTTCTGATGGGCACTCAGACATTGTTCCTTTCTGTATATACCCTTTCAAAATGAGCATTGTTGCACTTTGGGTCAGCTTTAGTAATCATTTACATTGGGTCTTTATATCCTTTTATACTCCAGTGTTTGGCACAAATAACCTAGTTCCATGAAATTTCCAATCCATTGTTTCCTAAAATATGGTATGTGTATCCCTGGTCATACATGAAAGTTTTCAAAGTGTACACAGTAGAATTTTTAAATTTTACTTCATGTTTTCTGCAGTTAAAAAAAGCTAATTCAAAGATAAAGTAGTATTATTTTCAACCAAGAAGGAGTACTCCAGTAAGATAGAACACTTAAAAGGGGCATGCAATTATTGTCAGTTTGGGAAACGCTGCTCTAATCTCCTTAGCCATCATGTAGTACTTTGGGCTTCCATCAACATTTAGACTGAAATTTCCTTTCTGTAAGCTTGACAAAGATGCAAAAAAATATTACTCTTAGTTAAGCAGGTTTATATCCTGTTCAGCACAATGATTTAAAGCCAATAAATCATATTATGAAAGTTATGATAATATCATAATAATGTAAGTCAATTTCTTTTCTACCTTTATTACGGAGCAGTATTGATGGAACAGAAATTGAGGACTGCATATGCTACATACAGGTTTTTTAAATTATATTTGACTTGTAGCCAAATACATGCAGAATTTCAAACTCCTAATACATTGTCAGTTTCTATTTCAGGTTCTAGTATTTTGGACAGAGCTGTCATTGAGCATAATTTATTATCTGCAAGCAAACTGTATAATAATATTACCTTTGAAGAACTTGGAGCATTATTAGAAATTCCTGCAGCCAAGGTATATAGACTTGTGTACTGTTTGCTTTTGTTTTGTTCAAACTAAGCTAGTTTTAATAACGTCTAGTTTGATGAAGAACTAGTTCGCTCTTCTGCTTAAAGCAGATGCGTTCAAAAAGAAAGGAACAAAAAATGATTGATGCTGGTATAAGATGATGATTTATTAAATTTCTATACTGTCTGTAAGGGATGCAGGTGGCGCTGTGGGTTAAACCACAGTATAATCAACAGTTGCAAAGGTCTCCTGCACAATAAATTGACATATATAACTTTTTTCTACCACCGACACACCTATGTACATATACATGTGGCAAAAACCATATCAAGAGTGGGCTTCTGTTTATTAAAAGTAGATGTCCTTTTGGGTTTTGTTTTTCAGGCGGAAAAGATAGCATCCCAGATGATAACAGAGGGTCGCATGAATGGATTTATTGATCAGATAGATGGAATTGTTCACTTTGAAAGTAAGTTAAGCTCTAGCTTGTTGTTCTTGCTTTAGGTGCGGTTGAAGCACATGTAATGCAAAAGCAAAATATTTTAGCCTGGTGTACAATCAACATGGGGCCTAGGGCATGCCGATCAGAAGGTCAGTGGTTCGAATCCCTGCAACAGGGTGAGCTCCCGTTGCTCGGTCCAAGCTCCTGCCAACCTAGCAGTTTGAAAGCACGTTAAAGTGCAAGTAGATAAATAGGTACTGCTTCGGCGGGAAGGTAAACGGCATTTCCGTGCGCTGCTCTGGTTCGCCAGAAGTGGCTTAGTCATGCTGGTCACATGACCCGGAAGCTGTACGCCGGCTCCCTCGGCCAATAAAGCAAGATGAGCGCCCAACCCCAGAGTCGTCTGCGACTGGACCTAATGGTCAGGGGTCCCTTTTACAATCAACATATGACAAAGTGGTAATTCTCGCTGTAGCCACCAGATGGTAGTAGTGTCCGTGCAATAGTTTGAATTCCTGTATTCCAAAATACCTGTATCTGCAGACCTGGTAACAGAAAATTTGCTTATGCATCAAACGAATAATGGCAGGAAATTTAATAGAAACAAGCAATGAATGCAAGAATGAATTCGTCTATTGTCTTTTAGCTCGTGAAGCCTTGCCGACGTGGGACAAACAGATTCAGTCTCTCTGCTTCCAAGTTAACAACCTTTTGGAGAAGATTAGTCAGACTGCCCCAGAATGGACAGCACAGGCAATGGAAGCTCAGATGGCTCAGTAGACTTTCATTTCCCCCGTTCTGTAGATATTGTTTGTTTATTTTCATCTAAAAATGTGAAGCTAGCATAAGAACTTATGGCTTTGGCTCAACTTCTGCTAGAACCCTAACTAGACAAAGGTGTAGATGTGTGTACATTATGTTTAAAACCCCAAAGGTTTATCTTAAAGGTATGGTAGTACAACATAGACATTAAGCTGTTTAAAAAATAACTGAATGGAATACAAGATGTTTTTTAAGTTTTGCATTAAAATTTCAGTTGTTTCGTGGCCTTGTGAATATTTGTGTGTGTGCGTTGAAAACTGAAGTGCCATATTCTATTTAGCTGTAGTTATTCCAATAAAGGCAGGCTAGAAGTTAATCAGATTCACTATCTTCAGTTGTCATTTGCTGCATCCTATCCTCCTATCCTATCCTATCCTATCCTATCCCGGGTTGCGCTGTGGGTAAAACCTCAGTGCCTAGGACTTGCCGATCGCATAGTCGGCGGTTCGAATCCCCGCGGCGGGGTGAGCTCCCGTCTTTCGGTCCCAGCTCCTGCCCACCTAGCAGTTCGAAAGCACCCTTAAGTGCAAGTAGATAAATAGGTACCGCTTTATAGCGGGAAGGTAAACGGCGTTTCCGTGTGCTGTGCTGGTGCTGGCTCGCCAGAGCAGCTTCGTCACGCTGGCCACGTGACCCAGAAGTGTCTCCGGACAGCGCTGGCTCCTGGCCTCTTAAGTGAGATGAGCGCACAACCCTAGAGTCGGACACGACTGGCCCATACGGGCAGGGGTACCTTTACCTTTTATCCTCCCCACAGAACTTCCATCAGGATAATTGATTTCTTGTGTTGAATTTACACTCGGAGGAGCTGTTTGTTAAACCTTTGAAGGCTTTCATCCTTTGTTTATTATATGTATATATAGCCTCTCCGTATACAGAGCAAAGAGAAAACTAGTACAAGGAAGTTGCCATCCACTCTAGCCAAATATGTGTGGATGGGAGTGGATCTGGCCCCTAAACCTGTATGAGCAATGTCTAGTGAAACTAAGAGATAAGGGGAGAGGAATAGTTATAGTGGGAAAACGTTTATTGACATCAGTTATGCAAAAACCATGTAAATCAATATAGTTCATGTGAATCTTAGAACTTGGCTATCCTGGGTCAAACCACAGAGCCTAGGACTTGCCGATCAGAAGGTCGGTGGTTCGAATCCCCGCGATGGGGTGAGCTCCCATCACTCGGTCCCTGCTCCTGCCAACCTAGCAGTTCGAAAGCACAAAGTGCAAGTAGATAAATAGGTACCGCTCCGGCGGGAAGGTAAACAGCGTTTCCGTGTGCTGCTCTAGTTCGCCAGAAGTGGCTTAGTCATGCTGGCCACATGACCCGGAAGCTGTATGCCGGCTCCCTCGGCCAATAAAGCGAGATGAGCTCCGCAACCCCAGAGTCGGCCTGGACCCAATGGTCAGGGGTCCCTTTACCTTTATCCCAATGCATAATTTTGAGTTTTCATACAATTTGGGTATTCAGGTATGATCAGGGTATTCAGCTTCATATGAGAACCCTATACTACCCCTTCTCAGGTGTCCTCTTAGTTTACTATAAAGAAAAGAATTAATTCTTTCTCTTCTCTCCCCATCTCAAATTTATAATGGTAGTTTTATGTTCTTGGGGTGTAACCAGAGACAGGAAGTGCAGATGAGAATCTCACAGACACACAGCATTCAAAGCTAGTTTATTCTGATCTTATGTTTATATTCTTCCAAAAGGCCATTTTAAGGTTCACCATGTAGTTACTGGATGATATGAAATTGTGGTGTCCCACTTGTTCAGAAAACTTCCACATATACAAATGGGCTTCGGCTTCTTTGTCCCAGTCCCCTCCACGCACCCCAAAAAGAGAGAGTTGGAAAAGGATTTATAGCAGATTTCCTGTTTATTCAGATGGTCACATTCTAGAGAGATGGAACAAGTCAAATAATATCCCAATCTTCTTGGAGGTATTGCAGACTTTCAAGATCCACAGAACTCTTCATAGAGCTAAATTAGTATTTAGAGCATGAAGAGTTAGAAAAGGTGGCTGTGTGTGAACTTCATGTTTTACTCTGCAAGACGTGTGTTAGGGTGAAGATCAAGAAAAACATCTTTTACACATGCGCTGTTGGTACTTAATTGACATAACTGAATCAAGAAATCAGAAGGTGAGACAAGCACAAAAGGGAACACCTACTACTATGATTTGGAAAGACTGCTGTTGCTCCTTATACACTAATTCAAATACATGCAGGTGTGGAATAATTGGAAGGGCAAGAAACTGGATTAACAGCTAAAAAGCACTTAGATTTGTATAAGCCCACAGGTTACCTGTGTGATTTTAGAAGCTTTTTGAAAAATTCACATTACCGCTTAACATGAGCAACAACTAAATTGAACTATAAATGCCATCAAAATTCTCAACTTCCCTAAAAGATTCCTTGTTCACGCCTTCTATTGATGTCTCTCTTGAGTTGGCAAAGGGCACATTGAGGGTAACACCAGAGAGTGCAGTAGTCATCGCAGATGGATCCCTGTTAAAAAGAAATGAGGCAAATAGTAGATAATATTTGGAAAAAGAAATATTAAATACAGATGAGTCAACAGGCAGCTTGGGACAAACTTCACGTGGGGCATATATTTAAATGCCTGTAACTGAACCCCAAAGCCTTTTGTAGCAAGTAGCAAGAAAGGGCAGTAAACGTAGATGGAATCTACTGGGTGATCTTTGCAGTAGATTGCCCAGGGAATCTGGCTCCCAACTGTTTAACAGTGCTAAACACAAAGACTCCTTAAAGGGACCCCTGACCATTAGGTCCAGTTGTGGCCGACTCTGGGGTTGCGGCGCTCATCTCGCTTTATTGGCCGAGGGAGCCGGTGTACAGCTTCCGGGTCATGTGGCCAGCATGACTAAGCCAGTGAACCAGAGCAGCACACGGAAACACCATTTACCTTCCCACCGGAGCGGTACCTATTTATCTACTTGCACTTTGATGTGCTTTCGAACTGCTAGATTGGCAGAAGCAGGGACCGAGCAACGGGCGCTCACCCCATTGCGGGGATTCGAACCGCCGACCTTCTGATCAGCAAGTCCTAGGCTCTGTGGTTTAACCCACAGCACCACCCGCGTCCCAAAGACTCCTTACCCCCCTCTAAATTAGCTGAAATTAAGAAAACCTGAAGGGAAAACGAGGTGTGACTGCATGTGGAAAGGACACTGGTCACATCCACACCCTTAAACAGTAATTACTTCCCCAAAGAATCTAGAAAGTATAGTTCAAGGGTGCTGGGAATTGTAGCTCTATGACAAGATCTCCTTACAACTCTCAGCACCCCTAAGAATCTACAGCCCTATTTTGAGACAGAAAAATATAGACATTTTTTTAAAAGAATGAAAGGAAACTACAGTCCTTGGGATTCTTTGGGGAAAGCTAAAGTGGTGCAGTTAAGCCTGTGGCTTGTGTGCATTTAATAATAATAACAATAATTTTTTATTTATACCCCGCCCTCCCCAGCCAAGACCGGGCTCAGGGTGGGCTATAAATGAGCTTCACATGTGTGGCAATTAAAAACAAAAAACATTAAAAGTGGGCAAGGTTCCGGGAAAAACGACCCGCAATCCCACTCGCCATTGAACCCAATGTGTTTGACTACACATGGTTTTGGCTTTAGGAGCAATCTCTGGGACGTAACACCCGCATAAGTTGCAGGCTTACTGTAAAGAGCATTTAAATGTGTGGCATGGGTGTGACCTGTGTGCTCAAGTCTGGTACTAAAAATAAATGTGTAGGTGTGCTCAGAGGCACCTTATTCCTTAATTGTATAATAATAATAATTTATTTAGACCCTGCTCCTGCGGCTGGGTTGCCCCTGCCACTCTGGGCAGCTTCCATCAGGTATAAAAATAATTTTAAAAATCAAACATCAATAGTAACAATCTGATCCAATATAAAAAGTCACAATGACTTTAAAATATTCAACAATCCATTAGAATCCAATAGTAAACAGTAAAATTAAACATCAGCAAATAATTAACAGTTCACACTTATCAATTACTATAAAGAATTAGTAATGAGAGTATCTACACGCACATACACAAGCTGCTATTTTGCACCTGAGGTTCTAGTAAAAATAAAACAACTCGCTGTAGATCCTTAAAACCTGGATCTGCCCTCGCCAGGCTAGCTACACTTACCGGGATCCCATACTTGGTTCGGTAGACGGACCTCATTGCCACGCTTGTGCCGCAGAGGCAACATTCATTCATATCTGCGGCAACTTGGCATCCCAAACACACATAGCAAAATGTTCCACAGAGACCTAGACAGAAGAGACCATGAAGAGGGCATCACTTGGCAGAGCAGGCTGCCGGTACAAGAAAACGACAAGCCGCGGGACTGTGAACAGGCCCAAGCCACAAAAACTTTGCCAACCCCTGCCCTAGAGAATGAGATAACCCAACCAGAAGCATTTTTACTGGGCATTGTTGGGAGTGATATAAATAGAAAGGAATAGAAGCTTTTTTATATGCAGTAACAGCAGCAAGAATATTATTGGCCCAAAAATGGAAGCAAGAAGAATTACCGACGATTGAAGAATGGAGGATGAAGTTAATGGACTATGCAGAATTAGATAAACTAACAGGAAGGATTCGAAATCCTAAATTCACAGAAGACTGGAGTAAATTTACGGACTATTTGAAAAGTATTTGTGAAGATCAAACGATGTTTGTAGGTTTGCAAGATTTTGTGAGGAGTATTATTGGAAGTATTGCAAAAATGGAGAAGGGGAAGGATGATTTGTTAAGAGATGTAAAGGCAATATAAAGTTAAGAAATGCATAAGAAGTGGTTAAAACGGTGGATCATCAGAGGTGCTGATGGAAGTCTAAAAAGATTGTATAAGTGATAAGTTTTGTGGTACATTTTATAATTTATAAGTTAAAATCAATAAAAATTATTTAAAAAAAAGAGAATGAGCTAGCCCAGTTGTTTTACTTGATACAAGCCTGCTTCCTCTGTTTGGAATAATGAGCAATAGTTGGTTGACATGTCTTGCTTGACGCCTGCCAAGGCAGACTGCATGTACCAGCTGCATCCCTGGCATGCAACCAGTCTGCAGAATTTCATTCATGCAAAGAGCAAGGGGATTTCCAACTCAGTGGAACTCAGTTCCGGCACCTCAGGCGCGGGCCGTTGCCATTAGAAGAGAGCAAGGCACCAAGCAAAAACATTCTTCTTCAATATTTAATATTCTACAGTTTTTACATGTGTTTGTGGTGGCTACTGCTTTGTTACGTCTGTTTTAACCAGTGCTTTTTCTTTTTTAAAAAAAGTTTAGGGGTACTCTCATTTTGACTCAAGAAAACCACCGTTTTATAGTTCAAATTGGGAAAAAGAAATACAGTAAATGGACAAAAGTGCAAAGATTCACAAAATGTTTAGGGCAGGCATGTGCAAAGTCCCTTTTGGGGGCCTAACCCAGGCGATTTAATCCGGCCCCCGTGGTAGTACATGTAAAACCCTAAAAAAAAGCTCAGCAAATTCAATCCTACTTCAACTTTGGTCAGCCCTCACGCATGTTGACTTCATCAAATCTGGCCCTCTTTGAAAAAAGTGTGGGGGTATGCGTACCCCTGTGTCCCCCCAGAAAAAAAGCACTGCTTTTAACTATCATTTGTGCTTTTATCTTGTATTTTTATCTTGTGAGCAGCCCTGAGATCTTTCAATGAAGGGTGGTATATAAATCTAATTAATAAATGAATATATTGTTGATTTAAGCAGAGTCTTGTGCCCAGCGGAAGGATGAGGAATACGTGCTACATACTCTATATTGCTTTATTTACAGTTCAAAGCTGGTATATTACAGAAAGACATCTTGCCTCTGCAGGAGCAGAAAATGCATCCTCTCTCCTCGTCAGCTCGGAGAGAATCACACAGTGAAAAACAGGAAACCAGTGTACGTCACATCCAGTCTCCCTTTCCCGTGAGAAACTCCAACAGTACAGACTGTGGAATGTAAACACCTGTCTCGTGACAAGCAGAGCTGCACAGTGAAGGAAAGCAGAAACCAACATCCTCCCCCTTTCTGTGAACATCACTGGGCAGCGTGTTTGCACAATATCAGTACAAACCCAACTTCTGCACATAGGTACAGTGTTGATCCCTTGATACAATCTTGGACAATACATCAGCAGGAATTTCATTACCTGGCATATAGGACACCGTTACGAGTCCCTTCTGAATACATTCCCTAGCATGCTGCAACTTTAATTGCAAGTGCTTTGTGCTTTGCTTACAACCTTCAGACTTCAGCAAAGCCAAACATGCTTTGTTGTCCTGGTAAACCTGGATTGGACATTTGACAGGAATTTTCATATCTTTGCACAATTGTACTAACCATTCACAATCCTTAAGTGAATAAGACAGTGCATTCAGTTCGGCTTCACAAGTACTTAAGCTAACTGTTGTTTGCTTCTTGCATGACCAATCAAACAGACTCTGATTGTACATATAGCAAACTCCAGACGTACTTTTCCTGTCTGTAGCGTCACTTCCAAAACTTGCATCTGCAAATATCTCAAGACCACCAGACTTCTGATTGTTAAATCTCAGTCTGTAATGCATAGTGCCTTTCAAATACCGCGCTATGCGTTTCAGAGCTTTCCAATCCTTGACACTAGGATTGTTGACTTGTCTGCTTAGCAAATTACAGCTAACAGCAATGTCTGGTCTTGAACATCTGGCAATGAAGTTTAGCTTGCCTAGCACACTCCTGTACAGTGTAGTGTTAGAAAATGCTTCTTCAGTGTCATCTACCTGATAACCTGTTGTCATCGGTGTGTCTACAGGGTTAGCATCCATCAGATTTAGTTTGCTTAACACATCAGCAATTTTCCGTGACTGGTGTACTAGAATGTTACCATCTTGACCTTTCTCTATTTCCAGAGATAGGTAGTTGTTTACCTCACCAAGATCTTTCATGTCAAAGTGCTCTTTCAGTTGAGCTAGGGCGCTATTGTACATTGCAACATCTTTCCAAAAGAATAATAAATCATCAACATAAAAACAAACAGTATAGTTTCTTTTGCCCCTCCTCTTGACAAATACACATGGATCAGCTTTCCTTGCTGAAAACCTAGAGAAAACAATACTTCAGTGAGTTTTGTGTGCCAACACCGTGCACTTTGTTTGAGACCATAAAGGGATTTCTTCAGAGCACAAACAAATCCCTGTTTTACCTGTACGCCATCAGGTGGAAGCATATAAAGTGATTCATCTAGAGATCCGTACAGAAAAGCTGTATTAATATCATGGTGACTAATGTGTAGATTTTCCTCTGCAGCTAGCTTGAGCATAAGCCTAATGCTTTCATATCTCACTGTGGGTGAATAGGTCTCGTGATAGTCTTCACCTGGTACCTGTGCAAAACCTCTGGCTACCAATCTGGCTTTGTGTCTGACTATCTTGCCATTTTGATCTGTCTTCGCTTTGAAGACCCATTTGCTTCCAAGCAGTTTCATTCCTGGAACTACTGGAACTAGCTCCCATGTTTTGTTCCTTTCTAAGGAATCAAGCTCAGCCTTCATGGCATTTAACCATGGCTCAGCTTCCTTTGAATCCAAACCCTGGATTTCTTGGAAACTTGAAGGTTCAAATACCTTCTTGGAGCTTTTAACAGCTGTTACTGCTATCTTAGCAAACTCATCAGCAAATCTCTTTGGAGGTTTGCCTTTGTGGCTCTCTGTGACCTACGAATTAGCCTTAAGTCTTCAACACTCTCCTCTTCCTTCTTAGGAGAAAAACGACCTATTGTGAACAATGGTTCCTCCAATTCTTGATCAGAGCTTTCAGAGGGTCGCATAGAGGCTTTCGCACTCTCGAAATCCTCTGAATCACCCGATTCAGTTTCAGATTCAGACTCAGAACCTTCATCAGTGGGTGTGGGCTGATGTGGTTGCTTTTGACTATCCTCAGTCTCATCACCGTCATCAGGATAACATTGGAAAATTCCCACATTCTCCCCCCACTTTGCATTGTACTCAACACTTCTCGTGAGCTTAATTGTCTTAGAGTCAGTCATCATTATTCTGTAAGACCCTTTCTGATAACCTAGAAAGATACCATGCAATCCACGCTTGTCTAACTTGGAGTTTTGTGGTGAGCGAACCCACATGTCGGAACCAAAATCTTCATGTGTTTGATGTATGGCTTCTTGCCAAACATCTTCTCATAGGGGTACAACCAATCGCTGAAGATAACCTGCGATTGTAACTGTAAACAAAACACGAGAGAGATTCGGCCCAATAACTCTCTGGAAGATTGGCATCATGCAGCAAGGTTTTTAACCCTTGAAGCAATGTCTGATTTGCCTGTTCCGCAAGTCCATTCTGCCATGGCGAGCGAGGACTAGACAAATCGTGTTGAATTCCTTTCTCAGTCAGAAAAGCTTCAAACTGCTGAGAAGTGAATTCCCCCCCGCGATCACTGAAAAGAGTCTTTATCTTCTTACCATGCACATTTTCCAACCAAGCACAGAATTCCTTGAACCTAGGAAAAGCCTCCGATTTCTGCATGAGATTGTACACAAAAATATATCTAGAAAATGCATCAATGAGAACCATGAAGTATCTATTTCCACCCAAAGAGGGCGCTAGTGGTCCAACCAAATCAGCATGAACAACCTGGTATGGTTCTGTAGCTTTCCTACTAGACACCTTACCTTTCGCAGCCATTTTCACCTTGTTTGCTGCGCATGCTTTGCACTTCATGTGGTACCTGCAGGGTTTAATAGTCATACCTTCAACCAAGGCAGGCATTTTAGATACTGCCTCAAAATGCAAATGACCAAATTTTCGATGAAAATCGTGAATACATTCTGCATGCAAACTTTTGTTAGAACCTGCAATGCAACAAGTGTCATCCTGCACCACATCATCATAATACAAAACAAACAAATGATCAACATATTCTGCATGCAATACATAATCATTTTTCTTTGTGATGATGCACTTCTTGTTCTTGAAGGAAACGTCAATGTTCCGCTCATTCAGCTGTCCAACGCTGAGCAGATTATGTTTGGCGTCTGGCACGTAAAGCACATTCTGTATCGATAAGTCCAAACTGTGAAGAACAATAGTTCCGTAGCCTTTACTGGGAATAGTGTGGTCATCCGCCTGGTGAATCGCACCTTCCTGCGGTGTAAAAGACACAAACAGTTTCTTATCGTTGCACATGTGGTGGGTCGCCGCTGAATCAACAACGAAGAAAGATCTAGACGTCTTCTGGACCTCTGCAACCTTTGGAGTGAAGCGTGAAACCATAGCCTTGTGCTGCGTTGTCCTAGACACCGGACCTTTGCCTTTGCCTCGGCCTTTTCCGCGCGATGAGCTTTCGCTGCGCTGCTCTGTCTTGGCCCTGGGATGTCTGCATTCCCTCTTCATATGGCCTAGACGTCCACACGAGTAGCATTTTACTGCCTTCAAAGCTTTGGCGCCATCTGGTGGTTCCACTGCACTATGGGATGACGTCTGTGAAGACTCCCCTTGCCCATGCAGCTAGCACCCCGGCGATCTGCTTCATTTAAAATCACGGCAGTAACAAAGTCCACTGTCAGCTGAGCAGTTGGTTGCACAGCAACCTGGGTTGCAACAGACTCCCAACCTGAACCCAAAGATTGTAGTATCATGAAAGAATACACAGCCTCTGGAAAGTTGAGTCCTCTCTGTTGCAGCTCATGTCTCAGATTTTGTATCTCCATCAGATGTAAACGTACATCTCCACCTTCAGCAAGAGCCATATTATGCAGCTTGTTAAAGTAAAACATAGTGGATCCAGCTTCTGTCCTTAAGTGAGCCTCTCTCAGAGCGTCCCAAATTTCTCTGGCTGAGGTCTTATCACGCAATAGACAGAGCTCTTCTGGGGATACTATCAATGTAAGAGTTCCCCTTGCTTTGGAATCCTTAGCTTTCCATGCATCTGTAACTGGAACTGGGGGGGTTTCTGTAATCACCTCAAACAAACCCTCTTTCCGCAGAATTCCCTCTGCATACTGAACCCAGTCGGCATAATTTTTCTTGTTGAGCTTAGGGATCCCACAAGCATCCTGAAGGGCCATCATGACTCTGGCATTAGCCTTCAGCATCATATGCTGCTTTAAATCTTGCTGCGTCACTGCTGCAGCTGCTTTATTACAAAAGCGCACTTAAAAGTTACTTTCGATTTCCCCAGCATAGTGACTTGTGCCTGGGAGCCTTTTGCCTATTCCCGGCAAAACCGGCTTTAAAAGTTCAAAGTCCAGCCATAAAGCCATTAACTTGAAGCTGGCAGGCTGCCCGGAGCAGTAGCACATACCTCATCAATCACTTCTACGCGCAGAGCAGATTCCTTTCCGATCTGTCCCTCTGCATTCCGATCCTTTGCCGGCACTCCGATTCGACTTCTGGAGTCCATAACCACGTGTTGATTTAAGCAGAGTCTTGTGCCCAGCGGAAGGATGAGGAATACGTGCTACATACTCTATATTGCTTTATTTACAGTTCAAAGCTGGTATATTACAGAAAGACATCTTGCCTCTGCAGGAGCAGAAAATGCATCCTCTCTCCTCGTCAGCTCGGAGAGAATCACACAGTGAAAAACAGGAAACCAGTGTACGTCACATCCAGTCTCCCTTTCCCGTGAGAAACTCCAACAGTACAGACTGTGGAATGTAAAGGAAAGCAGAAACCAACATATATATATATTTTTAAAAAGGACCCGATGGAGAACTCAGCCAGTGGAGAGAGAATTGTGCTTCCATAACAACCATGATGAGCAAGCTCATACTTGTTTAAGGTTTGCATCCAGCGTGCATATTGAGGCTGCCTTTCCGGACTCAACCCACTGAGTAAACCACCTTAATCTCCATGACAAAGGAGAGCTATCTGTACCATAGCTACTCACATACTCCGCAGTCACTAAAACAGTCACACAAGCCTGTCTGCCAGTAGCTGTGTTGTGATGGCTGGATAACCACAACTTGTGGCTGCTGCGTGATCACTAGCTGAGGGTTCATTTTCCAGGCTGCTGATTCTAAAGAAAAGAAAGAGAGAGTGATGTTAAAATAAACAGATCTCCATTCTGAAAATACAATAATACAAATGCAAGGAACATGTCTATGCTGTGAACTGCCCTGAACTCTTCGGATGAAGGATGCTATACAAATTTAATAAATAAAATTGTCACTGAAATTCTACTCAATATTGATCCAGAGTAGATTCCAATGTACTGTATAGTTAGCAGAGTAAAAACTTAACACGTTGCAGGATTCCCCCCAAAATAGACCAGAGACAATCAATATTTCATCCAGCAGAGCTTGATTGAAGGCTGTTATGGAAATTACCCGGGGGGGGCACATCTTTAAAGTTAAATATTACAAATATTATGCCTGAATGTATCCTTTCAACTTGACAGCTCAGGGAAGTTACCTAGCTTTAAAAATAAGATAAAATCATCTCCTTTCCCAGTTTCCTCCATTCCAAAGCTATTTTCCCCTTGAAAAAGGACTCCAGGAAGTTCCCAGAGGTGACAATTGCTGGGCTCATTGTTAGCCAAAGGAAGCCAAATCTCATCACCCGACTCGCCTCAGGCTCCAGACATGCAAAGGAACTTCTACTGTACTTTTGGGTGGTGGGTACTTAAGACATATTTGTCTATGCTAATCTTATACCTGAGTCTTGTCCTCCCATGTCTGTTTATACTAATCTTGTACCAAGGACTTGTCTGGACACGTTTGCCAAGGTTAACCCCTCCCCTTTTGTGACATGTCAGTGATGTAGCAATGATGTAGCAATGATGCTGTACGAACTATTCTGGGATATGGTGGGAAGTTTTAAAAGTCTTTGTCACCCCATCCTCAGGGTTCAAAATTTTCTCTTTGAACCTATTGCGCAATAAACTCTTGGTCTACAGCTATTTGCTCCGGTTGGCTGGACTCCTTCCTTTATTCCGCAGGGCTCTGCCAGACGAGCTGGGTGACTGAGCAGCCTCACACCTAGATTTTTCCGTAACGCTATACAAATTCAATAAATAAAATTGTCACTGAAATTCTACTCAATATTGACCCAGAGTAGATTCTAATGTACTGTACAGTTAGCAGAGTAAAAACTTAAACACATTGCAGGATTCCCAAAAAATAGACCAGAAGCAATTAATATTTCATCCAGCAGAGCTTGATTGAAGGCAAATAAGCATAATGGTCACAAATATAATATAATACATTCAGGATTGGCACTGTCCATAAGAAATCCAGCTGCAGCAGACTTAACTTAAACTTACAATAACTTAAGTCTAAACCCTTAACACTATCTACGTATAGAGCACCACGCCAGAAGTAAAAGAGCTGGAAAGAGAAAGTGAAATCCAGTCTTCTTTTGGCCTCTTATGATAGTCAGCATGACCTTGACGGAAGAGATAACAGAATCAGTTTAAACCAGTTGTACTCAGCTTCTCTGAAGGTACTCAGTGCTTTTTTCTGGGGGATGTAGGGGGATGCAAGCCCCTAAACATTTTGTGAATATCTGTACTATTGTCCATTTACTCCCCCTCCCCCAATTTGAACTCTAAAATGGTGATTTTCTTGAGTCAAAATGAGAGTACCCCTAAACATTTTATAGAAAAAAAGCACTGGGCATAACCCAAACATCAGGAACTTTCTGTTTGCTTCTTTCACACAGAGAAGCTTCCAGAAGCTTCCAGAACCCTCTTGAATTAATTAGAATAGGAAAGATCTCTACTCATCTGATCAATGCTTTCTGCACTAAGAAATGCAAAGTGAAAATGCCTGCCCCCTTCTGCCTAGCCACACTACTTCTTGTAGACCAGATGTTTCCTCCCTATCTGACCCACAGATCCCCCTTCCTTTCCCCATGGCAGTTAGGCTTAAAACCGTTAGACAGTACCAGGAAAGGTGCGGAAACCTTTGTTAAATAAAGGTACAGCAGACCACTGGCAAAGAAGCCTAGAAAAAACCGCAAAGAGTCTTATGGCACCTTGAAGACGAATGCGTTGATTTTGTTAGTCTTTAAGGTGTCACAAAACTCTTGCATCAGACAAACACATTTGCCTTCTCTGGAGCTAGAACTAAACACTAACCGGGGACAAGTCTGAGGTGTGTTGAATGATACACCACATTAAAAGCAACTAGAGCAACAGGCTGGGCTTCACCCTTGCACATAGTTGTCAACATTTCCATTTTTTAAGGGAAATTCCCTTATTCCGAATAGGATTCCTCACAAGAAAAGGAGAAAGTTGACAGCTATGCCCTTGCATGGCACACCTGAAATAAGGGAGAGCACTCTTCAAGCAGAGCATGCGTTGTCACCAGTGGGAATTGGGAGAAAATAATATCAGGCATCTTTGCAATATTTATCACACGTGTGTGGCAGCTCCTACTCTCCACACTATGTGAATCTCATGATACCTGAGTGCTTAACTTGTCGCCTTTAATCTGGGAAGGGTGTCAGCGCACTATTAAGGGTGGAGTATCCAGAGTCAGGTGGCGAGGACACAGCCTTGCCCAGGCATAGGCAAACTCGGCCCTCCAGATGTTTTGGGACTACAACTCCCATCATCCCTAGCTAACAGGACCAGTGGTCAGGGATGATGGGAGTTGCAGTCCCAAAACATCTGGAGGGCCAATTTTGCCTAGGCCTGGCCTTGCGTCTCAGGACTCCTTGGGGCTCCCATGGGTGGGAGCACCCCAGTGGCATGCGGTCAGTGGACTAGAGGGGACTACACTACTCCCCTAAATATCCCCAGTAAATTAGAGTATTGAAGTATTAATGCCTGGCACCTTCTTCCCAAAGCCCAGGAAGCTTCTGTCCAGGTCAGGGAAGGAGACACAATGCTCCAACAGGGTCCAAGAACCCTCCTACCACCTTCCCAAAAACCGCCCCCCCTGGCTTTGGGAAGGAGACAGAAGGGCTCCAGAATCCTGTCAGAGGCCGGACGCCTCTTTCCCAAAGCCTGGGAAGGTGTGATTCTCACATGCGCAACATCACCTGACCCCCTCCCCAAATTCCCCTTACAAGCTGACGCCTCTGGCCCTAACTGTTCCCCTATGAAAAAATTAAGTGCACACCCCGGGAAAACACACACATTCTCCCTGATGCAGTGAGCATCTGCATCCATGCAGTTCTGAACTCTTTGGACTCTTCAAACTTGGATTGCTGCTTCAAGCCCAGCTCCCCTCACCTTGCCGGAGCAAAGCAGCTGCTGGGACTTCTGCTGCTCAGCTTGTTGCTCTTCTCTGCCTCAATAATAATAATAATAATAATAATAATAATAATTTATTATTTATACCCCGCCTATCTGGCTGAGTTTCCCCAGCCACTCTGGGCGGCTCCCAATCGAGTGTTAAAAACAATACAGCATTAAATATTAAAAACTTCCCTAAACAGGGCTGCCTTCAGATTTCTTTTAAAGATAAGATAGCTGCTTATTTCCTTCATATCTGAAGGGAAGGTGTTCCACAGGGCGGGCGCCACTACCGAGAAGGCACTCTGTCTAGTTCCCTGTAACCTCACTTCTCGCAATGAGGGAACCGCCAGAAGGCCCTCAGTGCTGGATCTTAGTGTCCGGGCTGAATGATGGACGGGGGTGGAGATGCTCCTTCAGGTATACTGGACCAAGGCCGTTTAGGGCTTTAAAGGTCAGCACCAATAATTTGAATTGTGCTCGTAAATGTACTGGGAGCCAATGTAGGTCTTTCAAGACCGGTGTTATATGGTCTCGGCGGCCGCTCCCAGTCACCAGTCTGGCTGCCGCATTCTGGATTAATTGCAGTTTCTGGGTCACCTTCAAAGGTAGCCCCACGTAGAGCGCATTGCAGTAGTCCAAGCGGGAGATAACTAGAGCATGCACCACTCTGGCGAGACAGTCTGCGGGCAGGTAGGGTATCAGCGTGCGTACCAGATGGAGCTGATAAACAGCTGCCCTGGACACAGAATTAACTTGCGCCCCCATGGACAGCTGTGAGTCCAAAATGACTCCCAGGCTGCGCACCCGGTCCTTCAGGGGCACAGTTACCCCACTCAGAACCAGGGAGTCCCCCACACCCGCCTGCCCCCTGTCCCCCCAAAACAGTACTTCTGTCTTGTCAGGATTCAACCTCATTCTGTTAGCCACCATCCATCCTCCAACCGCCTCCAGACACTCACACAGCACCTTCATTGACTTCACTGGTTCTGATTTAAAAGAGAGGTAGAGCTGGGTGTCATCTGCATACTGATGAATACCCAGCCCAAACCCCCTGATGATCTCTTATTTCCTCTCAGATAAGAGCATCTATCTGAACCTAAGCCAAGATGGCCGGAACGCTCCCCAGTTATTCTCTGTTTTCCTCCGTTATTGTAGAACCACCAAACCCCTTCTAAATTTTGCATACGCGCCCCTTTTCAACTGGGATGCATGAAGAAAACCAGGCAAATGAAATCCAGATATTCCTGGCTTACATCTGTCTCTTTAGGTAGTCAGTTCTGCTGCAGCATGGCATGGGCATGTTTAGACAACCTTAAGTTGAGATGCACTCTTGATAAACCTAAATTACTAGCACTGTTTACAGGTTACGTTTCCCCCTTCTTTTTCCTGGAAGGTTATGTTAATTGTTAGCTTATTGCAGCATCCATTTCCAGGAGTTCCTTCTATCAACTCATTCCTCTTTTCAAGCAAAATCAGACAGTAACGCCACACACGCCACTTACCAATTGTTTCGAAAGCAACAGGTCCCTTCGGAGGCTGGTGTCACTATAGAGATACTTCAGTTCAGCAAGCAACCTTTGTCGGTTTAAGGAAGTTGATGGCAAAAAGAAAAAAGAGAAACTGCTTTTGTTTGTTCCGCTGGGCATAATAAACTGGTATCAGCTTGCAGACTGGCTTCCAGGTAGTGCATTTTTTGTGTTAATAGCAAAGGTGGATCTTAGTAGATGCAGAAAAAGGTCACAAGGAGCCACAATTTCTTGGGGATCTGCAGACCCTCCCTGTGCAGTCCCCTTTTCCAGGGACATTCCCGGATATACAGAAGCCATCCCAGTTTCTGATTTGATCCTGGAATATCCCATTTCTCCTTAGGACGTCCCTACTTTCATCGGAGAAATGTTGGAGGTATGGAGACTAACTCGCTTAAGGTCATAACACTGAGTCACTGATGCTATCTTTGGATGTGTCATATATTTCAAGGCCTGCCTCTAGACATCCTTTTTACTGTGCACCCATAATTATTTGCGCTCGTGGTGCTGTTGGTGCTGACTGGCATCCATCTGTCTTGGGAAACAATGGAAGAGTACACTTTTGCAGGTGAAGTCAAACTGCTGGAGAATTGCAGCGCCTGCTGTGGCTGTAGAGACCAATACAGGAGAGACATGTTTTGTTGCAGGTGGGGCAAATGAAGGCATCTGGTTGTGCTGATCAAGGTGTGCCTCAGTGTTTCTTCTCCCAGTGGTCATTCCTCCTCTGGTCACTCCTGTGGATACACAACCTGACTGTCTGTCTCCAGGCACTGCAGTCGTCTGCAAGAAATTCCCACATGGAAGGGTTGACGTTGCTAGACTTCATGCCACATTAACAGACATCTTTGTAACACAGAGTTGGTGTGCCAACAGGCCTGGTGCCTGAGGCCAGCTCCCCATAGAGCAGGTCCTTGGGTATCACCATGCCAGAGCAGATGTATATCTGAAGGAGCGTCTCCACCCCCATCGTTCTGCCCGGACACTGAGGTCCAGCACTGAGGGCCTTCTGGCGGTTCCCTCACTGCAAGAAGCCAAGTTACAGGGAACCAGGCAGAGGGCCTTCTCGGTAGTGGCACCCGCCCTGTGGAACACCCTCCCACCAGATGTCAAAGAGCAAAACAACTACCAGACTTTCAGAAGACATCTGAAGGCAGCCCTGTTTAGGGAAGCTTTTAATGTTTGATGCATTACTGTGTTTTGATATTTTGTTGGGGGTTGCCCAGAGTGGCTGGGGAGGCCCAGCCAGATGGGCGGGGTATAAATAATAAATTATTATTATTATGTCTCTGAGACCGGAGTGTGAACATGCTGGGAATGTGAGCTTGGGAGAGCACTTGTTTAAGACTCTGTCCTGCCATGCAATGCCCCAAATCTTCCTAACGCCATGCACAATGAAGGCATTGAGGCATCGCTCCTGGTGGGTGCAAGCTGCCCACGTCTCACTACCATCAAGCACATACCCGCCAACATTTCTCCGATGAGTATAGGGACATCCCATTCCATAATGATAATTTTACTATTTATACCCCACACATCTTACTGGGTTGCCCCAGCCACTCTGGGCAGCTTCCAACATACAGTGGAACCTCAGTTTTCGAGCGTCTTGTAAGCCGAACAATTCGGAACCTGAATGCCGAAAACTCAGAAGCAATCGCTTCTGTTTTCAAACACGCCTCAGAAGTCGAACGGCTTCCGAGGAACGTTTCTCCATTTTTTCAATGGATTTTGCCAACGGCCCATTGATCCTCGGTTTTCGAACGTTTCAGAAGTTGAACGGTCTTCTGGAACGGATTACGTTAGAAAACCGAGGTTCCGCTGTATATAAAAACATAACAAAACATTAAACATTAAAAAAACCTTCCCTATACAGGGCTGCCTTCAGATGGCTCAGGGGTCAGATAACTCCATACCCTCCAACATTTCTCCAGTGAAAATAGGGATGTCCTAAGGAAAAGTGGTGGGACATGGGTGGGTTAAACCACAGAGCCTAGGACTTGCCGATCAGAAGGTCGGCGGTTCGAATCCCAGTGACGGGGTGAACTCCCGTTGCTCGGTCCCTGCTCCTGCCAACCTAGCAGTTCGAAAGCACATCAAAGTGCAAGTAGATAAGTAGGTACCACTCCGGCGGGAAGGTAAAACGGCGTTTCTGTGCGCTGCTCTGGTTCGCCAGAAGCTGTACGCCGGCTCCCTCGGCCAGTAAAGTGAGATGAGTGCCACAACCCCAGAGTCGGTCACGACTGGACCTAATGGTCAGGGGTCCCTTTACCTTTACTTTAAGGAAAAGTGGGACATTCGGGGATCAAATCAGGGATGGCTTCTCTAAATCAGGGACGTCCCTAGAAAATAGGGACCCTTGGAGGGTCTGATAAGCATTGTGCTCAACACGCAAGCTTGGTGGATCTTCATATTTGGGCAGGCACACAATCCGCTTTCAATACTGTTTTTCGGAAGAAGAAGGGGAAAGAGGTGGAGGGGGGAAAGGTGAGTGGGGGTGGGGTCGGGTGGCGATGTTTCTATTTTACTTAGTATATGTAGGGTTTGGTGTCAGCGTTGCTTGTGCAGGTTCTTTGCTGTTCACTTGTGTTCCTTTGGTGGTGAGAGAGGTTGGGGTTGGCCTAGGGTGTGGTTGTTTGTTTGTGGTTGGCTGTGTTACTGGGAAACTGGAAGGCGGGTGAGAGACCTACCAAACCTAGCAATTCACTGACAAATGTATCTATGTACAGTGGTACCTCTGGATGTGAACAGGATCCGTTCTGGAGCCCCATTCACATCCTGAAGCGAACGCAACCCATGTCTGCGCGGGTCATGATTTGCCACTTCCGCGCATGCGCGTGACGGCATTTTGAGCGTCTGCGCATGCACGAGCGGCAAAACCCAGAAGTAACGTGCTCCATTACTTCTGGGTCACCGCGGAGCGCAACCCGAAAAGGTCTTAACCTGAAGCGACTTCAGCCTGAGGTATGACTGTACTGGCTCAATGGGAAAACTTTAGAAATTCATATAAAATCACTCCAGTGACGGATTTACACCATTCCAACGTTGTTCTACTCAGAAGGAAAATGGCTAGCAGGGGATGAGCTTGGGACATGGGCAGGGGCACCCATAATCCCCCCACTGCCTGGGTGATAATCGCTGGCACTCTAGCACCCTAGTGCCAGACAAGTAGTCCTTCCAAGAACCATCGTAAAGCCAACCTCAGTGGATTGGTGTGCTTAACTTGGCTGGGAAAACGGGAAAATGTAAATACTTACCTTTGTTTCACCTAAAGATTGGAAGGTGGAGGTCATGTAAGACAAGCCTGGTGCTCAGGTTTCTGACAGAAGACCCCTCCCAATTTATGACATAGTTATGACAAATGTATGATGTCATGGGTAATTTGGGAAACTTATAAAAATAGGGAGCCATCCTTAGTTCGGGGCTTCTCTCTGCTTCTTCTATGTGGCAGTTTGAAGTCTTGTTGCAACAATAAAGATCAGGCCAACTGGCCACTGTTTTGCTTCGATCTCCTGGCTGAAGTCTCTTGTTTGTGACCCCTGACCTCAACCTATGGGAGCCAAGGTTAGGCATTTGCGGGGTGCTCCAGTTACTCCCTTAAACACCTTAAACACGCAACCTGAAGTGTCTATAACCCGAGGTATGACTGTATTATTTGCTGCTCTGTAGCTGCTCCGTAGTATAGTGGTACCTCGGGTTAAGAACTTAATTTGTTCTGGAGGTCTGTTCTTAACCTGAAACTGTTCTTAACCTGAAGCACCTGCCCTGTGAAACACCCTCCCATCAGATATCAAGGAGATAAGTAACTATATAACCTTGAGAAGACATCTGAAGGCAGCCCTGTATAGGGAAGTTTTTAATGTTTAATGTTTTATTATGTTTTTGTATATGCTGGTAGCCACCCAGAGTGGCAGGACAACCCAGATAGATTGGCGGGGTACAAATAATAAAATTATCATTGCAGTGGATGCTCAGGTTGCAGTTCGCAACCCGCAGCGTTCGCAACCCGCGTCTGAACATCTGCGCACGCGCGGGTTGCGATTCGGCACTTATGCGCATGCACGACCGCCAAAACCCAGAAGTAACCTGTTCCGGTACTTCCGGGTTTCGGCAGTCCGTAACCCAAAAAAACGCAACCTGAAGTGTCAATAACCCGAGGTATGACTATATTATTTGCTGCTCTGTAGCTGCTCCGTAGTACAGTGGTACCTCGGGTTAAGAACTTAATTTGTTCTGGAGGTCTGTTCTTAACCTGAAACTGTTCTTAACCTGAAGCACCACTTTAGCTAATGGGGCCTCCTGCTGCTGCCGCCGCGTGATTTCTGTTCTCATCCTGAAGCAAAGTTCTTAACCTGAGGTACTATTTCTGGGTTAGCGGAGTCTGTAACCTGAAGCGTCTGTAACCTGAGGTACCACTGTATGTGATAGCACTGGGGCAGCACTGCAGAACAAACCAAAGTCGAATAAAGGCACCCCTAATTCACCATTGGTGTGTCCAGGGCATGTTGCAGAATGCACCCAGAATAAAATCGCCAGTCTGGAAGGACCACAAGTCTCTAATGCTCCTGGGCCAGCTTTTCCTGTCGATGAGGAAAGTTTTATCTGCTGAATTTCCGCATGCCCTGCGGCACAAGAGCTCTGTGGAAACTCAGCGGCTGGGGTTGATGGGAGATGCTCTGCAAAACATCTGGAGGGCACCCAGTTGGGGAAGACTGTCCTACAAGGAAGCAATACACTTGTCACGGGCCATTTGCTCTTCCTTTCCTTGTGTACCTGCAAACATTGCTTGGTTTCTGTTAACTTTATTTGCTCCCTGCCCCCTTTTTTGTGTTCTGCGAAGGAATAGAAAGGGCTTGTCTGTGTATCTTTCACTGATCGTGGCAAACAGGGAAGACAGATTAGCAACTACCCTCCGTGGTAGAAGGAAACTGGCACATATTAAAAATCAAAGAAAATTAGGAGGGGATCATGCAGGGCCGAGTGGTTCATTGCAGCTGGTGAGCACATGGCTGACTGACAGCTTTACCCTCCATGAATAATGGGGCACAGGGGCACCATCTGAGGGGAGGGTCCCCCCCAAATTTTTAAGGAGGGAGCCGGCCCCCCTCAATATTCCATGGCAGTGTGCACACATTGTGCAGTACCCGCCTGCACAATTGCGGGTGCAACCAGTGCACCTGGTGGGGGGATATTGATGGCCAGGGATGTGGGTGGCACTGTGGTCTAAACCACTGAGCCTCTTGGGCTTGCCGATCAGAAGGTAGGCGGTTCGAATCCCTGCGAGCTCCCGTTGCTCTGTCTCAGCTCATGCCAACCTAGCAGTTCGAAAGCACGTCAAAGTGCAAGTAGATAAATAGGTACCACTGCAATGGGAAGGTAAACGGCGTTTCCATGTGCTCTGGTTTCCCTCAGAGTGTTCCATTGCACCAGAAGCGGTTTAGTCCCGCTGGCCACATGACCCGGAAAGCTGTCTGTGGACAAACACCGGCTCCCTCGGCCTGAAAGCGAGATGAGCGCCGCAACCCTATAGTCACCTTTGACTGGTCCTTTACCATGTACCTTTTATTGATGGCCACCATCTTGGATGGCTTCAAAATAAAATTAGAAAGTTCATGGAGGACAAGGCCATTCCTGGCTACTATCCACTCTTGGCTATGTTCTACATCCACCATCAGAGGCATTGCATCCCTGAACACCAGTTGCTGTGAATCACAAGTGTGGAGAGTGCTGTTGTGTCCAGCTTGCAGGATTCCCACATGCATCTGGTTGGCCACTGTGAGAATGAGATGCTGGACTAGAGGAGCCATTGGTCTAGTCCAACATGTCTTCTTATGTTCTTGTTTAACTAGGCAGGAGCCCACAGGAGAACTCTGGTGGTCGCCCAATGCTACTCTCCAGAATGCCCTTGGAGATAGGAGTGGAAGCACTATGAAATGGTACCTCGTCTCCCAAATCCTAAAGGAGGTTCAGGGGCCTAATGTGACCCATGATACTGAAAGCCGCTGAGAGGTCAAAGAGAACCAACAGGGCTCCACTTCCGCCATGATTCTCCCAACAAAACTCATGGATCAGAGTTGTTATGTATTGACGTTCTCACCCTGGCCACCGGGGGGGGATGTGTATACTGTGGTACCTCAGGTTAAGAACTTAATTCGTTCTGGAGGTCCGTTCTTAACCTGAAACTGTTCTTAACCTGAAGCACCACTTTAGCTAATGGGGTCTCCCACTGCCGCTGCGCCGCCGGAACACGATTTCTGTTCTCATCCTGAAGCAAAGTTCTTAACCCGAGGTACTATTTCTGGGTTAGCGGAGACTGTAACCTGAAGCGTCTGTAACCCAAGGTACCAATGTATAGTTTTCACTCAGGTCCACGTAAGTTAATTTAGGCGGGAAACCCTGGGCTGTTGTAGTTACAGTGTTGACAGTTGGCTGCCTATAAAAGCAGGCCAGCTGAGCTGTTTGCTGTTCAGTTCAGTTCCAGCTTTGTTGTTGTTGTTTAGTCGTGTCCGATTCTTCGTGACCCCATGGACCAGAGCACGCCAGGCACTCCTGTCTTCCACTGCCTCCCGCAGTTTGGTCAGACTCATGTTTGTAGCTTCGAGAACACTGTCCAACCATCTCATCCTCTGTCGTCCCCTTCTCCTTGTGCCCTCAATATTCCCCAACATCAGGGTCTTTTCCAGGGAGTCTTCTCTTCTCATGAGGTGGCCAAAGTATTGGAGCCTCAGCTTCACGATCTGTCCTTCCAGTGAACACTCAGGGCTGATTTCCTTCAGAATGGATAGGTTTGATCTTCTTGCAGGCCATGGGACTCTCAAGAGTCTCCTCCAGCACCATAATTCAAAAGCATCAATTCTTCGGCGATCAGCCTTCTTTATGGTCCAGCTCTCACTTCCATACATCACTACTGGGAAAACCATAGCTTTAACTATACGGACCTTTGTTGGCAAGGTGATGTCTCTGCTTTTTAAGATGCTGTCTGGGTTTGTCATTGCTTTCAGTTCCAGCTTACTTATAAAGAACTACTTGGAGAAATCTCTGTGTCGTCTGCTATGTCCACCCACTACCTAATAAGAGTGACCAAAGCAATTTCGGTCCCCAAACCAGGCCTGAAGCCAGGTTGAAATGAGTTCAGATATCACCAATGGGCATTAAAGTGTAAACCAAAGTTCTCAGGGCAATTAAAAGCATTCACAGCCTAAAGCACACTTCCTTGTAACTGAAAAGCAGACACCTTTTGGCACACCCAAAAGAGATATTTTGTCCAGTAACTAGAGAAAGGCAGCTACCTACGTTCTTGTTAGACCATGCAATTAGGCTGAAAGAAAATAAAAGCATAATAAATGATTGTGTCCTTGCTCTGGCTATTCTTACTATGTAGTAACAGAGTAGCCCCATATTTTCCCCAACTCCATTTTTTCATTAATCTCCCAGTTAACAAGAAAAGAAAATGTGTTTTAAATCATCAAATGGGAGATAAAAATCCCAGTGATTCTCATGGGTTGGGTGCAGGGATTTTGTTGCCTTTACTTTTGCAATGTTATTGAGAGTTCTGTCTTTCCTATGTGTAGATCCATCTGAAATATAAAAAAATTAAGGTCTTGTATATATAATAAATGTTCATAAATGTACCAAGCAAACACGTACATAAATATATAAACCACATGTCTGAAGCAGCACAGGAAGACAGTCCTGAAACCATTTTGACTCCCAAACTGACCAAATGTTTTCTCTGCAAAGTCAAAGGAAAATGGAATAACCTCCCCATTGTCTTTTCCTTCACAAATCCTGTCTTAAGGGTATGTCTGTGTATGAATAGGGTGAGCCTGTGACCTGGCTCAGGAACTAAGTATTTATCATTACAAAAGACTGGCCAGGCTGCTCAGGGTATCCAATCAAGTAAGCATTAACAGGTAACCTGCCAGACAGGAGGTAAACAATGCACTCAGATTTCTGTTGTAGACCACCCCTTTCTGTGATATAGGTATGCTGTGTCTGGTGGGTGGTCTTGAGCTACACCTCTTCTGTGATGTATGTATGATGTCTCCGGGGGTGGTCTTGGACTCCAGGGCGGGCAATTTAAAATGTCTATATAAGGGCGGGCACACTTGGGTTTTGGGTCCTCCTCCTTCTCCTGCGTGTGAAGGGGGCACCCTGTTGCAACAGTTCAATAAAGATCAGGCTTACTAGCTGCTTTGCTTCTCAATATTCTCTGGTTGGCCTCTGTTATTTTCTCCGACCAATGGAGAACCTGCAAAGGACTCTATAAGGGCTCTTGTGTCTCCCATAAGGGAATAAGGGCAGATTTTCGTTTATTACACATCCATACCCTACATCTTCATTCTAAGAAACATTGTGGATGACATACACAGCACGAGGCTCCTTTTTATTATTTCTTAAACAAATTTCCAGTAACAAAATTACCTAAATATTTATGTATTCTAAAAAGTTATACGCTTTTCCATAATCTTAGGTCCAAGGCATCATCTTTCAGAGATTAGAATATGGGCCAAGCAATGTTTGGCTTGATTATGAAGGGTAATAGCAATGAGCAGAAAGGACTTCTGGACCCTCTCTTGTTGAATGTGTGCAAATCTGAAAGAGAAGGGAGAAAACACCAGTCACTCAGAGCAGAACTGAGAGAAATCATTCCCACGCGTTTCATGGGCAACTGTTTTGTCACAACCCACTCTGAGAACCTTGCAGCAGAAAAAAACACCACACACACACACACACACACACATGTTAGGGCCAAATGATACGCACTACTACTACTAGTAGTAGTAGTAGCAGCAGCAGCAGCAGCAGCTTTGGGTAATGGTTTTCATTGGGACCATAAAGTGGCGTTAAAGGGTTTTAAAATGCCTCTGCCCTTCTTGTGGTCCCAATCCTGATCAGGCTTTCCTGCAGCTCTTTTTTAAAGTGGTTTGCTTGGAGAAAGGTACAAGGCTGGTCTATGTAATGGCACTGGTAATGCCGCAGGTGGCACTGTGGTCTAAAGCACTGAGCCTCTTGGGCTTGCTGATCAGAAGGCTGGCAGTTCGAATCCGCTCAATGGTGGTTAGCTCCTGTTGCTCTGTCCCAGCTTCTGCCAACCTAGCAGTTTGAAACCACACCAGTGCAAGTAGATAAATAGGTACCACTGCAGTGGGAAGGTAAACGGCATTTCCATGCACTTTGGTTTCCCTCACGGTGTCCCGTTGCACTAGAAGCGGTTTAGTCATGCTGGCCACATGACCTGGAAAGCTGTCTGCAGACAAACGCCGGCTCCCTCGGCCTGAAAGCGAATGAGCGCCGCAACCCCATAGTTGCCTTTGACTGAACTTAACCGTCCAGGGGTCCTTTGTTGTTGCTGTTGTTTAGTCGTGTCCGACTCTTCGTGACCCCATGGACCAGAGCACGCCAGGCACTCCTGTCTTCCACTACTCTCGCAGTTTGGTCAAACTCATGCTGGTAGCTTCAAGAACACTGTCCAACCATCTCATCCTCTGTCGTCCCCTTCTCCTTGTGCCCTCCATCTTTCCCAACATCAGGGTCTTTTCCAGGGAGTCTTCTCTTCTCATGAGGTGGCCAAAGTATTGGAGCCTCAGCTTCAGGATCTGTCCTTCCAGTGAGCACTCAGGGCTGATTTCCTTAAGAATGGATACGTTTGATCTTCTTGCAGTCCATGGGACTCTCAAGAGTCTCCTCCAGCACCATAATTCAAAAGCATCAATTCTTCGGCGATCAGCCTTCTTTATGGTCCAGCTCTCACTTCCATACATCACTACTGGGAAAACCATAGCTTTAACTATACGGACCTTTGTTGGCAAGGTGACGTCTCTGCTTTTTAAGCTGCTGTCTAGGGGTCCTTTACCTTTACCTTTTTACCTACTCACCATTCAAGGAAATTGCATCAAAATCAACACCATTTACATTCGCCATGCAGCTGTCCGTAGGAGATGGGTCATGGGTGGATGGCAAGCTTGTTTGTAAGTGATTTGTATATTGCAAGGAACCTGTGTACACCAGTGTTCCTTCTCAATGGCGTACTTGATGGCAGAGTTGTGGAACCTCAAGTCTAGGCCTCTCTACCTGACACTTGGGACTCACCCTAGGCCATGCCCCTTCTCCAGTCCATTCCCATGCCCCAGGCCACAATCCCAGCAGCTCTGCCCCTCTCCCATCTTGACTGTTTTTGCCTGGCTGGACTTTGTCTTTGAAGATTAATAATGAACCTTCCTTGCCTGGATGGAGGATAGAGAGAGGTGTCTTGAAATTAGACTACTGGGCAAAGGTAAGATTCGCATTCGCCACTCTAGCCACTTTTGCCTCTGACCAAGCCTGTTTTGATATTTTGCTTCTGGCCCAGCACACCTCAGGCATGTGAGTGTTGCCCAGAGGGGAAATGATCCCTGCACTCAAAAATGTCCCCCATTCCTCCTGTATAGTTAACAATTATAAGCAGCTCAGTTAGTTACAGCATGGTGCTGACAATACCAAGGTTGCAGGTTTGATCCCCGTAAGGGACACCTTCATTGGGGGGTGGGGGACGAGGAGGTCCTCAGGGTCTTAGCCCAGAAATGGAAGCAAGAAGAAATCCTGACGAAAGAAGAATGGCAGACAAAATTAATGGACTACGCAGAATTAGACAAAATGACTGGAAGGATTCGAAACCAGCGGGACCAGAGATTTACAGAAGATTGGAAGAAATATATGAACTATTTGAAGAGCAACTGTAATCAACAAATTACGCTAGCAGGACTACAAGAAGTTTTGTAAAGAGAAATCTATGAAATATTGCAAAATAGAGAAAGAAGAGAGATTAGTTATGAGATTTAAAGGTAATAATGAAAGTAAGAAATGTATGCTAAGTGATTAGATTGGAAAATTTTCAGATGTGATTGATGGAAGTCCAAAAATAATTGTATAAGGTGTAAAAGTATGTTTAATTATTTGAAAATGATATGTTAAAAAACTAATAAAAAAATTATATACAGAAAAAAGGAGGTCCTCAGGGTCCCTTCCAACTCTACAATTCTATGGAAGTGAGAGCTGGACCATAAAGAAGGTTGATCACCGAAGAATTGATGCTTTTGAATTCTGGTGCTGGAGGAGACTCTTGAGAGTCCCATGGACTGCAAGAAGATCAAAACTCTCCATTCTGAAGGAAATCAGCCCTGAGTGCTCACTGGAAGGACAGATCCTGAAGCTGAGGCTCCAATACTTTGGCCACCTCATGAGAAGAGAAGACTCCCTGGAAAAGACCCTGATGTTGGGAAAGATGGAGGGCACAAGGAGAAGGGGATGACAGAGGATGAGATGGTTGGACAGTGTTCTTGAAGCTACCAGCATGAGTTTGACCAAACTGCGGGAGGCAGTGGAAGACAGGAGTGCCTGGCGTGCTCTGGTCCATGGGGTCACGAAGAGTCGGACACGACTAAACGACTAAACAACAACAACAAGAACAAATGATTTAACACTGTAAATGACACCAACCTTCTTAGAAGATCCCCATGTCTTTTCTTTTGTTGATGTCCCTCTTGAGCTGGCAAAGGGCACAATGAGGGCAGAACCACATAGCACAGAAGTCCCCCAGGAGAGATCCCTGTTGAGTAGAAGAGCATTTTCAGGTCCCATTATTGTTGTGGGAAGAGAAACGATACACACAGCAGAAGAAAACTCACAAGGGGACTTAGGGTTAACCACACATTAATAGGGGAGGGTGCAACCAATGCAGTGGAATAATAATATAATAATAATAATAATAATAATTTATTATTTATACCCCACCCAACTGGCTAGGTTTCCCCAACCACTCTGGGCAGCTTCCAACAAAAGATTAAAAATACATTAAAACATCAGTCATTAAAAACTTCCCTAAACCTTGGTTCTCGAACTTAATCCATTCCAGAAGTCAGTTCAACTCCTGAAACTATTTGAAAACCAAGGCGCAGCTTCCGATTGGCTGCAGGAGCTTCCTGCACTCAAGCGGAAGCCGAGACAGACATTCGGCTTCCGAAAAATGTTTGAAAGCCAGAACACTTACTTCCAGGTTTTCGATGTTTGGGAGCTAATTTCCTCATCCACTAAGCCGTTCGAGAACCAAGGTTCCACTGTACAGTGGTACCTTGGGTTAAGAACTTAATTCGTTCTGGAGGTCTGTTCTTAACCTGAAGCACCACTTTAGCTAATGGGGCCTCCTGCTGCCACTGCGCCACCGCTGCACGATTTCCATTCTCATCCTGAGGTAAAGTTCTTAACCCGAGGTAATATTTCTGGGTTAGCGGAGTCTGTAACCTGAAGCGTATGTAACCTGAAGCGTCTGTAACCCGAGGTATCACTGTACATACATTTGCACGTAACTCATTACAGTACTGCAAAAACAACACACCCCTCTTTCTTGACTTTTTAAGTGCCCCCCACTCACTTTTTTAAAGAACGGATTTTTCCACCATGAAAATGTGGTGGCACCAGTCCTCCTTGAATTCCCCTTCATTGCCCCATGATGCATCTGAGGAAGGTCATGGCCTCATGGCATCATCTCCTTCCAGGTTGTGCTGGTCCCAAGGAACCCTCTTTCCCACAAAATAAAGACTCTGGAAGGACGTTGTGTCAGGGCATCCTTCCTCAGGTGCATTTTATGTCAGACTGGCTCAGAGCAGAGCAGAATCACTGCTGCCACTTTTTCAGGGTGAAAGGACCTCAGGTCAGTGAAGTAAAACACCTGCTTTGCATGCAGAAGATTCAATCCTCAGCATCTCCAGGTAGGACTGAGGAAGATTCCCTACCTGAAACCCAGGAGAGCCACTGTAGATGACACTGAGCCAGATGGCCCAATGGTCTAATCCAGGCACCCCCAAACTCGGCCCTCCAGCTGTTTTGGGACTACAGTTCCCATCATCCCTGACTACTGGTCCTGTTAGCTAGGGAAGATGGGAGTTGTAGTCCCAAAACAGCTGGAGGGCTGGGTTTGGGGGTGACTGGTCTAATCCAAGCACGTTCAACTTCCATTAGGTTGTGATCCACCATCCAGTATCAAAACTGGCAGTCATCTAACACACTCTCCCACTGTCATTCTTCAACTTAAATATATTATCAGGTAGGTAGCCGTGTTGACCTGACGCAGTAGAAATATATATAGACCCTTATATATAGTGAGAGGGTGGGGAGGGGTATTACTCAGAAGGGTGGTAGGAATGGGTGATTGGCTGATAGGTGTGTAAATCCATGCCTCCTAACCTAAGTCCAACACGCAAAATATTTAAATTACACCACCCTCGGCCAACTCATTCATATTTCATTTCATGATGAGCTGCTGTGCTTCACCACTTTACCACTGGTGTTTATATGTCCCAAGTAGGACATGAGAACTCTTAGGTCCTCTTTTAATGTTAAGAGCAGGTGAACTTTTAAATTTCGCAAACAGAAATAGAAAAGCGAGCAGCTGAGAGTTCCTCTTCCGTACACGTACACAGGATTCAAGTTCACACACTTACCGGGATCCCATATTTTGTCCGGTAGACGGACCTCATTGCCATGCTTGAGCCACAGAGGCAGCATTCCTCCATAGCTGAAGCTATCTGGCATCCCAAAATGAGGGGGCAAAACAGCCCACAGAGGCCTGGATAGAGACAGAACAGACATGAAATGCCTCTCTAGGAGATCACTCGGGAGAGTGGAAGCAAGGCGAAGGTTAGCCACAACTAGAGTAATGGATAAGCCTTACGAAGCATCACAGGTTCTAGCAAAAGTTCTTAGAGGGCCTGCCCCTTGTGAACATTTGTCTATAATGCCTTACAGAACTACAGTTCTCAGAGTGCTATAACACATAGCTGTCAACGCTTCCCTTTTTAAAGGGAAATTCCCTTATTCCGAATAGGATTCCTCTCAAGAAAAGGAAAAAGTTGACAGCTATCGTATAACAATCCATCTTTCTTCTCAGGGAATTATGGGAACTGTCCAGGGCCGGATTTAGGTTTGATGAGGCCCTCAGCAATTGAAGGTAATGGGGCCCTTTATATGGCCAGCTGTCCTTTGTCAACAACAAATTGCCACTGTTTTTTGTGTTGAATGTATGCTATATGGTAATTTATGGACCTAATAGGTATCTAAAGCCATTTGCACATGTTGCCATGCAACCGGTCCATGCAGAATGTAGGCACCCTGTATATAGAAATGAGCAAACCAGTGATATTTTAGGGAGCAGGCTAGCAGGCAGGGCCCATTACTTACATCATAGGAGCCTACACAATACACTGTTGCTGTATGTAGGTTTTATTTTATTTGTTTTTTATCTTCTACTTTGGAAATGTACATCCAGTTTTTTTCCTTTAATTTTTTGGGAGCCCCCAAGAGAGTGGGGCCCTAAGCTATAGCTTGTGTAGCTTATACAGTATGTAAATCCGGTACTGGAACTGTCGCTCTCTGAGGGGAACAGGGGACCCCTAACAACTCTCAGCAACCCTGAACAAACTACAGTCCCCAGGATTCTCTACGGGAAGCCATGGCTGTTTGAAGTGGTATGATCCTGCTTTCAATGTCTAGTGCAGATGGGACCTAGGCGATAGCAAGGTTTTCAAGTATTATTATTGTCTGTGACAGATTAGCATGGAGAATTTGAGAGAGGGGCAGAAATAATCAAGCCGAGGATAGGTACTTCTTTCCTTTTCTTTGATGGAGTTCCTGTCTTTTTCAGGGCTGCATTCCCACCGGGGAAACTTTCTGTGGGTCACGTGCAAGCAGTGGGCGGGGCCAGGGGTAAAGGTGGGTGGAGCACTGGATGTAAATTTTAACTATGTATAGTAGGTTATGTTCTCCACACAACTCTCTATCCTCCGTCCAGGGAATCAGAGTTGAGGACATATTTTAGTCAGATAAGGGCACTCTACGAGGGTGTGGAGCAAGGCCAGCAAGGGGTGTGATCTGGGGAGGGTGTGTACCCTGGGGAGAGTCCCAAGGGGCAGATAGAGAGGCTGCATTTGCCCCCTGGGCCTGAGATCCCCCATTCCAGTGTAGATTGGGTAGGTCTGGTCCTCATTTGCCCATCTGACGTGAAGCCCGTCTGCAAAACTGCAGCAACGCAGAGATAATTTATTATGGTCGGAGACCAGCTTATAAAACACACTTGGGGGTACAATCCCAGAAGGAAAACAAACATTTAAAACAATGTGCAACAATAAATTTAAAATTTATAAATGCGATAAGAATATAGACACTTAAAACTTTAAGATAAGCTACCGCAGAGAGATGACCCAGAGTCATCCATGGAACCAAGTTTGGGGGTTTTCTTAACGAACTAGTTTGGGTTAGGGGATGGTCTGCGCCTACAGAATCTGGCGACTATCTGGGCCGTCTTATTATCTTTGCCTGACAGGAAAAGGTCAATTTTTTGCTTTTCCGGGAGGTCAGCGAGCCTCACCAGCAAGGGATCAATGGTCTCACTACGTGCCTCTTCATAAAAGGGACATCTAAAGAACAAGTGCTCTGGGCTTCCTATATCCCCCAATGAACAGGCGCAAAGTCTCTGAACATATGGGACTTTTTTAAAGGATCCTTCCAGGCCCAGTGAGGGCAGAGCCAAGCTTCTGGAGAGTGTAAAAGCCCTTCTTGCAACAGCAATGCAGTGTCTTCATTGGAGGAGAACTACAGATGGCTGGAGTTAGTTGATAGCAACCAAAGTACAAAGAACAATAAGAATAGCACAACATCTGTGTGGAGTGCATATTTATTCTGCCATGCCTGACCCGGCGAGCCTTTCCCTTGGTAAACAACCGGAAATGGCAGGAAAGAGTTTCTGTTCTCATCGTAAGAAGCTTGTGGCCTGGAAAGGCATTCTGTCCGTCCGGCACAAAACTCATCACGCTCAATGAGGCATCATTGCCACAGCCACATCTTTGACCTCCCCCCCCCCCCCACTTACACACTCCGCAGTCACTGCAACAGTCCATTAAGTCCGTCTGCCATTGAGGGCTTTGGTGCTGGGCAAGCACCACCTGAGGCTGGTTCATGATCACCGCCTGAGTGTTCATTGCAACGATGGCTGAGAAAAGAAAGAGAACCAAAAAACCAATTGTTAAATGCAAACATGGAAGTGAGAGCTGGACCATAAAGAAGGCTGATCGCCGAAGAATTGATGCTTTTGAATTATGGTGCTGGAGGAGACTCTTGAGAGTCCCATGGACTGCAAGAAGATCAAACCTATCCCTTCTGAAGGAAATCAGCCCTGAGTGCTCACTGGAAGGACAGATCCTGAAGCTGAGGCTCCAATACTTTGGCCACCTCATTAGAAGAGAAGACTCCCTGGAAAAGACCCTGATGCTGGGAAAGATTGAGGGCACAAGGAGAAGGGGACGACAGAGGACGAGATGGTTGGACAGTGTTCTTGAAGCTACCAGCATGAGTTTGACCAAACTGCGGGAGGCAGTGGAAGACAGGAGTGCCTGGCGTGCTCTGGTCCATGGGGTCACGAAGAGTCGGACACGACTAAACAACTAAACAACAACAACAAATGCAAACAACCATCATCCTGATTTTTTAATAATAATAATAATAATTTTATTTTATTTTACAAGTGTTGAGTTATAACAATACAAATCACATATCCATATTTAGAGATTTCTCTGAATCTCAAGACTTCCCGCCCTCCCCTCCATGGGTCCTATTGTCAATCTTTTCGACTGCATATTATTTCATAATCCATATTTTGTATCTCTCCACATTGTTCATAATATTTGCTACATTACAAGTGTTATTAGAATCCTGCTAATGTTTCCATCTGCTTACAATGGTCTCCTAAATAAATTATAATTTTCCCCCATTCTTTATTGGCTGCTTCTGCAGGCCAATCAGGTTGCTGATTCACTTCATCCAGAAGCCTGATTGGCTGCTCCTGCAGGCCAATCAGGTTGCTGATTCACTTCATCCAGGAGCTTGATTGGCTGCTCCTGCAGGCCAATCAGTTCGCTGATTCACTTCCACCTGGAGCTGGATTGGGTGGCTCCTGCGGACCAATCAGGCTGCTGCATTTTGGATCCTATTGTTCTAGGATTCAGCTCAGTACGTAACACTGAGCTATATCAAAGTTCAGCAAGTTTTTTTCTCATTTTGGTGCCAGGTTAAGCTATGCCATTTTGCTTGGACAATTTAAGATCATGAGTGACTTGTCAGATTTTGGCTGGCACACATGCATCTGAGACTATAGAAATGTGTATATAGGTGCATTGTTAAGGAATGAGCAATTAAAAAAAGTTTGTTTATGTTTCCTGTTTTCTTTTCCCAAGCAGAGATAATGTGTAAGCGGGTGTCAGCTCCCTCAAAAAGGTCAACAACTTTGGGGTCCCCCCCTTAAAAAAGGTCAACAACTCTGGGAAACAGGGAGAGAGGCACTTGAGGGATCTTTGCAACACAGCGCCAGATATGCTTAACAGGGCCCTGAGGGCAGTATACAAAACTAGTTACCATATTTTCCCGTGTATAAGACGCCCCCATGTATAAGATGCCCCCTACTTTTGGGGGCTCCAATTTAAGAAAATGGGGGGAGGATTGCCCTGTTTATAAGAGCCCCCTCCCACGATTTCTAACCTTATTTTACAGGGGGGAAATCTAGTCTTATACACGGAAAAGTATGGTAGTTAGTTAGTTAATTAACAATAGTGTGAATGGGAGTAAAAAAATCAAGTGCTGAGAATTTATGCAACAGACAGATGTATGAAACAGTCCTTAAGGATGTGTCAGCTGAAACAACAACTAGGGAATGTTAAGAATTACCGTATTTTTTGCTCTATAAGACTCACTTTTTCCCTCCTAAAAAGTAAGGGGAAATGTGTGTGCGTCTTATGGAGCGAATGCAGGCTGCACAGCTATCCCAGAAGCCAGAACAGCAAGCGGGATCGCTGCTTTCGCTGCGCAGCGATTCCTCTTGCTGTTCTGGCTTCTGGGATTCAGAATATTTTTTTTCTTGTTTTCCTCCTCCAAAAACTAGGTGTGTCTTATGGCCTGGTGCGTCTTATAGAGCGAAAAATACGGTAGTCTGGCGCACGTGTGGCCCAGCATACATGTGTGATGTCACATGGGAGGAGGAGGGGCCCTGGCCCTTTCCATGAACATTTGGGGGGCTTTGCCTCCCCCCCCCGAGCCCCCAAAGGCACCCCCTGGTCTGGTGAATCAGGTCTTAATGCAGGACAGACAAAATCCTCACACATTCTTAAGATAACGTGATCAAAAGGACCGACGGTTCAAAGAGGAGGGGGAACAAATAAAAGATTGAGATTTGAGAAGGATAAGGAGAAACCACAGGTGGGAAAAGAAATCAGGAAAATAAACGGTTGCAGAGGCAATGCGGCTATGGAGGACAGACTGAACTCTCTCCAAGGTTTTGAATGAAAGAAAGAGGTAGGCAAAATGAATGAGGCAATAATCACTCCCAGAGAAGAGGCTGGGCGAAGGAGATTTCAAAAGAAGGGAAATAATGGCCTGCTTTCAGCCTGAAGGCGGGGGTGAGGGTGGGGGACCCAGAAGCTAAACTGAAAATGTGCAGAACCATAGAAAGGAAAATGGCAATGAAGAAACAAGATGAAATAAGCACGCTTCAGCAGAAAGCAGGACTCCTGTATCTTTCATAGCTGTGCCCCAAAGGGAAATTTTGGCAGGTGGAACTGGTCATACAGAGGTGGAAACGGTTTCCCCTTGCCCAAAAATTCCCACTAGGAAACTGGACGGCCTCCGTCCAGTATACCTGAAGGAGCGTCTCCACCCCCATCGTTCTGCCCGAACACTGAGGTCCAGCGCCGAGGGCCTTCTGGTGGTTCCCTCCCTGCGAGAAGTGAGGTTACAGGGAACCAGGCAGAGGGCCTTCTCGGTAGTGGCGTCCGCCCTGTGGAACGCCCTCCCACCAGATGTCAAAGAGAAAAACAACTATCAGACTTTTAGAAGACATCTGAAGGCAGCCCTGTTTAGGGAAGCTTTTAATGTTTAATAGGTTATTGTATTTTAATATTCTGTTGGAAGCCACCCAGAGTGGCTGGGGAAACTCAGCCAGACGGGCGGGGTATAAATAATAAATTATTATTATTATCAAAAGGTCGAAGGATGACTGATTTGTATTTCATTCAACCAGCCTCACAGCAGCCTAGCGAGTCTTGGAAAACAGTGATCTATGCAGAATAATGTCAACATTTAAAAACAGCAGCGTCTCCCTTTCTTACAACCATGGAGAAAAGTTTAAGAAGGGGGGAAAGCCTGCAAAAAAGTCTGTTGCTTTCTCAGTGTTATTGCATTATTGCCATCTGAAGGGGCCATCTTGAACTGAGAATTATAAAATCATAGAACTGTAGAGTTGGAAGGGACCACTGTGGTCATCTAGTCCAACCCCCTGCGATGCAAGAATCATTTGCCCAAAGTGGGGCTCGAACGCACAACTCTGAGATGAAGAGTCTCATGCTCTACTGATTGTGCTACCCCACCTAGCTTTATTAAACGCAATATAAGCAGGACAACATCCCCCCCCCTCACAACAAAATATTTGTTATAAACAAAGTTACAGGATTTCAGCAGAAACTACCGGGCCTGCATATATTGGAAACTAAGCAGCCCAAAACCTTTGCTGAAGCAAACAGCACTGAAAACGAGATCATGTATTATAAGGCTGCCATATTTCTACAAGTTGGTGAGCTTTTTTTAGGCAATTGAGCTCAGAGTAGTTGAGTTTTTGGGGGAAATTGCCTCCCCGCTCAGGACGTATGGCAACCCTAATGTATTATGACTCGGATAGCATTTTGAGCTCAAATCATCATGCATGCTTGATAGAAAGTACATCTCAAGTAACCCCCTCATGTACACAGAGGTACCTCTGCCTCAATAAATATTATGCCATCCCTCCCTGCAAAGTACAGTGGTACCTCGGGTTAAGTACTTAATTCCTTCCGGAGATCCGTTCTTAACCTGAAACTGTTCTTAACCTGAAGCACCACTTTAGCTAATGGGGCCTCCTGCTGCCTCCGCGCCGCCGGAGCACGATTTCTGTTCTTATCCTGAAGCAAAGTTCTTAACCTGAAGCACTGTTTCTGGGTTAGCCAAGTGTGTAACCTGAAGCATATGTAACCTGAAGCGTATGTAACCCGAGGTACCACTGTATACACAAAGTATCAAATGTGGTGACAGTAATGATAATACAACAAAACAACAACACCACAAACTGGCTTATAAGTATAAAACCAAATTTACTAGAATAATAGCTAGTAAATAGCTAGTAAAAGCCTGGAGATACTGTAAACATGGAGGCTTTGTCTTGCACATGGCACCTTAGTATGTTAGCTATTATTCTAGTAAATTTGGTTTACTCCCTGCAGACATATTCTGTCAGATGTCAGTCACAATGAAGTCCCACTAAAATGTGAGGGACAGAATAGGTGTGACTTCAGCCCTATGGGACTGGCAAGCCAGTCTTATCCACACCACTGCCTACTTTGTCGGCTCTCCTTTCCTTAATTCTGAGGTCTCTCACAACCCCTTCCAAATTTACCAAACACCCCACTTCTGCAACTTGAATATATTAGGAAAACCAGGCAAAGGTATAATTCAAATTTGCTTATCTTGTAAAACAAATTGGAGTGCTTTGAGATGGGAGTTTAATACCATAAACGAGTTGTTGAGATATTGCAGAGCTGAAGTTGGCACCAAGTTGGATTTTTTAAAAAAACAAGGACAACATTGGGTTTCCTCTGAAAATGGTAAGTTCTGGTTATATGCAGGGGAAACACAGGCTGGCATTTTGATGACAACAGACACCCATTCCATAATAAACACCCATCTGGAAGCACACATGGGACAGCCAATTTGGGACTTTCTGTTAATAAAATTAGCCTGTATACAGTATGTATACACAGAAATGATTAGAAGCTCTGCTTTTGCTTTCCAAAATTTTATGTTTGTCTTCCAGTAATTTTATTTTTCTCCATTACTTTTATCTTGCCTTCCCTGGAGACAAGAACATTTCCAAGTCAACTCTTAAGAACTTCTAAACAATTGGACAAAATAACCTTGTAGCATTCAATGAGAGATAATGTTGCCCCATGCCACCTACCTGGTGTTTAGAAGGAGACAGGGAACCCTCTTCGCTGAAGCCAAGTGTAACTGCAGAGTTACTCCGCTGTGGCAGGCAACCTTTCAGCTTTCCAAGATCGTCACTGGCTGTTTCCCTACAAGGAAGTGGTGGTCAAAATCATCCAAGCTGATAACTGCTCCTTCTGGACTTAGTCAGTAAGCAGTTTTGCAAGAACATAAAACAGGTCTTTGGGTAATAAAGGAATTGTACATACAAAGATTGTACATACAATTGAAACGTTATTCAAAAGTTATTTTAAAGCACTAATTAGATTTATGTCTTTTGTATAAACAGGAAGTAGGTGTGTATTGTGTGGAGAAGATCTCATTCAGAAAGTCCTGGTTCTTTGAGATTTTATTTTGAACTAGGGTTCCATCCTGGTCACAGTAGACTGCAATTCTATGTGTACTAACTTGGGAATAAACTCCACTGAACACTGAAACTCTGAGCAAGGTGTTTACGATTGCTCCATGAAACATTTTATTTCCCAACAGAACACACAAGACTGAATAATGATAATAAAATGAAGTTTGCCTAATTCCTCCCCTTGTTTTGTACAAGTGTTCCCGGCTTTGTGATAGGCAGAAATCCAACAGGAGAAGTTTTCCTGGCGTGGTGTGAAGAGAAAAATTCTCCTCTGCACCTTCTTTGTGATTCCTTTGGTGGCAGTGAAAAAGCTTTTTATTTCCCCAGAACTTTTATGTTGTACAGTATTATATTCAGAACCTTTTTTCTAGAAAAATAGGTGCCCTTTTGACCTTTTTTTAGGGGGAACACCCAGCCAAAACTGTCCTGCAGTCCTGAGCACCTTGCCATAACGCCACAGAGGTGCCAGAACGCGCCAAAGAGGTGAATTCATGTCCCCCCCAAAGCCCTGTTATATTGTTTTTCTCATTCTTATAGCATTCTTATGTGTTTTAATTGCTATTTTAAGTGATGCAGATAGCTTTGTTAAAGGGAAGCATATCAGCACTGTTAACAAATACAGTGGTACCTCAGGTTACATACGCTTCAGGTTACATACGCTTCAGGTTACAGACTCCATTAACCCAGAAATAGTGCTTCAGGTTAAGAACTTTGCTTCAGGATGAGAACAGAAATTGTGCTCCAGCAGCGCAGCGGGAGCAGGAGGCCCCATTAGCTAAAGTGGTGCTTCAGGTTAAGAACAGTTTCAGGCTAAGAACGGACCTCCGGAACGAATTAAGTACTTAACCCGAGGTACCACTGCAAATAGAAAAACAAATTACGGCAGCAGGACATGTATCCTGATAACAAGCTACCTTGGGTACAAACACAGCTGTCTCAGCAAGTTTTGGAACTGGGGGGAGAACAGACTGAGGGAATATTCTGGTGAGGTTGGCTGACTGGAGCTACATAAAGGATTGATTACTGTATAGCTGACCGGATAGCTGGAGATGCATGGCATTTCTGCTCCTTGCCCTAGTGGGACTGCATCCTCTCAAGCCTCATTTTTACAAACAGTTTTAGGAGAGGAAGCAGCTTTCAAACCACAGCAAAAGATTTATGAGGTCTCCAGGGACTCGTCCCACCTTCTCAGTCGCTTCCAAACAAATAGGTAAAGGTACCCCTGCCCATACGGGCCAGTCGTGTCCGACTCTAGGGTTGCGTGCTCATCTCGCTTAAGAAGCCGTGAGCCGGCGCCGTCCGAACACACTTCCGGGTCACGTGGCCAGCGTGACGAAGCTGCAGCTGGCAAGCCAGCACCAGCGCAGCACACGGAAACACCGTTTACCTTCCCGCTATGAAGCGGTCCCTATTTATCTACTTGCACTTAAGAGTGCTTTTGAACTGCTAGGCGGGCAGGAGCTGGGACCGAACGATGGGAGCTCACCCCGCCGTGGGGATTCGAACCGCCGACCATACGATCGGCAAGTCCTAGGCACTGAGGTTTTACCCACAGCGCCACCCGCATCCCTGCAAATAGGCTTATGCTAGTACATATGAACTCGCTCCTAAAACCTGAGGCTAAAATCTCTAATCTACCCATCTGCATATTTTGGATTGGGGGTGGGGAGAGAACTGTGGTACACGTACATCAGCTGTGCATGTTTTCTGTGATTTAATGTGTGACATTTTAGTGTATTTTTTGTCTCTGTGGAAGCCGCCCAGAGTGGCTGGGGAAACCCAGCCAGATGGGCGGGGTACAAATAATAAATTATTATTATTATTATTATTATTATTATTATTACTGGTTTCGTGTGCTCAGTGACTACAGCTGACTTTTTTGCTACGAGAGCTACAGGCAGTATATCATATCCAGGATGTGAAATGCATCCTTGACTTTATTGATTCTATAAGGAAGTAAAACACGAATTCCTGGACCAGCCCAGGCAGGACAGGTGGGCAGCCGTGCAGACTTGCTTGGATACTCAATAACGTTACTTTATCCCTGATTTATTTGCTTTCTCTCCCTCCCTCTCTTTACTTTTGTGTTTATGGTATGAGTGCACAGCTGCATGGGAACTGTGTGATCCAGACAGTCAGTCAGGTTGTGTTAGAAATAAGAATATGAGTTGGAAGGAAATGAACGCAAATACTTAAAAGCTGTTGTAGGGAACAGTTCTCTGCCAATGGGCACTGTCTTTTAACTCGCTTTCTCAAATATGGATTCTCTGAGTTTCTCATTTTTTGTTCAGTTTCCCACATTTCCACATCAGTCTATGATTTATTTATTTTAAAGTCCTCATGTAAATTCATCTGCATTTCAGAGCAAATTTATCCTAATGCAGGAGTCAGCAAACTTTTTCAGCAGGGGGCCGGTCCAGTGTCCCTCAGACCTTGTGGGGGGCCGGACTATATTTTGAAGAAGAAAAAATGAACGAATTCCTATGCCTCACAAATAACCCAGAGATGCATTTTAAATAAAAGGACACATTCTACTCATGTAAAAACACTCTGATTCCCGGACCGTCCATGGGCCAGATTTAGAAGGTGATTGGGCTGGATCCAGCCCCTGAGCCTTAGTTTGCCTACCCATGTCCTAATGGATACATTCTGCAAAGCAATTGTCCCTGATACTGTATGATGCATTTCTGTATGTTATTTTTCACTAACATAAGCATTTTATGCACACTTTATCCCAGTTTGTGTATCTAAAAATACACCGCTTGGCTGGAGAACTGCATTGCAAAATTGGGAGGGCTGTGGATTTCAAAAAGCGGGTGTGATTCAGTTCTTGCATTGTTTCAGAAAGAGCCTATTAGGTATCAGGTTCACCATTAAATTGCAATTTCACACATACCCCCAAATTCAACCAACACCCTAAACACACTCAGTAACCCCACCAAGCACTGAAGGAATTACTTCTGAATAAGTAATTGTATTCTTTGCCAAAGCAAAT